ACATTCATTCATATAATTTGAAACGTTGTAAATGGCGCCATCTTGACGTTTCAATAACTTCCTTTTAACTTTTATAATGATAAAGTCAACTCCTCGTTTAAAATTTCTATAAACCGATAACGCGTAAAAATGTTAAGCTTTAATTAAAACACTTGAAACATATTTGTTAAATACGCATTTTATAAAAATACATTCGCATTATATCGAACGAGTTCAGAAGTTTCAACAAAAAATTCAATAGATGGCGCTGGTGTACTCCATTCATCAGTACTTTACGATATACAGATTGTATCAATTTAAAACCTTTTATGGTTTAATTGTTTTTAAAAATACAATAACTTGTTGCTGTTTTATTGTTTTAGAATTCTTAATAAAATACGATCGATTTCCAAGTAATGAACGAACGATCCTCTAATTTTTTAGTTGCCAAAATTTTGTCAATCAACAGGAATCGTGTAATATAATTATGAATGGTTATTCTGTCACGTGACTATGGTCGTGATCTTCACGCATGCGCGGTGCATACTTTTAGTACATTATTTTTGTGACGTCACAACTGGCAACCAAGATTTAAGGAATAGCTGCGCATGCGTGGTGCGTACGGGGCGCATTCATTGTTTTACAAAGGCGTGCGGTCCGTGTATAGTATATGTGAATGTATATTTATGTTAGCCGTTTTTTTACAAACTTTAATTATATTATTGAATCTTAATAAACGCGTTTGTACATTTTATGTATGTTATATATTCACGATATTTATAAGTCAGGCAAAGCCTATTCGCCTATAAGGACTGCACGCCACTGCGGTTTAGTAGTTACGGCGTGAAGGCGGAACAAACAAACAAACTCACTTTCCGATTTATAATATTTGTAAGGATTTCAATTAAAATAGTATAACATTTACATTACGGTCATAATTAGTAGGATGAATTCGCTATTGGTGTAATCGTTGCAACCACATAGTTATGCTTGAGATCCTGAAATTCTGAATAGCTAAACGAAATTACAGGTTCCACAGGGCTAGTAACACAGGACTAAATATTGTCTATGAATAAATGTTCTTCTTCGAACAAATTAATTTACCTTTTCAAAGCAGTTTCATAATATCTAATTGCTCGGCCAGGCGACATCTGTAGCGTATCTGTATTATGAAAGTAGGTAAGGATACTCTCATAATAAATTACTTTTCGCACCAGAACACAGTTTTTATTAACTTGAGAGCAGACGTCATTAAAACCTCCATTGTATTTGATCACGGTTTAGGTTTTTTCGTTTCCACTTCACCTAAGTTTTTCGTATTGTGAAGGTTTTGTAATTATTTCCTCTTTTATTCAAACCTCGGGCTTTCAAAACGGTTTGAACAAACAGCCGTCCAGAACTCACCTTATATTGGACGAGGATAAAATTCCATTGTTAATTGTATATTATTTTCAATTAATCTACATGGCCTTATTTTTAACTAACTCATTGTTTCGTGCGTTTGTATAGAATTGTATAACAGTAATATATTATTCGTAGGCTTTAGCAATAGCTACGGTTAATCCCTTGCTTCGAATAAATCGTTAGAAATCATTTTCCGCTGCAAACTGAGGAAATTAAATTTACAGCTTAATTGTTTTCCTTCAACATATTTCATAATGAAATAGGTACCTGTCGTAGGTTTCTAGCAATCGCAGGCAATGTGCTAAAGGTGCATGTATTTCTAGGTAACTACAGATGTACCAATTTCGTTTCATTAACTCTAATTCTGGCGGAAAAGTTAATCTACTTAGACGTACCAACAGCTACGTAAATTTTGCGAATTATTGACTTAATAATACTTTTAATTACAATTATGTGGTTAGCGATGGACTGTTTGTAATAAATTGACGTCATTGCTGAGATGTCTAGTCTACGTTCATTAACCACATTTGATACGTACGTATGTACCTATATGTTCGTACGTACGTCATTAATCATTATGCTTTAATTCCAATTATTTACATTCTACTCATTAAGTAATATTAACTCATACTTACGAAGTTTTATATCTATCACTAGCTTCTGCCAGCGGCTTCGCCCGCGTTCCCGTGGGATAACCAGCAGCCTATGTGTTATTCCAGTCTTCATAATCTACCCCTGTTCCAAATTTCATCCCGATCCCTTCACACACATAAACTTTTGCATTTACAATATTTAGTAAGAAGTAAGATAACTTAGTCTACAACTCCATACATACAATCTGCTCCCCTAAAGCCTAAAAGCATTGGTTAGATTTAAAACCATTTCTGGTGATACGAAATCTTCATATTTTCTCTTTTTCATTGATAAACCTTTTACGTTTGACGAATCCACCTAATAGCTCCATTATCATTTAGACGAGGTACGCATTAAGTAACAATAAAAGTCTTCTTTCAAAATAATATTTAGTCAACATGGAATGGAATTAATGTCTACACTGAACATTAAAACTAATGTTTTGTGAATCCTGCTGTAAGTTGTTCTTTTAAATTATTAAACTCTATAAAACCTTGTGTCTAGTTGAGAGATACCGTCCTTCCCAGACTCCCGACAGACCCAGACAGGAACACATTGAATTTGAACAAAGACAATAATTTTCGATCCGTAGAACAGGTACACATAGATCTAAATATGACGCTTGTGATTTCCCGTGCGGAGATTCTGATAACTAGAACGAAAATAACATTATTTCAGAAAATATTGTAGCGTATATATAAGTTCAAATTAACCGGCTAATAAATGAAACCTGTGCGGTAAGATTGTATAACTAATAAGCAACACCGCGTTTACTCAACTTTGCATAAAATCAACTTAAAAAAACCAGTTTATCCTGAAATTGTTCATGGTCCGTAATATTATATGAACGATGTTGTTTTCCCGTAAAATGTTAATTTCTGACATCTGTAGCAGCTCATTCAATGATTCGGCATTATAAATAGTTTACACCTTGTTATAATTGCTCCACGATGACGTGAGACATGGCCACGACCACTAACCAGGACAGGAAACATTTGTAAAGTAGTTAAATTGATTTGTTTGGCACTCAATGTTACATCCGAACTATGTATTTACATTCTAGGGTTTGAGATAACCCAAAACGTGACGATTGCTCAAACAAAATAGTGAACAAGTATAATAGTTATTGACAGGCGCTGGAAATGACCCTCTTTATAGACGTAGGATCGTATAGGGTAGCATGGGCTATTCGATACACTTAGCACGCTAGATTGTCGCGGTCCGTTTGAGCTCATTTCACTCTCACAAACTGCAGATAGTGCAGTAGCGAGCAGTGTAGATAGATAGGTAAATAATGCATTATCATGTTCGAGCTAACATAGTTTCGAACAAGAGCTGGGTGAACTGTAAAGAAGTACTAAAAGCATGTAGGTGGTACATAAAAGAAGTACGAGAGTGGGAGTAGCGCCTGCGGTCGGAGTTACAGGCGCCCGGACAATCCATTCGCCACTAGCCACTACATGCCTGCAATAAATTCTTGTCTACAAACACGTGCCACATTTTACAAAAGTGTAACATCACATACAACTACAAATATAGATATAAGATAGGTACCTATGTAGCTCACAAACTCGCACACTGTACAAGATGCAGATGTCTTTAATTCAACACTGACTTGTCTCATATAACACCGTTCATTACACCTTGGCTATCAGAAATCAACAGACAATCAGTTAGACAAAGAAAAGTATAAAATATTGTTTGTTTCTTTGTAATTCTGCACCAGGTAAACAATCTGAATTGAAAAATCGTCTAATTTAATAATAATCTACTTGATAATTGACTTAATTATAGTATTAGTATTTCCGGAACAAAACATGTTTATCTACAACGACACCAACTACCATATCAATGACCTTTTGTGTATTGGAAGCTGAAAGTTTGTTAGGCGTCCATCACCGGAGTCCAGCTGCTACATAATTCATATTTCCGCTACGCTCTTCTGTAGGATTTTGATCAAATTTATCTGTGTAAGCTCAATCCATTAGCGGACCCTCGTGTGAGTCGTGTGTGATAACGACAAGTTGACAGTGGGACGGCGGCCGCAGCGGACGCTCGCATACTCGCACCGCTACTCCCCGAGTCCCCATTAGATAAACTTATCCGTTCCAACGTAATGTGCTCGGGAAGTCCTGTGACCAGAAACAAAATCGGAATATAAATACGACCTTAATCGAAGGATAAAAGAACCATGCCGCGTTGTTTGTTTCAAGTAACCAAGTGTTTTTAACAAACCGGTCATGATTAATGGACTGCGCCCCAGTGAATCATTGACATCGCCGCAAGGATGCGGTGATATCGACTGTTAATCGTCAATAAATTATTGTTTAACTATAGTTTCTGTGTAAATAATAACAATTAGTAAAGTAATGTGTGTGTGTATGTGACTACGATAACAGCGACAGTTACTTTACTCACGCATCGGTTGTAATTTGAAATTTAAGGTTGGTATTCGACAGCATTAGCATTGCCAAATTTGGATGATAATAATGTTACAATTTCTCTTCTGCGGCTCAAGTACAGTGTAGTAGTAGTAAATAGCAATGTCTCTCTACCTAATAGGATCTACAGACAATAAGAAAAATAAGTGATGGGCGTCTTGCTAAGATTTGTTGGTGATCCAAATGATCCAAACATATGTTCACATCTATCCGATTCTGTACCAAGACCTTGTTAGTGTAATCTTTCTCCAGTCAGTTTAGGTCACGTGCTATCTATTGAAGGCTGCGGTACTCATGCATATGCATGTTTAAAGTACATTTATTTTATAATAGTGGATCGATTGTTAGTATCGTCACTCCTTGAATCCGCCGCTTGGATGTAGTAAGCCACTTTCCAGTTATGTTTAATATCCAGTCGGGTGTGACTAAAATAAGTACTCGCTGGAACCCATGCATCGTATCGTATCGTTATTTTATAGTTTACACGCCGTAGGCTTGATGTTTTAACATTTGAAATAAGTGAATACGCGTGTTGGATTACAGGTCGAGGCGGGAGACGTTTTGCTCAAGGTTAATGGGACTGATGTAAACCGGTTCACTACCCGAGAAGGTAAGGAATTTGCCATTTATCACGCACATGCTACTTATCTACGAAACATTCTTAACACACAGATAACTGGCAGTGTAATTGAAAATGTTATTTCATTCCGTATGTAAATACGTTACAACAGCCACTGTGATTAAAATTCTAAGTACCCTAGATTGACGGTAGAAGGCGTCTTGTGACACGCGCAATATAACTCTGTGGAGTAATACGCACAACAATATACTGAAAGAACAGTCGTGTTGTGTTATTAAAACGTCAGGTCTGACCGCTATCTTTGAACTTATTAACACTAATTCAATGATCGCGTTATGGCCGGCTCGTGCCCGACACGCAACCTCGCAATTCGCATTTTACACGTCTACATACAGACCAACAATAAGAAAATAACCTTTTTATCCCGCAAAATTGATTTCCTCCGCCATGTAATCAAGATGTTATCACAGCATAAATATATAAATATTTTCCTTTGTACGATGTGCACAATAGAAAAATATATATTTGTTTAAAATTATTGTATGTTGCTGTATTACATAGTAATGTACAATAACCGATGTTGTATTGTTGTACTCCTATAGAATTGATTGCTTGTTACAGTTCTAAAATGCTTGCGACTATCGTCAGATCCCGTCACTTTAAGACTGAGAAAGGGTGAGTTTAATATTTTAGCCAGAACATAATATATCATCAATATATTGGTGGAAATGTGCTGTTTGAACTATGACATTCGGGGCGGTAATATATCGTGGCAGCTGCAAGTAATAAAATTCGTTTATCCCCGAGTGGTTTGGTCGAGTTTGCGAAGTAAGCCGCTACAAATAAGAGCTATACGCGAAGTAATTTTATAGGTGGCTCTCGGGATCTGGGCCGGGGTAACTCTCGTTCACAGTGGCTTTGTTCTCCTTAATAATGTAATATCACAATCAAAACACATGGATGTACAAATTGTTTAGTTAGTTAGTCGTGAATACTTCATGAGTTGGTAGTTGCAGGGAGGTTGTTGGATGTGCGTGAGATAACAGCTGATAGTCCGATGTGTGCAGACCCACAGATCAAAGCGAGTGTGAGGCGGTACCTGGCCGCGGCGGCCGAGCGTCGCTCTAGCGGCGCGGGCACACGCACCAATCACGACAGGTGAGCTCTCTTCAGATGTTCTACCGATAAGCCCATTGATGCTTGTGAAAGCTTGCTTGACGCTTCGACAGACATTTTACGCGCGCTTCTTACTTTCATACATCCATCCATTATTAATCAATTTATACATAAGAAAAGCTACACCGTTGTGCAGAGATATCCAAAACATTTATTTTGTGAAATCGCAGACGATTTCGTAAGTTGTACTTCATGAACGTTTGCAGCGTAAGTGAAACCTAGTGTATGTGGTAAGTAATCGGAAGCTAACCCTCTCTAACAGTACGACAGCTGATTTCCGACGACGATAGGTGATTATTGGTAGCATGTGTCGCGACGGAGGGTACACACCCTCACCACTTTGACACGTCCCTCGTACGTGTGTATTTTTGGAACATATAACTCTGTTGACTATATTGTTTTACTTTGAATTCTAATTGAGTCTTCACATATTGAGAATATAATATTTTTTATGTAATCGTCGTTGTACAGCAATAATATGCATACTGCGGACGTACGTATCAATGTATGCGGCGTATTGCTTGGCTTATTTTAGCTTTGAATATTTTATAGCGTGGTGGGTAAGATATTCGGAAAGCATTACCAACAGCTGTTGCCAATTGATGAGATCGATTTAACGACTTTCTAAAATGGATTGTACATGTAAACATTTTTCAGTTCCTAGTCGTTTCTTTCGACAACTTGCGCACAAACATTGTTGTGCTGTGACGTGAAGATTTATTCCGTTATAAAAAACAAGCTGCTTATTTCTTTTTTGCATAAATAAGTATTTTTAAGCGTTGCTTATAACACGCGTGAGAGGCTTACAAAAACAAAAGTGTTACACACGCAAACAGCAAATCGTTGTTTTATATTATTTTTGAATGTTCTCATTTTGTAACTACTTGAAAATTGCAACGTTTAGAAGCGCTGGTGTAAAATGATACAACTCTTATTGTCAAACATTATTCCAATAGTATTGCTATAATGATTGTTGTAAAGTAACACACGAGGACAGACTTGACTACGGTACAAATAAAATTACAAATGTAATAACAATATTTTTAATCAAGTACCTACATAGATAATTAAATACAAAAACTTACAGTTACTATGTAAACTATCTTCTATGTGTAAAGATAAAAATATCTAAGTTATCGGGATGCGTCATCGGTCACCGATATCTCCTGACTAATTGAATGCCTACCTATATTTATCTGTTGCGACTGCTCATGAGACAATCAGACAGCGTCTAGTCAAAGTTATCGGATGAGCGTGAATTCCAGCCGTAAATATTTCGATGATTCTTTCGTATCAAAGTTCGGGTGAAATCTGACATTGGTGTTGGTAATAGATTTTTCAATTACAATGTGACTGATAAATATTACTTACTAGCTGTTCCGACAAACGTCGTACGGCCTAAGTTCTTTTCTCATCTTTTAAATCTTCTTTGGACTTCCACGAAAATTTCAAGACCAAAATTAGGTAAATCGGTTCAGCCATTCTCGAGTTTTAGCGAGACTAGCGAACAGAATTCATTTTTATTTATATAATAATAATTATGTAGATTAGGAATTCTGTTAACTAATTTTAACTAGTAAGTTATATTATAACTAAATTCATAATTATTATTTTTATTCGATTAGTACTGATATAGTTGTATATTATGAATAGTTTGTACTTATTTACTTATCTTCCCGCATACGGCATCACAATCGATGCAGTGGAAAGTTACTGCGTCCGTAGTTAATGTACTGAAAAGTGTAGTTTATGTTCTGTAACCTATTTGTAATTAGAGCGTAGGTACTGCACTCGAACTTGTTTACTTGGTACACGTGCGTATAGGGGAAGCTGAGGGCTGTGAGGGCTCGTGAGTACGTACCTGCCTGCAGGTCGATATTTGTATGCCGTACGTACTGTACTTCTATTGAAGGAATGACGAAAATAACTTCCTTCCTATTTAATCCTACCAAACGGTTTATTATCACATTTTTCTCCAAATATTTCAGACAATATTAAATAGTATAATTAAACTTTCGCTGTACAATTTTTCAAACATCCTTTATGTAAATACATAACGTTTTTAAACTGACTGACTCTGCGATCACGCGTCCCGCAACGTACAAAATTGAACAGAATCCGCATTAATTTCAGCGTATCTACCGAGTGTTAAAGTACCTAAGTAAGTTATTTATTTCCGTCCGTGCGTGAATCATTCCTGAAATGGGTCGAAATATAGCTTAACGCTAATTCACAGCAGATCGGCTTCTCCGCCATCGAGCAACTCGAACAGCAACTCATCTAGCAACTCATCGAGCAACGGGTCGGGCGTGCAGTCCGGGGATAGTTGTGAGGCGCTGGTGGGAGTGGAGGACAAGAGAAGGGGCCGAGTGACGCCCAAGTTCGAGGCCTACATGATGACTGGGGACCTCATGCTCAACCTGTCGCGAGTAGAGCATCCGCACCACAACCACCACGCGCCCACGCATCGGACACACTACCACAGGTAAGACGACTAAACAAAGTAGTAGCACCGCATAATACACTTTAAGAACACAATAATTGATCACAATTTCAAAGTTCAAATCAATCTGCGTTTTATTCGAGAGACCTCAAAAACAATTTACTTAACCAATTGGCATTAATTCTCCTGAGTCATCTGTCATATTTACGCCTGATAGTGTAGTGACCGCGTATTCGCTGCGCCAATGATATATTCACATTCTTCCTGCTTCTGTAACGCCTGTTTACTTAACTACTTCAATAAGGACTCTCAAGGTGTCATTGAACTTAGGAAATTGCTAAGAAGTAAGATTCGAACCAAAAATAATTAGGCTGGTCGTTGTAACTACTAATATAATTCTTTGTAATCAGTCATTTTTGGTCCAAGTTATACTTTTGGATCGTCCCAATTGTCCTCACTTATCATAATAATGTAAACGCCCCTGTGAGCGCTAAATGATGACGCACCAGGAAATGTCGACACTATAGTATCTGCATTGCGATCCGTTAAGAATAATTTAGTGTAATCTAGTTGTAACTAGTTTATATAATTAGTGTTTTTTATCAGGTACAACTCGACGCCAGCGTCACCCAGTGAGAACCGAATGTGTGGACGCGTGGAGCTCGCGCAGCGACACAACTCCTCGCCCGACACCGGCCTCGTTGGAGACCATGCTAGCAAAATGTAAGTACCTGCTACTTAAATAAAGGATCTACTACACAGTCCTTGCTAATTAAAAACACTTGGCTGTTCATTATAGTGAGGATTTGTGATATCAATAATATTTGCTGTGTCAAAATCAACCTACAAAATCAGTGATATATCCTTCTTTAGTAGAAGTCTTTTTAGACATCAAAATTATGAACTTAGCTTATACCAAAATTTGGTTTAAGTTAGTTTCTCTTCTATCCTATCATGTTTACGTTATCGCTATTTCAATAGAGATGGGAAAAGGCAGATGATAATTATCAGCTTATCATTTATCAGTTGGATACAGTCACCAGTGTGTATCGTGTAAAGGTCTAACCAAAACTTTTATATAGACAGTTTATCATGGTTACTCGCGGTTGTTCCACGTCAATTTGTCATCGGTGTAGATTTTTCATTCGGTAATTACTTTATTAGTGATCATTTGCCCTGAGTATGAGCTAAACCTGCGAGCAGACATTAAGATGCGGATACAATATCCTCTAAGCATTTGGTTGCTTTACTACGATCTCCAAAGCCTTCCTCAAGAATGGGATTGCAATCACGGGAATTGCAGTGCCTTTGTTTGCTAATATTTATGTTCCATTCCACCTGATGATGAGAGTGATGTTTGTGCGATGGTGCAGGTTCATATCCCAGCCGGCGTCCCCGGCGGGCGGCGCGGGCGGCGCGGGCGCGGCCAGCGACGTGTGTGCGCGCGCGCACCACGCCGTGCGCACGTCGCGCTCCGAGGACCATCTGCAGGTACACCTCCGTCTACTACTATTGGGAAAAGTTCTAATTATATTGTGTGAAACAAAATAATTTGAAACTTATCAACTATCAACAGAGTCGAGTATGTAATGGTAAGTTCCAGAAGGAGTCGTCACTGAGTGCTGTGGCTGTGGAGATGGAAGAGGACGTGACGTCATCACTCAACACACTACTGGACGCGCGACCGGATTCCGCCACTCCTGGACCACGGTCCGACTCCGATCCTGAGCGGGACAGGTGACACATACATACATATAGCATATACAGAATCTAATATACTGATACTCATACATCATGACCGGGAGATATATTTTAGCCGTGTTGTTGTCCTGACCAGACAAAATTTTCAATCACCAACTGCTTTTAAAATTGGTGTACATAAAAACTAGAGGTTGATAGTAGGCTGATCCAGCTTGAAGTCTGGAAGTAAGAATTGATTTACAAAATTATAATTTTATTTTATCTATGCTTACTCTTATTAGTTAGTAGAGTTGAAATCTTAATCCTACTTTAGCCATAGTTTTACAACTTTTACATGGACTATATTTACTAAAATATTAATCTTCTGGTCATGTTGTAGAGTCATACAATTTCAGTCATCCTCAAACATAACTCTAATGTTTTAACCACGCTGCTTCGCGTTAGCATCACTGCTCAGTTTATTTCTGTCACTTCAAAACAATTTACTAATTTATCATTAATTAATAACAATAACCTAATACGCCAATTGCAACTAATCTTTTTTACGTTCAGTATAAAAACATAAATATAATGTATATGTGTAAAGCGGACTTAATACCTGGTGGCGTTCAAAGAAATAAGAGGTTTTATATGTGAACTTTTCTGGGTTTAAACCTATTTTTAGTCGAAATCAACCAGTCACATCCCTAAACCTAAATACGTAAGTGGGACTGTAGGTACTTGGGGGCTTACGCACTAGCGGCCAACCGCGCGGTTAGCTGCCCCCGCGGCTGACTGCTTTTCCATTTTATAAGCAACCGCGAAACAAACCGCTATGGCAACCGTGTCAGGTGATACAAACCGCCGCTAGTGCGTAAGGGGGCTTAGACATCTACATGGGTACGTGGGTAGAGTAGTTCGGTAGTGCGGTAGTGACGGGTGTGTGTATATACGTAGGATCGTGTGGACGTACAACGCGCCGGTGTCGAGCGCCATGGAGCGCGCGGCCTGCAACGGCTCGGGCCGCTCGGGCGCCACCTCCAACTCCACCTCCATATCCGACGGCATGTCGCAACGGTATGCCAACCTTTTTTATAACCCTACACACGTTATATTTATGTCCTAGAGACATTCTAAGGATCTGTTTCACTGCCCTCTTTTAAGTACCCAAAATAATGATAGATAGTTCATAAAAATTATGTTCTATATTCAAACCTGTCTGGTAGATAGTCTCTATCCAGACATTGTGAAACAGGCCCTAAATTAGGTTACGTATACGGCTTACCTCCGTGAACTGATGTCGAAAGCTCTACTAGTTTCGAAGCAACATCGCGCAGCTATGAGTCCCAATATGACTTGAAACTAGTAGAGCTTTTCGAATTGTGCAAGTGAGAAAGTCGTATATTTCAATTAAACTAGAGTACTTATTATCTGTAGTGTGTAGATTTATGAAGTTTTTAAATTGATTATTTTAGTTTAATACTTTTTACTAGTGTTCTATTTGTCGATTTATATCTTTGACACTGTTTGAGCATACTAGTCCTTTGTTCGGAGATAAAAAAATCTATCTGACTCTTAGTTAGACCTAATATTATAACACATTTCTCTCTTAAAATACGAAATCTGTATTAGTAGAGCAAGTATCAGAAATTCAGTATGATGTAGCGGAAGCAGTGCTTGCTAACATTAGAGCAATAAGGCGTTCAACTGACTAATTAATTTAATATAATCTTAACTTACCAATTATTATTAACACTGCAATTAATCTGTTTTAACAAACAATTTCCACACAAACAGCTTTGAATCTTATGACTTGTAACATTGAGGTTAATTCTGTGTTAAACTTTTAAGCATATAACTTGCATGATGCTAAAGATAAGGTAACGTCACTATAAATCTTTGAATGACTCTTTAATTTCAATGAGCTATAGTTTTAAATACGCATGTGTGGAGAATCCAGTAGATTTATATGAAAAATTTATAATAATTTTCCAGTATAGTTTATAATTATGTATTATTTCTTCAGGTCATCGTCGCCCGCGTCGCCGACGTCGGCGTCGTCGTCCGTGATGTCGTCCCGCGCCACGCCTCCCCACCGACACCTCGTCTCACACCATCACCATCGACCCCTCAATGGTAACATCAACTCATTACTTTTATATCACTGACTAGAAAATTACATTATCATCCTTGATTACAGATCATTTTTTAAATTCTAGATATTCGTTCGTATTCAATTTATTTTTATACTTATCTATTAACCTGTCTCCACTTGCAGGGGACATGAGTCTATCAGAAGCAGTGTCGAACATATCGAGCCCGGACTACCAGGACCAGGACGACATGTTCGAGACGGGCGCGAGTGTCCACGGATGGAACTCTCCGACCCGTCCGACTCCGACTCCACGATACTAGTCTCCGAACCTTGCCACAAACGAGCCAAATCCAACTCCTCCTACTCTAATGAACACGGAAGTGACGTCACTCTCAATGGAGACCACAACAACGACTACAGAATAGTGATACAAGTCAAAGGCCCCGACAAACAAAACGCGAATGTCACAGAAAATGTAAATAACAATAATAATAGTAATTACACGCAGAATGGTAAAGAAAACGGACATAACTCGCCGGAGAACCAAGGATATCAGGTAAATCTAGAATTATATTTGTAAACTCGAGTAATATCTCTAAATATCCCACTTTAACATAAATAAAAGGTCTTCATGTGTTTACTATATGAATCGTTGAATGTGTCGTATTGCAGGAGCTGTGTAGTGGGTCTGACGTTGGGTCGGACGAGGGCTCGGACGGGGACTCGCTGCACTCGTTCCACTACAGCCCCAAGGCCGTCGACATACCCTCCGCCGAACGACTCGCCAAGCGACTCTACCACCTCGATGGTTTTAAGAAGTCTGATGTTTCGAGGCATTTAAGTAAAAAGTGAGTTTTAGTACCAAATATCTACCTCTAATTAGTTTAGTATAACCATTGCAGGTCTACGATAGCTGGGAAGGTCAATCTTTTAGTATTTTTAGAGAATACAGTAATCAAAATGGCCGATAGTACTTCACTATCGGCCATTTTGTATAACCTAGAATTTTTCTCTATAGTGGTCAAATCTGTCGGTAGATAGACGGCAGCTAGTAATTGTACTAAATATAAATTGGTTTGGTATTTTCCAGTAACGAGTTCTCCCGCGCGGTGGCGGAGGAGTACGTGCGTCACTTCGAGTTGTCGGGCGCCACCCTGGACGTGGCGCTGCGCACGTTCCTGGCTCGCTTCGCGCTGTCCGGGGAGACGCAGGAGAGGGAGCGCGTACTGGTACACTTCTCGCGCAGATACCTCGAGTGCAACCCCGGCTCCTTCAACTCACAAGGTCACTATTGCAAACACTCATTGGGATATTTATTATTAAATCATGTTAACAGCACGATTGACGTAGTCACTGTTTATAACAGACGCGGTGCACACGCTGACGTGTGCCATAATGCTCCTGAACACGGACCTGCACGGCTGCGGCGGCGGCGGCACGTTCCGTCGCATGTCCTGCGCGGAGTTCATAGACAACCTCGCAGACCTCAACGACGGAGACAACTTCCCGAGGGAAACACTCAAGCAACTCTACCACGCCATCCGGACGCAGCCGCTGCAGTGGGCACTGTATGTACTACACTATTCTACGTTCTACTACTATTATAAATGCGAAATTTGAATGGATGTATGTTTGGTATTACTCATAGAAAAAAATTCTGGACTGATTTTGACGAAATAGAGATAACTTATAGTTCGAAATAATCCATGGGATAATTTTTCACATCAATAATGTTACTTAATACAATATCAAAGGTAACATACAGTGAATGACAAAACTATTAAGTTTTTTCCGCAGTGTTTTCTCAGTGATAAATGGTTTTCCTAACTTGGTCTGTATGTGTAGCGATGCGGAAGCTCCCCCAGCGGCGCAGGGCGCGGGCGGCGAGGTCCGTACAGGCGGCGCGGGGGCCAACCCCTTCCTGGACGTGCCCGACCAGAGCCGCGCCATCGAGTACAAGAAGGGATACGTTATGCGCAAGTGCTGCGTCGACGCTAACGGGAAGAAAAGTTAGTATAAACAAATCTCTGTAACTATTTAAAACGAGGCCGACCAATAGTTTTCTGGCTATTTGTAATCTCTTAGTCACATCTTACAATGTAATAAATAGTACGAATGAAGATAGCGTGCCCGTGTAAAGAGTAGGGATGCTCAAAAATGTTCATATTCTACTCTACCATACCACTACCGGTTCATGTCGCAATACTATGTATTTTATCATAAAACTCTTATGTATTTCAATTTGCAGCTCCATTCGGCCGTCGAGGTTGGAAAATGTTCTACTGTACGCTTCGAGACTTGGTGCTATATCTTCATAAAGACGAACACGGGTTCAGACGCAGTCAGATGTCCGATAACTTGCATAATGCTATCAGGTAACACATATTTACATTTATACTAATTAGGCATGTAATGTGGAACAATAACATTGATGTGGAATCAATTTGTTTCTTCAGAATACATCACGCACTGGCGACGAAAGCGACCGACTACACGAAAAAGCAGCACGTATTTCGATTGCAGACTGCTGATCAGGCCGAATACTTATTTCAAACGAGGTATGAACATTATTAGATAATGGGTTATTCTTGTATCGTGGATGCGTTTACAAACAAACTAGTTCACATAGGTACACATCAGCTGGGTTCCACACCAACTGCGCTTACTATCAGTCTATCTATGTGCCATAATAATAGTAGTTATTACATAATAATAATTGTCGATGTTGTTAAAATGTTTTTATGTATTTTAGCGATTCGAAGGAGTTATGTTCGTGGGTGGAGACGATAAACTTCGTGTGCGCCGCGTACTCGGCCGCGCCACTGGCCGGCGCCGTCGGCTCACAGCGCAAGTTCCAGCGCCCTCTACTGCCCTGTACACACACCAAGCTCTCCATGGTACTGCACTACAGATATCTATACTAATATTATAAAGCTGAAGAGTTTGTTTTTTTGTTTGAATGCGCTATTCTCCGAAACTATCAGTCCAATTTTGAATAATTATTTTTGTGTTGGATAGTACATTTATCGAGGAAGGTTAAAGACTACAAAACATCACGCTACGATCATTAGGAGCCGAGCAGAGCGGTCCAACCGCGCGGAAGTAGCTAGTGTTTTATATATTTTCACTTGTTGTATGTTGAACAGTTCTAAATATAAAATAACAATTCAATTTAATAAGAATCTATATGAAAATAGTTGAATAACGTATATTGGTATCGTACAGCGCGAGCAGTTGGCAGAGCACGAGGAGCGCGCGGCGCGGCTCGAGGAGGAACTCGCCGCACTACGACACGCGCGGGACCACGCGCACTCCACGCACGCACCGCATGCCAGGCTCAAGGAACACTACCTCGTGCACGAGGTAACTATACTGCGCGAGGTTCATTCGACCTACATCGTGGTATATACAAGTGAAATAATAATGTGTGACGTGTCTGGCAGATAAAGAGGTACCGCACGTACGCGTACGTGATGCGCGCGCGTGGCGGCGGCGCGGGCGCGGAGGAGGCGGCGCCGGCCGTGCCGGAGCGGCCGGAGCGCGCGGCGCCGGCCTGACGCGGCCTGGCGGCGCTGGCGGCGCTGGCCGCCGCCGTGCTGTGACCGCTGTGTGTCGCCGTGCCGCGCGACTAGTCCCGTCTTCCCTCCGCAGTGGCGCCGCCCCCGTACTGCGGGCCGTGCCCCTACTGCGCCTCCACTCTGTAGTTACTGTGCAGTGAACTGACTTATTTTCAAAGTGGTCCCTCCGACCGGCCCGGCTCGATGCGACTTCTATCGTAATAATTCCGCTGGACGTCTACACGACGAAATCGCGAGCGGTCGAGTGCGGCCGGTCGACTCTTAGAAACGTTTTATAAGATGTCATCATACGATTTGCCGAAGTTCCGTTGTAACGTACGTGTCAGCGATGAGGCTGAGCGGTTATACGCTTTAATTATTCTCTTTTAATATCACAAATATTGGCTTATTTAAGGTACTGTAAGTAAAATCATTTATCATTCCATGTAATCTGTATCACTGTTCATTAGAGTACAGATTTAAGAAAGTGATAAAGTGGCTAGGTGTAGCTGTTGACTCATTCTTATTCCGCATGATATTCACTCGGTATTTTATTTGACAACGGCTGAATTTATTACAATATTGTAAATAGTTTTTAAAATATTGAGACTGATACATGAAGTTATTTATTTCGTTCGTAAATTAACCAGTGTCAAATCTTAGGCATCGATAGTGTATCATTACACCCCTAGGATCTCAGATGTAATTTTATTATAGCTATAAAATGAAATGTATGTGACTGAATTGTATGAAATCTCTTGTTGATCAATCATTTGTACTTGGGGAAATCACGTATTATTGTAATACAAGCTTTATTTAATTTTGTAACAGTCTAATTACATTAGGCGAATAATTAATTATTAGTAGGATATTAAAATCTGAATTATGTAATCTATTGATGATAAGTGTTGCAGCTTAATTATAATAAAGCATTTGTTTAGTGCTTCATGCCATTGTAAGACCCTCCCCTTAACTATGTAACAAATGCTCACAATCTCAATTATTTATTGCTCTTTAAGTCCAAGGACAGAAAGTGGATGTATTAATTATTCTTTAGTCCATTAGCTGTGCACCCTAGACATCATCCGAATTATGCTTATTTATTTGTATTGTCTGCATATACTTGATTCTAGAGGGGAAAGCACTCTTCCTTGAAATTGCTTTAGATGTAATACCAATCGTTGTAAATAAAACAATATTTTTTATGATTTGTTTACATGTTACTTTTATTTTTTATATGTTTACTTAAATGTATAGCTTGGCGAGTTTTGTTTTACTTTATTAATAATTCATTAAATGTTTGCTACGTGTTTGTGACAACAGCCTATTCGTGATATTTTTATTCCTCTCATAATATTGTCTCGCTAAACTATCTTTAAGAACGAACACGTTCCACATGTAATGGGATTTGTATGTCTGTTATACATAAATCATTTGCTAATTTTGCTCAATCTCGAAATATAGATCTTCTGGCTGATTTTACAGATGCATAAATATAATTTGAAATGATTATTCAGATTTCTTCATATCCAAAATTAGTCAACTTGCAAGTATTATAAATTAATCTCTATGGGTAAGTATGGAATTAAAATGTTGGCTGTGCCGGAGAATTTAGAATAACAACTTGATTTCTGTAAGTAGTTATTGGAGGTAAATATCTTAGCTGGTGCAACTTAGGATGTTGTTCACCAAGCTTTTATCATACAGGATTAGTAGAGATGTAATGACCAGTCTATACAGCATTTATTGCTTGTGCAAAATGTAAATAAATGGTGTGAAACCTGGGAGCCTGATAAAATATTGATCAACTCTAAAGTACATAATAAATGTCTAAGTATTTGAAACTATTGTGTAATAAAATAGCATTAGTTTTTTTTTCTTTTATACCAATCATAACCCCTCTTAAGAGCTGAAATAAATATCACAAAGGAGTTTGATTGTTTTATTTTTAACTCTACATAAATCACTTAAAGCAAGATATTTTATTTATAATTAATGTATTGGGAATGGGACTTTTATATAAATAGCCACCAAGTGTCAAGAGATGAAACCAACTCAAATATCAAAATGCATAATACTATTTGACTTTAATTCTTAGCACCAAATGTATAATCAGTATTTTTTTGTAAAGGCCTCTGCAGTGGATGGGCAAGCAGTTTAGCAATACAGTCGTGGATCTTTGTTGCATTCCTTGATACTTCAAATACGTAAGAGTAACCATTATCTAAGTCCTGAAGTGCATCATACACCTCTTCACATTTGTACACAGAACATTCCTCTTCATGTGCCAGCAATATGTCTATGTAGAAGTACAACTGTTTCTTGAGAATGCTGTAGTAAGCTTCATTCTGTGGAATTATTGGAATACAGTTTGATCGCACATAAAAAACGAGCAAGCGCACCACATAAGGAGGTGGCTGTGTGCTCTCTCCATCTTTGTGTTCCGGTATCTCAACCTTTTGACGTATCCAATTGAAAATATTTTTCATATCAAATATTTCAGATGTGCATTCTTCTGGACCTAAGTATTCAATAGTACTTAAAATATCCTTTATGTTGTTAGTGAAATTTTGTATCCAAACAGCTTCTGTACCTTTTAGCACTATTATGGCAAACTCAGTTTTCTTGTTAATTGCATTTTTTGAATGTAAGAAAAATTCTATAACTCTCTTCATCATGTTGATCGGTGTGAACGTTGAGCCATCGCCTAGCCGATACAGTGATTTGTTGTTGTCGAAACAAACATCCAAGCAAAGAACTATTCTTTCTGGTACATTTACATTGGGTACATTAGGTTTTTGAATATTCTCCATCGCTTGTTCGTGTAATTCTGAGAAATCATCGTTGGTCGATAAGCTTAAGGTGATTGCTGCACTTCTGAAATATTAATAATATGATTTAAGTAACGATAAATATTAATTTCTTATTATTTAAAGTTATTATGTAGGTATTGGTTGAAATATTGACCCTGTTGTATTATTAGATGGCTCTGAATCCGATTGAGGATTAAAAGGTGTTAATAAATCGGGTGTATCCATTTTGTAGATCACAGGTATTATACTAAAACAATTCAATTGAAATAGAAATTATAGTAAATTCTAAATTCACGAAAATAAACAAGCGCTACTATGAATTTGACAGCACTGACTTTGACAATTGACATCAAAAATTACGACATTGACATTGTTTTTCTTCTCGGTTGCCATAGAAAAAAGAAAAAAAAATTGTTTTTCTTAAACTAGATTTGCTTTGAATAGGAGCAATATGATCTCGTCGTCTATGGCCTATAAAAATATTATTAGGAAACTTAAAAACTGTCATAGAGTTCACCTTACTCTTTGATATTAGTAACTTATTTGTTTTATACCACATTGGATTTTAGAAACTCAGGAGGCAGGAGAAATGAGTACCACCATTACAATTCACCTTATATTGTTAACATCGAAATCAAATTACAAATTCAGAACAAGCTAAACCATAATTATTAATTGGAAAGAAAAACAACAACAATAACACATGAATAGGCAAATTGACTTTCAAATAGAATAAAATTCCCTCAACACCAAATACACCGTCTCAATAATTTCCGAGTTCCCGCCATCTTGACTTTTTCATTGTTCGAACCACAGATTATATTTTCCCGCTACGCGATGACATTTCGTTCCTTTTTGTCTATGCTTCTAACACGGCCTCTCCTGACTGGAGCACGTCCTCGTGCTCCTGTGTCGCACTGTCGCATATTTACAGCACACGCTCCGTAGCGGGGACATCACCGCGGCTTCTGGCAGCTTGTTCAGCTGTGAACTCTATACTGTTTGCATCTGAGAACATAAGAATTGGATCGGGACGACGGTGGTTACCGGCGGTCACATCGATCCATATTAAATCGTTAGCGCAGGTCACAAAAAAAATAGCCAGAGAGGAGGCGCAACATTAGCCATCTCGGTTAATGTGGACCATATGATAGGCATCATATTACCGTATCACATGATCCATGGAAACAACATAATCATCACTTGAGAACATAAGGATTGGGTCGGGACACCGGTTTTTTCCGAAGACACATCGACCCATATTAAATCGTTAATCTTATCAATTACCAAAAACGTGACGTGTGAGTTCAATACCTTCTGCACCTGAAATTATAAAAATTGCATCGGGATGTCGTTGGTTACCGACACAAACAACTACATATACACATTGATCCATAATAATTCAAAATACAGGCAGAGAGGAAGCACTACGTTAGCTATCTCTACTATAACAACTACATGACAGGCACAACGTTAGCATATCATAAGTCACCAACACAGTAAAGTAATCAATAGTGAACTAGAGGCAAGACGTTAGCGTAGCTCACAATCATAAAACATACTCAGAGAGGAAGCACTACGTTAGCTATCTCTGCTATAACGACTACACGACATAGGCACGGCGTTAGCATAGTTCACAATCATAAAACATACTCAGAGAGGAAGCACTACGTTAGCTATCTCTGCTATAACGACTACACGACATAGGCACGGCGTTAGCATAGTTCACAATCATAAAACATACTCAGAGAGGAAGCACTACGTTAGCTATCTCTGCTATAACGACTACACGACATAGGCACGGCGTTAGCATAGTTCCATCATAAAACATACTCAGAGGAAGCACTACGTTAGCTATCTCTGCTATAACGACTACACGATAGGCACGGCGTTAGCATAGTTCACAATCATAAAACATACTCAGAGAGGAAGCACTACGTTAGCTATCTCTGCTATAACGACTACATGACATAGGCACGACGTTAGCGTATCATGAGTCACGAACACAGGAAAAAAAAACACAATCAATAGTGAACCATAGGCACGACGTTAGCATAGTTCACAATCATAAAACATACTCAGAGAGGAAGCACGACGTTAGCTACCTCTGCTATAACGACTACATGACATAGGCACGGCGTTGGCATATCATGAGTCTCTAACACATGTGTAATAATTAATACCTACGTTAGCATATTTTTTCACACGCACATTACACACACAATACGCATCAGATATCACACAATGTTAGCGTACCATATTGTGTGGGAAGGACACATTTCTACAGTCCGAAGCTATCCACATAGCACTAGAAACTCCGCCACAGTCTGTGTCGCGTTTCCACACGAGTATACCATCTATTAGCAGTCGTAACACTTAGCGCTGTAGCCTTCACCACACTATACACACCCACACACTCGATCTTGTCAGACGTTCTGTATCCGCTCGGACACACCTGACTATGACTTTTAGTCCATTCTAAATATTCTTTTGATGGAATCCTGTAATCATACACATTGATAAGGCACATACATTATCACCGAATCAGCATGATTATTGATCATCGGTAAAACTTACTTCAATTTTTTTTTATCACGCAATCAACATGGTTCACATGTGAAACAAGTGAATTTATTTCTGCAAATAGACTACAAGGCAGCACTTTTACACGTCAATTTTATCAAGCGAACGATGAGGTCGACATTTCCTAACTGACTACTCTGAGAAGAAATGCCGAAACAAACTCAGAGGTCTGTCTCTTTTAAAGTCCAGACAAATATGTATAAAAAGATTATGTGTGAGAACCGTGCAAGTTCTCTCTGTAGTGGCCTTTTGAGGAAAGAACCACAACAGTTTGAGCGGACCCGTTCTGAAAGCAGTACGCATGGTGTCGGTTTACAGTCAGCTCAATTAACAGATGAGGCTGAGTGATTCGACGAACAATACCAACCTAAAGAACATTTGCGTGGGTCGCACAAATACTCAAACTGTCAGAGTATGAATAAGAAATAAGAAAAGAAAAGTCTCGCACGGTCCTAGCACTAACAATTGTTTAAAATAGAGGTAAATGTCAAGTTTAAAAAATATAAATTTTTCAAATGAAAAACAATATCACATTATGCTAATAATGTCAAATTGCATATAAAAAGAAATGTAACTATATGTGTCAATATGTAAAACGATGCCTACAAGTAAACGTTACTTATCGCCAGTCAGCTAACACAAGTAACACTAGCGGTTCAATACGTGGACATCGTTGTTGCTGACAATAAGAAGAGTTTTCATAAAATCCAGCATGAAACCTCTCAAGTAATATATCAAGGTGACAAACTCGAAATAGTACACTGAAAGCTGGGTTGTGTACATATTTGAAATTTTAAGCAAAAAACGATAACAAATTAGGCATCATCTCTCTCTCAGCATACAATGATGTATCCTGACGCTCTACGGAGTCTAGTCACGTTTCTAGGAGGAACAACCGATCCATACAGCAGCTTGTTCCGGTAGTAGAAAGCACTCTCGGCCTCTCAAGAGGTTACTCATGCGGTAGACAAACCAAATTAAGTCTGAATTTACAAATTTGCTAAACAAGTGCAGAACGGACATACATATTATGGATTACAGTAACTGTGAGGTGCATACTGGCAACCTACCTTCACTACAGTACAACAACCACATCAACACTCTATCAAGGGTAACGCTGCTAAGGAGAAACATACACATACTGCTGTCTTCCATTATAACAACAGTACTTCCCTGTACAACTACCTAAGATATGATTCAAGCAGTGACATGTAGCATTTTTCACAATTCTGCACAAGTTGTTAACTTGTGGTGAATGGTGCATATTAGAAGAGAAATATGTTTTTCATCAACATACAGCAGTTCTCCTGTTCTGATTTTAATCTTTATTCTTTGGATTACATTACTTTGATCAAAGATGTAAAATTTCAGCTGAATTCACAGCTAAACCTGAACACATAAAAAAATTTCAGCTCCATCGGCTAAAGATTTGTGATTCAAAATTCAGTTGCAAGATGCCACTTCAAACGCAATACATACATTAAGTTAAGTAGAAGTTTGTTAATGTATTGACCTCTCTCAAGTGTAAACATAACAAATAATGCCTGATAACATAAGAATACAAACAATGTTAATATTAGTTAACTTGTTAACAGTTAATGTATTTTGCTTTGTAACAAACGACATCAACAACTTATAGTTGAAACTTGGTTCAATTTTACTGCTGCTGTAATATGCTTATCATCAACCCATTAACTTTAACTGTAACTTTAACAGTAATCGATAAGCATATTCAGCATTCATATGTTGGATATTGATCAGTATTCATACTCATGACTTCGTACAACGTATTCAAAAGCACAAACGTTTCACAAACTAATCCTTCACATTACTCTAAATACAACCAATGGTAACCCATGCATTGAGCCTTGGACTTAGTTTTTAAGCAGTTGCCGTTGTAAAACATTTACTCATTTTTATTTCAATAATTCAAACTTTATATTCTTAGTATCTTACTGCTTCATACCAGGTCTGCTGTCTATATTGTTGATCAAAAAAATTAGCAGATAAAGAATACTAAATATAAAAGTCAGATTAGATCTCACCAGCCTGGGTGCTTACTCTTGAAACCAATCTCAATGTCAATGCAATTTCAATCCAATAATTATTCAATGTCAACACTATACAACCCCTATCGTAGCTGTTCAAATAGCATTCAGAGTACGGAATATAAAGCCGAACTGAATACCATTTAGTTCATTCAATATCCACGCAATACGAATGCAATGGGCGCTAGTGTAGCCACTCAAGAGTACGAAATTTCACAATACCAATGTCGATCGATCGGAATTGGATTCAAGAGTAAGCCACCTGGTCATTGAATGTATTGCTTCTACAACACAGTGAGCCAAGCTTGCATAGCAGTCCAAGCGAAGTCAATTCACCTACTGCCACCAACCATCGACGCTCAGCTACTGCCGCAGTCATGAACTGTAGCTGTAGCGACGTCAGCACAGGCAGGCGCACCGGTGTTGAGCTCACGCTTCCTCACCAGCAATTGGCAGCATCACTCCTCCATGCAGTCAAACAAATCAAAGTTTAGTGTTTCAGTTCACTTTACTTTACACAAGCCATGTTAGCAGAATCGCCTAAGAATATTAGCAGAATCACTTCAGTACCTACGTGACATTCATTGTCTCTCCTTACTGTTTGTAACAGTAAAGGACATAGGTAGGTATAACAAATTACAATGACAGAACTTGAGATTGTTAAAGATTTTAACTTAAAAGAAAATTAGTAGGAATAGTTTAAACATTGAGTTCACAATTTTATTTATTTGTAGCTTACACGTACAAATACACAAAAGCATTATAGCTTTTCAAACGGGAATTGGAACGTACTCACCGTAAGTTTCAGTCATAGTTATACGTTACCACAATTTGCCACAATACCTCGATCACAACGTACCTACTAAGTACATGAACACGAACTTACATAAAACAAATGAAAAACTTTGAATAGTCAATTTGCCGTATCATGTAAGTATTATCTACATAGAAAGTCAGAACGCATGGAAAATAATCGTATCCCACTTCTGATATTAGGAAACTTAAAAACTGTCATAGAGTTCACCTTACTCTTTGATATTAGTAACTTATTTGTTTTATACCACATTGGATTTTAGAAACTCAGGAGGCAGGAGAAATGAGTACCACCATTACAATTCACCTTATATTGTTAACATCGAAATCAAATTACAAATTCAGAACAAGCTAAACCATAATTATTAATTGGAAAGAAAAACAACAACAATAACACATGAATAGGCAAATTGACTTTCAAATAGAATAAAATTCCCTCAACACCAAATACACCGTCTCAATAATTTCCGAGTTCCCGCCATCTTGACTTTTTCATTGTTCGAACCACAGATTATATTTTCCCGCTACGCGATGACATTTCGTTCCTTTTTGTCTATGCTTCTAACAATATCGATAGCAAAGAACTTTAATTGTAACTTTGTATTGTCTATGATCGTACGTGACATTGACAATTACACTATCACAATTGACAGTTTGACACTTTGACACCTTATTTGACAATGTGTATGTGGGAACTGTGGAATCGCAACTAAAACGTGTGAAATTAAAAATAAATCATGGATTACCAATACGAGCAGGCGAGCGAGGTGGAAGCTTTAGACTCTATTTATTATGGAGATATGCAAAGTAAGTTTTGTAACATGTTACTGTGAAACCGTTTTTTCTAAATTAGTTGTCGTGTGTGAATTTTGTTGTGTCTGAAGAAAAACTTTTGTTGTATTTACCAGTGCACATTTATCTTCTTTGGTCTTAAATTACTATTTAATCTGGAGTCTTGTATTACTATTAAATTATTTTAAACTACTTCCAAGTAACTTATAGTTGGTAGTTAATTAAAATTGAATGATTGTATATTGCAGTTATTGAAACAAAACCCTTCCACAAGTTTAGTATACCTATCAAATCGGAAGGGTTTGATGAAGGAGAAGGGCTCGCGTGTCAACTAGTCTTTACATATACAGCCAAGTACCCAGATGAGGTACCTGTTATTGAAATAGAGGATGAAGAAAACTTTGATGATGTAGTGGATAAAGATGAGCTGCTCTCACATTTGACAGAACAGGTAATGACTTCATTACTCTATGAAAAACATAGAATATAAAAAATTTTCATTGAAGAGAAAGGTTGTTAAGAAAACAGTAATATCTTTCATCCAACATTAGATTGTGTGATGTTTAATTTATTGTTAATTTGTTACTCTGTCTTTGTACTAAACAAAATTCTGGTGACTCTGTTTATTCATCAATATGAATAATAGTAAGTAATTGCTTAATGATGCCTTGCAGTCCAACAATATTTTCACTAATAATTTTATTCTCTCCCAAATATTCACAAGTTAAGCTCAATGCTAGTCTATGAACCTCTTTATAAGAGGGTTTGCCTCCAACTTTTACATGCAATTTGCCAATCTTATTTTAATTGGCATTACTTATAATTAATTTTCAGGGAAATGAAAATTTGGGCATGGTGATGGTGTTCACATTAGTATCAGCTGGACAAGAGTGGCTCAATGTAAGATGGGATGCCATCAAGAAGGAAAGAGAAGAACAAATACTAGCCAAGAAGAAGGCTGAGGAAGAGGCGGAATTGGTAATAACAATTTTTCTTTTCCCAAAATGTTGTTCAAGTACTTATTTATGCCACTTGGTAAAAAGTGGGTCAATGGTTCACATCATATTCCTGTTGTATTTATCTCTATAATAGGAGCAGTTTTCTAATGATTCAGGCTAACTAGCAATGCTCTAAATAAATTTATGGTTCCCAAGTTCAACTGTTAAATCACTCTTCCTCAATAGTAGAAACTAGATTAACTGGACTAATTGTCCTCAGAAGGAATATGATAATCGAAAATCCTGATTATCTATGTTTTATTAACAGCTCTATAGTTTAACATTCTATAATTATATTTACAAGCACATAATAGTTATAATGTATCTAAATGATGAAAACAATGAAAACCAATGTTTATAGAGTTATAAAACATCACTGCGATGGCACTGGCATAGTGCCAGTGCTTAGAACCATAAGGCATTTAAAAATAGTTGACTGACAAAATAAGAGAGTCATACATGTTTATGCTTGCATAAAATCTAGGTTCTCCTGTTTTAGAATAAATTCTTATTAGTCTGTATTTTATTATCTTTTGCCTTAATAATTATGTAGGTGTGGTAACTTTTTACTTTTATTTTTACAGAAAAGGTTTGAAGGTACAAGAGTAACTGTGGAGTCCTTCCTAGCATGGAGGAAACAGTTTGAGATTGACATGGGCATACCCGCTAAAAGAGAGAGGGAACTAAAGGATAAGAACAAGCTTACAGGCAGGGAGCTGTTCTTGAGGGACACTACACTCAATGAGTCTGATCTTAAATTCCTTGATGATGGTTAGTATTGCATCGTTTTGTTTTGTATTCCACAATTTAATTACAAGAACTTAAGAAACTCCTAGCATTTTAGGAAATATATGTAATTAATATTCCTTCAAGAAATTAGACATTATATCTTTTTAAAATTCACTTTGTCAGGGCTTTTTGTCTAGCTTCCAAAAGTACATATTCATGTGGTTGACCATCTGTTACAGGCGATGCAGTCAAAGTCGATGAGTCACTGTTCCAAGACTTGGATGACCTTGAAATATCTGATGAAGATGATGCCGACTATGTTCCGGGACAGAGTGGCAGTGAGAGTGATTAGTACATAATGTGCCCCTCCTACAGGGGTCAGTGAACGAGTGATAGAACTAAACGCCTCCTCGGCTGACGCGCGCCCTTCGAACAGATGTGGTTTACAGTTACTCAGTTATTGTTCAATAAAACTACACAAACATACTTGGAGAATATTTTATTTACACTTTGTCACTAAAGTAGGTATGTACAACGGACAAGTGAAATATCAAAGAAAAAGCGATGGGTCAACTATCATAAAATGGCAGCACAATAGAAACAAAGCGCGAGACAATCTAGTGTTTCGTGCTGTTTGCCAATAAAACGAACTTGATAATAAACGCAAAAACGCAGTACAAACGATTGTATATAACTAACAAAACGTAAAAGTTCAATCCATGGAATAATAATTATTTTATTTTTCCCTAACAATACAGAAAATATAACTAGTTATGTCGCTCGCTCAACTAACTGCAGACCATGGTGGTATAATCTATATTTAATGGAATTTTAATTTGGTCAGACGGACTAAATTTACGAAGCAAGTCCATTGTGTTGTTCTCTATGAATATCTAATGAAAAACACTAAGAAAAACAAATGTTATTTTATCAGAAGTTGTTATAACATAAACATTCCTTTCGAAAAAACAATAGTAATAAAATATCATATAATTTCACAAACTTATTAAAAAACATCGACGCTTGTATTTGGTAAGAGCTCTGAGAGTACTACACTTCAGGGAAATTATATCTAAACTAATTAAAAGGTAAAAGCTCTTACACGCCTCCTTAATATTGGATCTGTAATCAATTGAACAGGCGACATTGGTAATAATTATTAATTTTCATTTCATATCTATAATGTAAACACCACAACATTCAAAAACACAAAATAGTTGAGCAACAGAAACAAATCTAACTTGGCATATCTGACATTACTTAACATTAATATTTACTAAATTAGACGACACAGTAATTAATAAAGTAGGTATCAAAATATATTCATGTAGTGCAGTCTTTAAAATGAATCTGTGAAAATTAATGACAATAACACTTCTAACAATCTAGTAATAATTAACCATAGATATGTAAGTTTTGATAAAAAGTAAAAAACATAAGTGCAATCAAAATAACTTCTTACTCACACTAATGCTAGGTATGCACTTATGTAGAACGTTTATGTACACAGGTATTACGCTTCAATAAATCAGTTCATTTATCTTAAACGAATATAATTTTATAAAATAATATTAAAACAATGTTTTACATAAATCTGTAACTTTCAATTGCACGATAAATCGTATTTGCAATTTATAAACAAAACTGTAAACACCTAGAACAATAAGGTAATAAATGCAATAGTAATGATACAATGACAACAACAATAGTTAAAGATAACACACATTACAACAATGTCTTCACCTAGAACGTGCTAACACGCACATTATATTCACTAGACATTATTTCGATATTAACTGATGGACAGTGATATTTTACCTGCAAGAATGCGTGACATACCTAGGCCGCATGCTCGGTAACTAAATATCAAAACAACGGCACCGCGATACCTTTGTTATTGCTGTAATACACAAAATATTACTCAAGGACCAAATAATAACTTCACTATAGTTATGAGCCCGACTTACAACATCAAGAGGTTGTGATAACTACAAACTATAGGCCAGTACAATAAGTCACTTCTTTAGAATTATTTCACAGGTATGCAAAATGTCTATCGTGAAAATATATATTTGTATCTTAAATTATTTACTTTTTTGCTAAAGTGGTATCATGTAATTTACATAAGACATATTAAGCTGTCCGTGGTGGTCCCAATAGTAGGGGAGCCCATGATGTTAAAGGATTTATTCGACTGTTGTAGGGAAGTACCGGATTGTAAATGTTTAAGAAAATATTATATAGCTATCAATAACTAATACTGTCAAATGCGGTTATTTTTAACAGACACTAAAAGCTTCTTAAGAGGTTAAGCCTAGCTAACGTCTGATGGCAAACAGTTGACTAAGTATCCTTAGTGTAGGTATTATTTTGCGTGGAGCAGTAAGCATTCGGTGACTTGCGCTTGTCATTACTATGAAAAGCAACCATTGTTAGCAAACAGACTACTTTGAATATGTACCAAAATTGATCATTCCCCTGATATGATGCGCGTGAGTAATTACCGAAATTCCTTCATGGGCTCCCCTACTACAATGTCTCCGATTTCTTCGAATTTGAAACTTTACAAGGCTATCCTATCTACGCTTGTGTAAAAAATATATTTGGATGGGCGAGTTCGCTGATCAATACGCGTTAAAGAAGACTATAGTGTGTACAAAGCTTATTCGATCTATGTCGTAACAGCTTCTAACGAGGACGCTGACCGAGGATATTGGCGAACACAAGTTCGTATGAGACTCAGTATAAGGATAGAAATGTTATCTAACAACTAGCTGCTATATGCTTACCGCATAATGTGAATGTGATGTTAGTGATAGTATGACAATATAGAACTGCAACGGAAACGTCTGTCGACTGCGACAGGTTTTAATCAGAATAACACAATGATGGGCCAGCCTCCGGTCAGCTTGGCTACAAGGGCCGAGTGCTATTAACGATCGTAAGGATGGAGTTTACTTCAGACGTTGAGTGACGTTGGCGAGAGCCACCGCGAAGGCTTGAAGCGCTGAGAATGGGTACTGGAAGTCCAGTGTGTACGCGTTTCCATCGATACGGCCGAACTGCATCACCTGAAGAATACAAGATGTAAAGTTAATGAATATAACAATCAAGTTCAGTTATCTACGTAAAGCCTTTTAGATGTTTTTAGAACACTTCATGCTGTGATTTATTACCTGTTTGCCATGATATTCTATTTGAAAGTTCTTGGCGGACTCCTGTGTGACGCGGCCCCCGAAGTCGAGCTGGTAGACCTGGCTGTTCTCGTTCCACATGGGCGCCTTGTTGTGCATCACGAGCTGGCGCCGCGCGCTGTTGTTGCGGCTGTCGCTCGTCGAACTACTGCCCGACATCACGCCACCCGCGCGCTTCAACTATATCAATATACAAAATTTCATTTCAATATGCCATGGAGGTCAGTCAAAAAGGCCCAGTGAAGTATTGGAAATTCGTTCCGTAACATTTCCACCTACCTTATTCCTAAGTTGTGCCTTCTGGAAACTCTCCAGATCTCTATAGTTCTTGCCATTGACCTCGCTGTAGCCACCGCCCGTTGAGTACTCGTCGTCGGAACTTTCGGACGGTTTCTTGTTTCTTCTTCGATTCAAAAGCGGAGAGTTCAAAAGTTGTCTGGAAAATATTTAGGTATTGTTGGATTTAACCGTTCTGAGATTATTGATGACATCAGGTATGTATTGAATGGTTGACTCACCTGATAGGAGATGCGGAGGAGTACCGATGTCTGCGTGGTGGAGTGTGTTGCGGCGTGTGCGGCGCGGGCGCGGGCGTGGCGCCGTGCTCGCGCGCGGGGCGGGGCCGCGGGGAGGCGGGCGCCGAACTCACCTCGCGGGCCACGCCCCCTGCCGCCCCGCCCCCCGCCCCGCCCGCAGCCCGTAGAGACCGCGACGCCAGCAGGCGCAGCGCCAGTTGTTCCAGTGAACCTGCACGCGATACATACGTATTACGCCCCCAGCGCTTCCAGCTCCAGTTCTGGTGGCTACCCGTGTCCATGCCGCGTCGTGTCTCCTAGATAAGCTTCATGCGTTCTATAGAGAAGCGAGCGGCTACCGGAGTGGAAGCAGTATGTGTCGCGTGTCAAGCACTCGGTGTGAGCACCGTGGGGGTGTCGCGTCAAACTTGGCCGTGCGCAGCAGACCACAGTGGGCCGAAACGAGCGTGGGAGTTAGTGACCATGTATCGAGTGGTGAACTCCGTGTCAAACTAATGTTCAATAAGTCTAATTACTCGAAATAGGGGTGCAGCCCGGGATATTAAAAAGCCGTCAATAGATTACCCGTAATCCAATGGGGCGTATACTGTCGGGCGAGGAGCGAGTGCGCCGCCTCGGTGTGTAGTGTCGGACGGCGGGTGAAGTAAAGCATCTACTTATCGTACTAACTGTAATACTTGCTGTAGTCGGAGTCGCTGTCGGCGGGCGGGCGCGGCGCGGGCGCGGGCGGCGCCCCGCGGCAGGCGGAGCAGGCGGCGGGCGGCGCGCGCCGCGCCCCGCGCCCGCTGTCGGACGCCGACGCGCCGCTGTTGTCCTCGCCCGCGCTGGTGCAGCGGCTGCTGGACTGCGCCGACGTCGCCTCCGCCTTCGGAGACACTGTGTCCACCCGCGACTGCCGCTTGCTCTTATCTACAGTTAGTGACATTTCACTGGAATCGAGACTCCTAGACTTGCCACATCTCCGTAAGCTCGGAGTCTTGGTACACTCGGCCTGCTTGGAGTCTCCGGCGCGCACGTGTCGCCGCTGTCGCCGGTGCCGCTTGTTGTTGACGAGTACCAGTCTCCGCGGCGGCTCGCCCCGCAGTGCGGTCAAACTCACCTGAGCGTGGAGTACCTGAGGGTCCACGAGATCCAGATAGCCGACGCTGCAGCTCCTAGTCATCGTGTCGTACACGGGGATGGTCGCGCACACAGGACTAATAGGCACCACAGTCGTCGTCCTCTGAACTTTACCAGTCACCTCTCGAGCCTTGTCGGTCAGGTTACTGATAGTGGTATCCACGGGAGTCTCCTCGTCGATGAACTTCAAGTCCTCACTCTTCTGCAAGTGTTTCATTGCTTCACCGCGTTTACTCAGAGCGTCTGGGTGCACTTCATGCTCGTAATTTTTGTTACAGAGCGATTTAAGGATCCTCGTGTTCATGTCGTACGAAGCAGACTCGCCTCTGCTGCAAATGTTTTTGCGTAATTTGGAAAGGCAATTGTCAGTGACGTGATTATCACATTTCTTTATCGTGACCTGTCTGCTCGGTTCGAGACTTAAATTAAGATTAAAAGATTGTTGTTCGATGTTGGACAAGTTCCCTTTGAGCGACACGTTGTCCCCGCGCACGCTGTAGTCAGTCCTGCCCCCGCAGAAGTCGCCCCGGCCCCCGCACGTGACAGTCTGCGGGGATGGCCTCTCAAATATGATGTCTGTGGGCGCCACAGCGTTTTTAGGCGACTGCAGCGTGGGCACCGAGCTCTCACAGCGTAGTGGGGAGATGGCGTGTCGGTTGGGGACGCCGGCGGTGTTGCTGACTCTCCTGTCGGTCTGGTTGGCGTGCCGCACGGCCGCGGAGTACACGGTCTCCGGCACGTTGCTGACGGCCTCGTTGGTGTTGGTGTCGATGTAAGGGAACTCGTCGTACGACTCGGCTCGTGCGAGCGACGGGCTGCTCTGGTTGTTGTTGTTAGCCGCGTAGCTGTCGTTTTGATTGCTGTTGTTGGTATTATTTAATCTTTCGTTGAGAGTTAATTTTCTTCTGATATTATTATTAGTGTGCGACGGAGAATCGTTCGAGTCGTTGGACTGAAACACTTCCTCTTCATCCTCGGAGAAGATGTTAGGATTGAAGTTAGGGTCCGGGCCGACGGGATAGTCGTCCCTGAGCTCCGTGATCATGAGCGTCATCTGCCTCGGCTGGAGGTGGAGCAAGGACGTCTTATACGTGACCTGGCCGAGGTTGGCCGGGACATTTTTAGCTAAACCGTGCATTTTAAACTTGGTTCCCCATATATTAGATGTGACTTCTACTAAACGTACATCCTGTAACAAGAACTCGCGTGTAGATATACAACTTTATGTGGAAACAAATATACATTGAAGTAAAATGTTTAATAAAAATACGATAGACGATGAAATAAGTGTGGTACCTCGGGCAAGGAGTCGATGTAGGCGAGTTCGTCAGGCGTGTCTTCCTTCTCACTGGAGTTCCGTACCTTCCGTCTCTCCCGCGCCCGGCGCCGGCGTTGTAGCCGCGGGGACCCGGAGCAACCTGACATTATAATAACCGTTCTACCATCGGGTTCTACAATGCAATCAGTCACAAAGTACATTGTAGGGTTGGCTTTATTGATGCATGTCGATTTTTCCTTGTCAAATCTATCAAAATTTACAATAACATACCTTATACCAATAAGATATCAAAATCAGCCATTAAAATCGCTATAATACGAATACGCTAGAACTATTCAAGTGTCAAGCTCGACTGGTTTCAAGGCACAACGGGATTCTTACGGGTTGTAACTCGTAGTAGTAGAGCTTCTCTCAAATAATTGACGTTGTTTGGAATGAACGTACCTTCTTCTCGTTCAGTGTCGGAGGAGGAGGTGTGTCCGTGCAGGGCGTGTCGGGGGCGGGGGCGCGCGGCGCGGGGCGTGCGGGGCGAGGCGGTGCCGCCCCCGCTGGACGAGCTCGTCGCGCCGCTGCTACTGCTACTGCTGCTGCTACTCGAAGCTTTCTCCGCTGTATACACAACACGCAAAATACAATTTATTTTAGACACAACTGTTATTGTTGATGATTTTCATATTTAATTTAGTTTACTAAAATTAGATGTATCTCTATTTGCGATTCATCTCCATATCATGTTGATATATTAAGCAGGTACATAGTGAATGCAGAGTAACGAGTAGAGCAATATCCTTCACCTTCAGCTTGTGGATCGAAGATGACGAACTCAGGTCTAATCTTGCTGGTCCTTCTACCCTTGAGGAGTGGCACTAGTCCCCCGAGGTGTTCCAGGTACAGGGTGTAGGCCCCCGCCTCCTCGTCGTCGTGACGTAACATCGTACAGTGCAGGCGACCGCCCGCCGCCGGGGGACGGGATACGAACAGACGGAGTTCGTTCGTCTCCGGAACGTTGCACTATAATATAAAGTATGAACGTTTTATTCATAAAATCAATAAAAAGATTAACATAATCGCATTCCAATGCGCCGCGTGGGTGAGGTTAGATACTAGAGGCAAATTCCTTCCAACAGAAAAATTTGGTAATGTACTCCTTGTACTGCCGTCCGGCATCGCGAACGTTTATGGGCGATGGTGATCGCTTTTTATCGCTTATTCATATAATAAAGAGGAAGCCTCACCCGTATAGTGTGCGCGAAGAGGTTGGCGAGCGCGGGCTGCAGGCGCGGCGGCAGCGGCAGGCGCGGCGCCAGGCGCGGGTCGCGCAGCGCCTGCGCAGCACGCACCCGCGCCAGCAGCTGCAGCGGCGCCACCACGCGCCACACGCGCGCCGTGCACACCGCGCCGCCCGCCACCACGAACAGGCGCCGCGCGCAGTGGCCCCACGTCAGCGCGCGCACCGTGCCCTGCGCAACGACCTGTCTATACACTAGGGCCACCACGAACAGGCGCCGCGCGCAGTGGCCCCACGTCAGCGCGCGCACCGTGCCCTGCGCAACGACCTGTCTATACACTAGGGCCACCACGAACAGGCGCCGCGCGCAGTGGCCCCACGTCAGCGCGCGCACCGTGCCCTGCGCAACGACCTGTCTATACACTAGGGCCACCACGAACAGGCGCCGCGCGCAGTGGCCCCACGTCAGCGCGCGCACCGTGCCCTGCGCAACGACCTGTCTATACACTAGGGCCACCACGAACAGGCGCCGCGCGCAGTGGCCCCACGTCAGCGCGCGCACCGTGCCCTGCGCAACGACCTGTCTATACACTAGGGCCACCACGAACAGGCGCCGCGCGCAGTGGCCCCACGTCAGCGCGCGCACCGTGCCCTGCGCAACGACCTGTCTATACACTAGGGCCACCACGAACAGGCGCCGCGCGCAGTGGCCCCACGTCAGCGCGCGCACCGTGCCCTGCGCAACGACCTGTCTATACACTAGGGCCACCACGAACAGGCGCCGCGCGCAGTGGCCCCACGTCAGCGCGCGCACCGTGCCCTGCGCAACGACCTGTCTATACACTAGGGCCACCACGAACAGGCGCCGCGCGCAGTGGCCCCACGTCAGCGCGCGCACCGTGCCCTGCGCAACGACCTGTCTATACACTAGGGCCACCACGAACAGGCGCCGCGCGCAGTGGCCCCACGTCAGCGCGCGCACCGTGCCCTGCGCAACGACCTGTCTATACACTAGGGCCACCACGAACAGGCGCCGCGCGCAGTGGCCCCACGTCAGCGCGCGCACCGTGCCCTGCGCAACGACCTGTCTATACACTAGGGCCACCACGAACAGGCGCCGCGCGCAGTGGCCCCACGTCAGCGCGCGCACCGTGCCCTGCGCAACGACCTGTCTATACACTAGGGCCACCACGAACAGGCGCCGCGCGCAGTGGCCCCACGTCAGCGCGCGCACCGTGCCCTGCGCAACGACCTGTCTATACACTAGGGCCACCACGAACAGGCGCCGCGCGCAGTGGCCCCACGTCAGCGCGCGCACCGTGCCCTGCGCAACGACCTGTCTATACACTAGGACCACTAACAGCCGATGCATATACATCATGGAATCATCTCTTCGATGTAAAGAGTTAAAGAATCTATCACCATGACCCCGCTCGTCTCTTAGGATAAGTGTGGGGAGTCATGCAGACCAAAGTGATACCACGGCCTCACAGAAAACTGGCGTGAAACAATGATTGCATTGTGTTTCCTTGTGTAAGCGAAAATTCCAAATTACCAATCCCTGACAGGCCGGCAACGCACTTGTAACTCATTGCTCAGGTGATCCGTCGGCTCAGTTGCTGTTCTATACAATAAAAAAGACTGCATTTTCATCGCTTTCACGTCACTTTGACTCTTGATATAGCCGAATAATGGACTGACCTGTGAGTAAGGTATGGGCACAGTGTAGATGAGTGCCCCGGTGTCGGAATAGAACTTGACGACATTCTTGTAAGGAGGTGTATCTGCCGGCTCGTCAGCTTCTGTAAACATCACTACATAGTATAAAACAAAGTCGCTATCCGCCGTCTGTCTATCCCTATGTATGCTTAGATCTTTAAAACTACGCAACGGATTTTGATGCCTTTTTTTAATAGATAGAGTGATTCTTGGAAGGTTTATATGTACGTATAATACATGCATATTGCACCCGTGCGAAGCCGGGGCGGGTCGCTAGTTAAAGTATAAACACTTGTTCACGTTGGATAGTAAGTAAACGTGGCGGGTTGGCAACTCGATTTAGACGAGTAGTAAAACGTAAAATTTTACTTGGTAAAATGACCATACATAGGTCAAAATCAAACATGACGTCTTCGTCACGATTAAAAAGAAAGGTGATTAATCAAAGAAACGTAATTAAAAAAACGTGGAAATCGCTAACAGTGGTAAAGGAAGTAAAGAACAACTAACTATTCCACAATGACGCAAGTTTTATGAATTGTGTTTCACGGTAGCCAGTGCCATGATATAAAACCATTATGATATAAACTCATAAAAATATGGTGCTATTAAAAAATATGTTGACCATACAAAGCTGACGGTTAAATAAAATATCGTACTGAAACGGGTCCAAACAAAATGAATGCATCGTTTGATCGTTTATCAAAACGATACAAAAGCTCACTCCACACGTCGATTTATCAATATCAACGTTTTTCAAAAGAGCGATTCGGATACGAGTTACCAGATAATATGAACTTGTGCGTGTAGGTTTTATGTGGCAAACATTATTTATAAAAGAAAGTAATAGTATTTGTTAATTTTTGCACTAAAAAAACAAATATAATAGGGACATGTGTTTATTAATTAATGACACTCGGCAGTTTACGAAATATAGTTTCCAATTGTCCAATTCGTTCTAATTTCGTCCATAACGACTTCGTGCACTTGTATGTCATCTAAGCTAAAAATTGGCGGTACACGAAGGACACTTAAGGCTTCCCTATTGCAAAACATTGTTTACTTTTCAAGGTGAACGTATTTTCTACATTTCATGTAATCTCTAAATACATGTAACTTATTCATAAAACAATGGCTAATTTTACTGAGGTTTTAAAACTGTTGAAGGCAAATCCTTCGGTATCGTGGCCCACGAGCTATCCCCCATGGTGTTCAACGTGTTAATTTAATTTTATAAAATCCTATAGCCACTGGTTTACTAGGAAATATTGACTCACCAGCAATGAGAGTGCCCGCTACAGCCAGTAGTTCCCTAGAGTTGGCCCACTCCATGGCGAGCGTGTTCCCCCGCAGGCCGGTGGACACCCGCACAGGGCTGACGTCATCGTGTCCTCGCAGTAGAACTATTTCCCCGCTCCCGAGCGCCACGGCCAGCACATGCCCCCCATTGTTCTCCCCGGTCTCCTCACCTTCTTCCATCTTGAACTTCTCACACGACCAAGCCATTGAAATGATGCCGCCTTCAGCTACTAGTTGTACCTGCAGATAATATTATGGTGCTATAATTTTCAATTTTTTGTTATACTTATTACTGTTTTCAATGCAATTTTTAAGATGTTATTAGCAAAAAGTGATTGTAAGAAACTGCTTTACCACCGAGAATGCTTAATCACAAACATTCAACTTGATGGAAATGCCATTCAGAAAGCACATTTCAATTAAATTGCCGAACTGTACGACTGAGCATGGGCATGTTGATAATGATTTATGAAATAACCTGTGAAACCATAGCACCGTGGACATCCATGACGACGAGCTGTGCGGAGGCGGTGCCCAGGTACACCTGGTTGTCGTCCGGCGTCCAGCAGCCGCATGTGATGCGCGCGTCCAGCGACAACATGGACGACCAGTAGCGCTGGCCTGCCACCGAGCCAACCAATACGAACCCGTCCTGATCAACAAATAAATATTGTTCATAAAAATTTAATGAATATCGTTAAAACTTTTTGTCTGGTAAAAAGTCCTATCACATTGGACCGACTGACGGACGAATAGCCTAAACGCCTACGTACATAAGTTATGCCTCTTCAGTTAAAAACGTGGGCATCTCAAAAGGTGACTAAAAAGGATAATGTCAACAACCCTCCTTTGTGTTAAAATTAAAACAAAATTCACTAATATTTTACTGCACCCAATAATATTAACAATCTTCAAAATATTATTATTAGAATGACTTCTAAATTAAGAGCTTACTCAAAATTAAGCCCTGTTACCGATGTACGACGTGTAAATACCTCTCAATGGAATACAACACATGGTTCTAAAAGCTCTATATGCCTGAAATGTTTACCTAAGTAATTAGTGTAAACGTTTTGTTCGCATTCGTAATAATACGTAACGAAGGTAGCACCGCAATGTGAATTACTTTATTGTAACTTAATTAAACAATCATTGAACCACATACTTTACCGAATAAAATAATAATAACTTCGACAAAATGTTACTAAGCATGATTTCTAGTTATTTGGTATGATATTTATATCCAACGCATAAAGCGATTCATGAATGGCCATAGAAATGTACCTACCGCAGTCCACATTCAATCTACGGAACGAGGACCAGACGTAGAAATAAGTAAGAAAGGATGTAACAATAAAGGAAGCCCGTAAACCGAACAATAGGTCGCGGTCACCGGTGACCGCTTGGTGTTTGACAGTTTAAATTCGTTGCACATCTAATGCCTTGTTATTATGACCTATGGGCTATCAATCAACCCGAAAGATTTCATCTCTTATAACGCTCACGATCGCCGTGATGTTATAATAAATTGGATTGGACCCACAGCCGCTACAAACTTTATCGTCCCTAACCGATTTCACAGTTTTTATTGTCACCCTGCAAAACTTTTCCATCAATACAAGGGGTGTTACCGTGTTGGGTCGCCAGCCAATATTAGCATAAAAGAACCCAGTGAGGAGCTGTGCCAAAAATCATATTGTCAAGGCCTGTGTGTTCCAGTTATTCGTAGACACTGTCACACTGAAGACAATGGAAGACGCTACTCTTTGTAAACTATGTATAATACGAATGTAGTGTGTGTAGATACAGTCACATACTGTATGTACCAAAACGAAATATTACGACAAGCTTTATGGATACGTCAATATCAGATTACCAGTCTGTACCATTTCATTTGTCTGATACAATTTAGTACAAATACTACCTACACTCTAATATCTCCTGCCTGCGTCCTAATTTGAAAGAAATATTGTTTGTAGATCTAATAAATAAATAAAACAGTAGCTTCACCGACAGTGCACTACGTAATATGTTACTGGATGAGCACAAGCTCAGTACTAACTAGCATAGTGAGGACCTATAAACATTATGTCCTATAAATTGGAGTTTGTTTACGACGCCTAGTCCCTGAGACAATGACAGTAATATTGAGATCGGAGCACGCCCCCGCAAAATCGGCACACCTTTCTAAGCACGCTTCACGTTTGTTTGTGTTCAGAGGTGTCACGTAACGTCCGCCAGCCGGTGCCACGGAGAAGCCTTTTAGCAAATTGCTAGCGACATTTCGACTGATCCGGCGGAGGGTCTGCTCCAAATTCACGTGGATGCACACCACGTGGTGTAATTGAAATGACATGTTGTTGGTACGACGATACTTTGATAACAAATCTATTATTCGTCAACGTGAATAAAACTAATTGAATAACAGACAGCTGAGGCTGTCTCCTTTGTTTTGACATTTTACGGGATAGTGATTACTGTAATGTTTGCTCTGAAATATGTAGTACCAAGCACCGACCGACATAATCTAAAACTCGTTAAATTATTCATAACAACCCGAATTCATAAAAAAACTATATTCAACATAATATGACCTTTCTATTGGCAAAGCCTTATTTTTTGCCCGTTCCGCTTTAATACGGTACCCGCTACCTAGCGGCGGAATAGGTATGATGTATATCCAATTTGCTTACATAAGGCCGCCAAACATAGTTTTAGAAACGAGCCCGCCTGCACTGAAACGTTTCTGAACAAACTGAGTTCCATTTAGGTAACGTATACCTGAAAGATATATTTTAATTCCCACATACCAATTTAACATACAAATTAAGTTTAATTTACATATTCATAACATAAATCTATATAGAATTTTAGAGGTAACGTTTTAATTAATATTTAAGCTAAATTAAATAGCCGTAGTCTTTCTAGAAATAATGTTCTAAACCCTAAGGCATTCCGAACACTAGATAAACACCTACTTATTCACTATAGACGGACTCTTTTCCTTTTAGTTCACATCACATGAATACATGATTCTATATAATAGAAACCCTTTGCGAAGTATCAAATTAGAAATTCTTGAAGATTGTTGCGGCCTCGACAGATAGGTAATAAATCCCTTTATGGACTTCGTAAGGGGTTCTAGGCAACCAATTTCAAAGAAAGTATTAGTTCGGGAAGAAACCCAGTGGACTAACTATGTACAGTTTATGTAATGCATTTATTTGCTAAGCCTCGGTCTCCGCTTGTTTGAATGTGTGCGGAAAATTACGTTGGGCTTGTCGTCCGCAGATATTTCTATCAATAAATTAACTGTAGGGGACCACTGTTTGTATTAGGCGATGTTTCACTCCCGAGCCCTGGAAAACACGTAAATTACTTAATTTACTACTTAGGTACGTTACGTTTGGGACTTTGGCTGAATTTTCGACCGGACAATCGTCTATTATTCTGTCAGTCCAACTAGCTTCCTAGTATTTTAGAAATTAACATACAAATATTTTACGTTGTTTCCTATTTTATGAGTGGAACATCATCAAATGTCTCTTACCACTCTCGGTGAGGTGGAGAGGAGTGTCAGAATTTTACTGACTAAAAACCACACCGGAAAGCGACGCGACGTGGTGTAACTAGGGTCTGGTTCTGATCGGGCGGAGAGCTACTCTTGCTTACCGTCTGCAGACATGCAGCTCTAACACGTACCTGATAACAAATGAGTGCCATCCGTCCGTCGTGTGACCAGGAGAAGTGTGTGACTGGAGTACTTCTGTCGTTGATCAGCTCGATGCTCCAGCGACCTTCGTATTTGATCCACACAAAGATCACTCCGCTGCTGTCGCACGACGCTAACTTCTGGTATGGCTCGTTCCATTTTACTAGGATCACCTGGTTATAAAGAAACATCAAATTGAAAGCTTTAAACAGACCGGACTTTAAACGGATCGGGACGGGTAATTAGATCAAGTGTAAGTAGGCAGGACATTTGCCAAATGGGTCATCAAACCTGGAATTGAGAGAGGATTGTTGAGAGTAGGCTTTCTGTAAAATACTAATGTTACCTTGAACCCTTTAAGACTCATTGTCGACCTTAGCCTAGTTGGATAAAAGTCAGGAGTTTTTATGTTAATAAAGTATTAGATGAACCCGGCCGTGATAGTTGCAATTTAGAACCTCTGATGGCAAGTCCATTCACAAATATTAAAAGTTCACGATTTGTCTCTAAAATTGACTGATCAACTCTACCTCACGTTTCTTTGCTTACTACAAAAATACCTTATTCTCGAGTTTTAAAAAACTTGGGGATTTACGTTGACAACACGCTGTCCTGGCCTAAACAACTACAGGAGGTGAGCCAGAAAGTGTTTGATTCGGCAGGCTCCCTGAGGCGTCTTCAGAATTTCTTGCAAAAAATACAAAAAATGCAAAAATAAAAAAATACAAAAGTTATCTAGATAAAACCGCTATTTACGGCCATGACACCAGGGGTACTTTAAGATTATCTAGACATTTTGCTGGCTCAACATATCTTAAATGTCGGGCATACGTCATGTATGTCACTCACAATTACAGCTACAAAAGATACTGTCTCGATTATATCCTAGAACAACTAAATAACGACTTCAGCCGTGGGCGGAGTTAAATAAGGATTGAGTTCACATACATACAAAATTAACGCACTAATAAATTTACTTAATTTCTCACAAATCCAAGTTAATTACCACTCACTCGTAATGTTGATACGCTTGGAATCTTTTCTCGATAGATATAAAACGAATGATGTATGTAGAAAGTACTTATAAAGGGAACATTAACGTATTGTCTATCTTATGTAGGTAGCATTAATAGGTTTTGAGCTCGGGTGATCTATGTGTGGTAAATTAATGGTAAAAAATGATGAGATCTAAATCACTTTAGATCTCATCATCTATACTTATAATAAATCTGTAGAGAGATCAATTCTGTACATAAAATATATTTAAAAAATAACTATCAAGGGTTAGGGATCGCCACTGATGCCAAAAATGCAATCAGTAAAATTTTTGTCTGTCTGTCTATCTGTCTGTATGTTCGTTATGGAAACAAAAACTACTCGACGGATTTTAACGAAATTTGGCACAATTATTCTTCATACTCTTGAGCAGGTTATAGTATACTTTTCATTACGCTACGATCAATAGGAGCAGAGCAGTGAAGGGAAATATTAGGAAAACGGGAGAAGTTACTCCATTTTTTAAGCTTCCGTCGCGTGTGCAGGCTTATAGGTTAAAGCTGCATAGAAATCATGTATGACGGAAATATTCTCCTTAAAAGTATATAAAAAATATTCCTCGACAGCATATGTCTATCTTTTATGGTTGACTCACAATAACACGTGAAACTCCCGATAGCTTAGCAATTCGGTGATTTCTGATTGTATTTGTCTACTCTAACGTTTACAATACTCATTCATAGACTTTACGCTGTAACCGAAACGCCAATGGTTGAAATTCGCTTGACTCGATATTATAAATGAAAATATGTGAGTTTATGTGTATGTTTGTTACTCAGTCATATTAAAACGACTGAAGGGACCAGAATGAAATTCGGAACAGAGGTAAATTATGGTCTGAAGTGATACATATGCATTTTATCCCTGGGGTCGCGGGCGAAGCCGCTGGCAGAAGCTAGTTTGTACTAAGAATACGTTATTCATTATATTATCTACCTCGTTGGTCTAGCGCACTAGCTAGTTGGTCTTCATTTGTTATGAAAACAACTGATAGTTCTTTCTCCTATCCTATATTCTGTGTACTCCAGTTTTCAATGTTTTCGCAAGCACCAGAATAATGTTCTCCACAAAATATTTTTTGCAGAAAAAAGTATAACGACGTCAAGCACACGACCCTAACTTTTTAATTTATCAACTTGAACATTAACTACGTGAATATTGCGAATGCTATGTGTTTGTTCGTTGCTCGTACATCCAGCGCCAAGAATCCACTCTAGTGACAGCTCTAGATTAATTACCGTACCTAACGTAGTTTTAATTAAGTAAGGTGCAGTACTAAGTATAATACTTGGAGCCTGTAGGTACCCCACTGTGCATATCGTACCAAGACATTCAGATATGGTAACGCATTCAGTTAATGAAATGAAATGGGAAATGCTATATCTAGAGCTCGCATTTTCTTAATGATTGACGTCTAAATCAAGTTACATAACAGATTTTAATACTGTTCTCGGTTACCGCTATATTTTATTTACAGAAGTCTGCTTAATTAGATCCAGTACCCGAGGATTTAGTTACGCCAGAGTTTCAGCACTAGTTATAGAGGGAAGTAATTGATTAGTGTCGGCGCGCGGTGGCGGTCAGCGTTCGAGGCTAGTTTGAGCGATGCGATGGACCAGATGCAATCCGTCTTCCTAACTCCTGAACACAACCTTTAGGTCTAATTACGTTGAAGTTGTGACATATATCGACTCTACGATCTATACGATACGATACGATATCTTCTCAACTAAGAAAATAAACTGTAATAGGAAGACGGAAAAGGAAGTATTGGCTCTCAATAAAAGCCGATAAACTTTATAGCTACTGATAGACTACAGCTTTGCCTGTTCAAGTAGAAGAGCGAAAACAATATTAACATAAAGGAAATTCCTGTTTATCCAATTGGCTGTATAAACATTCTTAAGCTACTCAAGATAGGCAGTAAAAACGTGTATTTATATTTGAGGATTATACTCTTCGTGTTTGAGACGCAATGTTATTACACATTCCACGTGCCCTTGGCAGCTTCGCTCCATATAAGTTACACCCACTTAGAGAAACTGTCGAGATGCGAAGGAATCCAATGTTACGAACACTGCTAGCAATCACACGTTTGACACAAGCCCTCGACTTCAGCGAGAACATCAAATTTATGGGGACGTATAAACCGTCTGTGCCTACCTAGTTAAATTAGTGTGAGCTCCGGTATCTAAAATAGTCTCGGTATGTCGGTAAGGCTTCTTTGCTCACAAGGTAGACTAAGCAGGTATATTGTCTACATTCATTTAGGAAGTGAGTGAATTGTTAGTAGTTTCGTATTGAGGTTTATGAAGGGGTAAAATAAGGATAGAATTCAATTCGAGCTTTACTAAAATAGATGGTTGATATTAGACAAAATCCAAAAGATTTAAACCCGATGAAAAGATTGTGTTGCAACAGTAAAAAAGAGGAATCAACCACCTAGAAAACATTGTAGTCAAACACTGAACACTTCTTTGTATTTGTACGAAACAAAGAAAGTAATCATTCACACAATTCTAATATTTGTCGGTAACGAATCGATCAACAAAAAGTTCCAAGTTTGTTAATTACATTTTTGCCTGTCGGCTGCAGGTGTCTGTTGTTCTGACCTAGTATGTTGACACCACACTTGAACGAATAAGTAGGCACGAACCAAGAACCTAGGTGTTATTTTTGCAAATATTATGCTTGGGTAAATATAAAAGGGCTTCACTGGAGGCCAGGGGCGAGTGCCACTTAAACACGATAGGGTGGGGCCTAAAACAAAGTCATATATTACTACGGTCGAGGACTTGGCCTTTTGAACGTAACGAAGTCCACTCATTGCTACAGGAGGTCCCGTGTTTCTTTTGTAACAGGCAAACTATACGTTCTTAATTTACCTTATTGTGTCAATTATGAGATTTCAATGAGATTGATTAAAATTCAGAACACGTGTGATTACGGTGTGAATTAATTCCCCATCCTTGACTTTTCTATTCCTGCGATAACACAAATTTTATAAAAAGTCTATGAGAGGCACAATTATTATTGTTCTCTCTATTGCAGAAGCCCGAAAATCGAATGAACTTATTACTTACTTGTTCTAATTACGATTGAAAAATTCTTCTTTTTTCAAAGAACACCTTGCTTCGTTTCTTGACTTCTATCGATTTGTTAGCAACTGTGCCTACCTGTACTTACTTCCAAGCAAGTTCACGGAGGGGACGTTATGCTAAATATGGCAAGGTATGGGAACAATGTTAAGAGACCTTAGAGAAAAACTTGTAGAGACCAAAAAATCTAACAATATGAGTAATGGTATTCTATCAACCTGGATGCTAAATCAGATACCCGTCTAGATTATTATAGGCCTCACAAAAAAAAATATCATAATTACATATTATTTTATACAATATTGTTGAATTTCATCTATGAATCCAAAAACTATAAATACTTGAATTTTATCCTAAAAATATATGTTTACCATATTATTATGCATTCACAGTTTTAAATGTATAAAACTGCAAGAACCGCGAGGTAACTAGAACCACCAAAACCTTATCGAGAGGACAAGCATTGAATGGAACAAATGCGTGTTTCATTGTTTGTCAAACAACTTGATTACTTGATTGTCCTACTGATTGATCTCAAAATGTTCAATTATGTTATATAAGGGAGTATTATGGCACAAGAACAAATAGAAGACAAAGGACTCCCTCGTTGAGGAACGATATTAAATCGCTGTTCAAACAATCCCGAATAGTCCGTAAACAAGTTGATTTTAATGAGGAAGACTCGGATACACGGTAATTATAATGATAAGACGACATTTTGTTTGTTTGTTCAACTTTTTTAATAATTCTTATTTTGTGTTCAAAAGAATAATATCGTGTAACTTTTCCTGTTTTTCTTGGAAAGAGTAAGACGGAGACGTGTAGATTTATTACGACCTCTTTTTTTGACTACTTTACCCAGAGCGAGACTATCAAGCATAGTTTCAAAATGCATTCTTCTACTAGCACTTCAGTTTCCTAAACCTAAATGTTTCATCGGTTGTTCTAATGTAGCTCTGTCCGTCCAATCACTAAGTATAGCTTTTATTTAATTTCCAAATATTTGACACTATAATATTATCAATGGGGCAACAAACCTTCAGTTCCTACTAGCGCTATAAGTGGCGAATTAATACACGACCATTCTCATGAAAGCTTTCGTACTTCGCAGTATTTTTTAGTCCGAGTAGGTCATTATTTCATATTTTAAGTACAGCTTTACGCTTCAACATCCCACGTTCACATCTGTTTCAGTTGACCGCAGGCTCCTTTTATTTATTTTGTAAAACGTATTTAACGGCAATGCGCAAACCACGGCCGTGTGAAAGCATTCCCTTATCTCCGGTCGCCACATTTCAACAAGACTAGAGACCGAACTTGTTAACGTGAATAGGTCGCAAGCTCAGATCCAACTCGATCTTCTGAATTTTTCTCATAAAAGACTAGTTTTTCGTACCCAAATAGTCTTTAAAATAAATAAAATAATTTACATTTACGTAAAGAGCATGCTTGAATACCCACTCTTTTGTAATCGGCCCATTACTTGCGAGCATAATTTTACAAGAAATTTTCAATAAAAGCTACCTATTAGTATTCGTAAAAGGAAATATTCTCGCTCGTTAGCGCTCACATCATCCACAAAATCCGAAAGTAAAGAAAATCTTTCAGATGCCAAAGCAGGTCTCTCTATCGTTATGTGGATAAGGTAGTTTGTATTAGTCCGTAGGTACAGAGTTAAACTTTTCCTTGTTCACGAGATACCATCACGCGATGTCACTTACAAGATTCCTATCGAGATTAGGACGTCGATTTCTTGGCTAACACAAAGGTCACAAACAATTTTAATGCCGTTTGCTACGTTCGACATTTTCTTCCGGTAATTTTCTGATTCACAGACATTTTATACCAATGCACATTTCCACGGGACTCGAAACAATTCACGTGTTATGGCAGTCACATCCATTCAGAAACCATTATCAGGATCGTGACTTGAAATTAAAGTCGGATTTACATTGTGTCTACGTCAAAAACGTAAACTCTCTGTTCTGGCAGATTCCAAATGGATAGCTAATTTTTAGGTCAGGGCAGAATCTGTACCTACATTGAACCCAGACCTAAATAGAAAATCGATATGGTTTTTGTACATTCTACATTGCTTTTGTGAAAAAGTACTCAAGGGACTGGATCGGGATCAATGCGACATACATATACCCACACCCATGTACCTAGGGAAGTAGGGACTATAATGAGTTCATTTTGCGAAACCATATAAAAACACAATTGAATCGACTGTGCCTGCAAACTGTTTGTAATTTTGATCCGCAAATTTTCCTTTTCCAGGAATATATTTGAATTAGGTAAGTATAATAAATAAAGGAATACTTACATCAGATCGATGTCCACGAAGGTTATAATTTGTGCGCAACGGCAGTTCGTGTGGCCGGCGCGCATGCGACGATGTGAATGTGACTCCAACCACTCCACGGACGTTCCCTGTAGCCAACCATCCTTCTTGGTAATAGTTGTTGCGGTTGAGCTTCCAACCCTCCTCCTGTTAAAACAAAGCACATTTTCAATTGTAACAAGGGACAAATTTAGCCTCGAATCCAAACCTTGACCTTGCTTACAATATCGTGCAGTTTGAAACTCCATTTTTACATTGCAGTTAACTAACACAAAAATGCATTTAAAACACATCAAGTACCTACATATTAAAGCTATTATGCCTGATATTAAAGCCTATATTGAAAGTATGACGAGTCTTTTACTAAACCTACATTTCAACGTATTTCTATTTCAAGAATAGAAATACGTATGTACAGGAGTTGTTAAGACAAACTAATGGTTTTAATTAAATAGTCGGTACATAGTTACATAAATAAACATACCGACTGCGTTGAAAGGGGCGCTAAGCCGGAAGGGTAATAAAATAGGTACCCGTTGTAATGAATAAGTGAACTCATTCTCAAACTTTAGTTTTAAAAATACATAACGTTAACGAGTAAGTAATTAATATTTGAGGGCCGGGCGGAAGTATTTTTGCGGTCCCCAGGGATCGCAATACCCTGCAGGTAACTTACAACTACAAGGTCCCTGAGTGTTCCTAGCTTTTAGACTAACGGTGAGAGGTAGGTTAGGTAACAAATTAAATCTTTGCACGCTCTCGCTGTATACCATTAGCTAACTTCGTTAGTACAAGCACTAGAGAAATGGAGCTTCGAAAGAAAATGTTAAAGCAATCGACGGGTACCTACCATAGTTTATGTAGATAATAGACTATTGGTCTATGTATCTATCTATCCATTTATTAGGCAACACTACAAAGGTGATGCAAAAAGGCTGTACTGATACAAATCGAATAATTAATTTTTAATATCGCTACAAATGGCATGTTCACTTGTACGGGCCGCATTAATAGGAAGCCAGGCAATTAACAGGCACGTAATGGTGCATGCCTGTCCCGACGACGGCGGCAGACCGGAGATCGAAGGCGAAATTGGCAATTAGCTAGATATTACGATCCGACACCCTTCGCTCGATTAATCCATACGTCGGCGCCCAATTAGGACACATTTCTTATCAATTAGTGCCGTATCCTGGAAACCCTATCACTTGGGTACCTACTCTGTACTCATATCACCGTTTTGCCCAGTGGGTAGGGTACATTTTCGAGTAAATACTTCAATTAGAAGGGTTTCAAGGATCGAACTTGATTCTATACTTAAAATCTCGAATGAAACAACTTGATACCGTTGTCCTAACAATTACAAAACAAATACGCACTCAAGCCTCTCAAATAGGTACTTAAGACCATTTTTTGCTTAACGATAAAAGGTAAAGTGCTTTCTTTACTTTATTCGGATGGCTTAATTAAAAGCCGTTAAAAGGACTGAGTGGAAATATAATTGAGAACAAGAGGCAACATTAAGTACGAATGATTTCATTTAAACACCAGCTTTCACTTCTCTCCAATAGTTTCTAATTCTATAGGCGATTGGCGATATATTAAAAAAGGGCCAAATTAAAAAGCACCCTTAACCAACCAATGAAGACTGTTAATGACGCGAACGAGCTATGTAAGAATCGTAGCAATTGGCGTACCATAGTCCCTGCCTACCCCCATGGGAGACAGGCGTGAAGTTAATGTATGTCCATAGGAATATTCAGATGAAAATCCTGTTACTCCCTAATAGGCCAAACCGTCCAATTCCAATGACGTAAATTGTTTTTACATTTTTGCAGTAGTTTCGGAGTATCAAACAAATTATCAAATCTTTTCCCTGTTTTATAAGTTGGTACAGAAAGCTATAGATTTTTCTACTAGGTAGGTATCTACATAGGTCCTTGATATTTCATTGGATATTTCGTTATTAAAGGGTGAAATCGATTGGAAATTTTAAAGTGGCAACTTCGCCACTTCATTGAACCAGTTACAAGCGCAGAGCGCTGATAGTTCAGCGTCTCCAACTAGCTGTGACTAATGGGGACTGGGAGTCCGTTTACAATATATTCGAGAACAGGATCCTATGTTGGATAGACTACCTCGTTGGCCGAGTGGTCGGATGTCTCGGGTTCGATTCCCGAGTCAGGCAAAGTATTACTGGGTTTTTAAAAAACCTTAGTAGTAGCGCGGAGTTTGGAAATGTGCCTGGTATAAGGCAATAGACTCACCCCCTATTACATGGGACTTATAACATAAATAATGAAAAGTGGGTGCTACATATACAGAGATATTAGGAAGAAGGGCTTCTATATATTCCCTAGTCATATAGGATCCTACATAATATAACATCACACCTTTTATCCCCGAAGGGATAGGCAGAGGTGCACATTACGGCACTTAATGTCACTGTACAATGTAACACCCACTTTTCTCTATTTATTTTACGAGACCCATGTAATAGGGGGTGAGCCTATTGCCATATACCGGGCACAGTTCTAGACTCCGTACTACTACTACTGAGATATTTTTTTAAAACCGCCACTAGTAGCGCCGCCAGGCAAAAGGTAATGGAAGTTTAATTACGACAGATTAGTATTTCGAGATTTTGGTTTTTAGCAGTTTGATATTCTTCATGGGTTTTTAACTTATAGCTTGCGAGGTTACGAGATGAATTTGGAGATGAATTTATCATCTCCAGAATAGCTCTGCAACTTGTTAACAATATAATAAGTAAATAATAAAGGGAATTCTATCCGTACCTACCGGCCTAGCGGCTGCCTACTATCGGGAATTAATATGACTTTATTTGCCATTGCGATTTTATAGATTAAAATATAGGTACTTACAAACCGAAAAAAAACTAAATTTAATTATAAATCTTTAAAAACAGAATAACCAAACTAAAAACTTCTTGTATAAAATACCAGAAATTGCAGACAAATAATAAATTATGTTAAGTACTTAATAGTTTTTCCTCAAAGAAAATTCTTACAATAGTAGGAAAGGTCACCTAATTTATCTGCAAAAGGTCTGAGGTTGATATGAAACGAATTAATTCTGTTAATGTAGTTATAGTAGACTGGAATTAGAGGTATATTATACGTAAAAGGAAAGGAAAATTTAAATATCCAACCTTGAGATAAGACAAGCCAAATATATTTTCGCTTGGTGTGGAGAACAAGAAAGAATATTACAAATAGTTTCATTTAAACATCAGTTTTTTGACAGTCTGTGTTCACAAGCATTACAATTTCCCTATACCCGGCGCCCTACCGAAATTATCTATTCATTCCTTCCGATGGCAGTCGTAAAAAAAGCTATTTTCTTGCTATTTCCACGGGGCCCATCACCAGGTACCTTGTTGCATTCTTATAGGATGTTTCGCGGCAGCGCGTCAAAATTACCCCCAGGTGACGAGCGTTGCATAGAAATTGAATTTAAATAGGTCAAAAGCTGGTAACAACTGAAGAAAGGTTAATTGAATTGGATCCCTCGCCATCAAGGCACTTGCTTCGTCAATTTAGTTCGTTACATAGACCGCGGCGAGAAACCTCGACAACACATTTCAGTAGCCTCAAACGAATCGAACGCTTGGAGGTTTATGTGGCGTTTGTTAAACAAAACAATGAATTATGGAACAATACGGGTAAGTACTCTCCGCGGGAGGCTACATAAGTAAGTACACCCACAGTAAACACGTGAATATGACTATTGTTTATCTCTTGTATTCATCTTTTAAAATATTAACACTTGATAAAGCAAGCGATTAATTTCTGTAGCTTTATTTCGTTACGTTATTTAAGGACGGACCTGGGTTTATTATCATTAGTCCAAAACATTGCTAACTTCTCATTTACTGCGTATTATTCACCCCACAAAGGCATAAAGTTATGCTAAAGTAAATTCAATTCAGCAACTAATGTAAGTTACAAAGTTTTTCTAACTATTGAGTTAAATTGTAAAATGACATTGAGCCCGATTGTGCAAAATACCAAACTTCTAATATTAGTATTAAGCTGCAGCGATTGGAAGACTCTCTTTTCAGCGAAACTTAGAGCGTCAATACCTACTTAGGTATCTTTAAAAACATTGACTTGAACAAAATTAAAACTAAAGTTATTGAAAATTATTTGTGACTCACCTCAGGAAGCTCGTCAGGCACCTTCCCCATCCAAGACAGCGACAGTATGGAGCAGTCGCATTTTGCATTAACGTTTCTCTCAAAGTGAAGATGCATTTTCGCTGTATTAGTTCAGACGTAAACTCAAACGTACAACATCGTCGGTATACTATGCAGACACGCGCGGGACTCGAGCCGTACGCGACTCATTTCGCGGACAAGAAAGCTGGCGAATTAACGCGCACATTTTGTGGGGTCTAGTTATAATACATTTTGGAACTGATGATGAAAGATAATTTCTGTTGGATAGTGAAGTGGTCGGATAGAGCCGCAGAGCGCGTCGGTCGGCTCCTCGCTGACGTGACAGAGGGTGACAAGCGAGCCTTCGGGACGGCGGCGGACGGCGCAGGTATTGATTGCGCGCGGGGGGCGCGCGCACCCCACGACCTCTACCGCTCCGCGAAAAACCGGGGAAACCCACGGAAAGTCCGCTGAGATGGCGCTGCGATACCGAACACGAGGACTCAACTACATCTGTAATACTTTGACTTAATGTATTCCTACTACGCTCAGGGCTCACAGGTAAATATTGATAAGAATTTACATTTCAAATATTATGCGTAAAGTATTCCAACGTTGATGAAATAAAAACATAAAATTACCTCGGATATTGGATTGAGGCACCATATTAAAATGTTTATTTCCATAGTTTCTGTTTTATAGGACCTTCTACATCCTGTAGGTTCTATAAAAATGTTTAAAAAACATGAATTAAGAAAAAATTAAAACAAATGCACGAAAACAAAAAAAATCTCAACTTTAACGTAAAGTTAAAATCCGACGGTACTTTGGCGACTATCCCAATTTCCAGTGCGACTACATTACTGCCAGGCGCACTCTGGTTAATTCACTCACGTAATTACAAAAAGTGTGAACATAATTAAAAAATCAGTACTAACTAGATAAGTACCTGCCTGCTACCTAGGTACTTCTGATTTTTCATTTTCTCGAACTCAACGTTTATTATAGAAGGCTTTATATTTTGACGTGAAGTGGAGTTGAGTGAGGGCTGTTTGTAAATTCGTTTTAATCTACCGCAATATTTTTAAAGCCTACCGTTTACTGTACATTAGACCCACATTGAGTCCATGGACCAAAATAGGTACTAGAAAGATAGTACTTAGGACATCAATATGTATTAACAACTGTTTAAAGGTAACAAGAAAAGCAAGATACGACATTCTATAGTTTATTGGCTATAAAACAAATTACATTACTAAACTTTACGACTACAAAGGCAAAATATCACAGAATCTAGACTAAATAGATAATAAATAGTAAATAGATATTTCATGATTCATTAAACTTGATTTCTATCAAGGAGCCCCAAGTGAGTCCAGTCTTCACTTTGACAGGGAGGGGCACTCTAAGAGTGACGGTGTCCTCCATGACTTGTTTCATAATCCCTATGAAGTACTGCTGGTGGGTCTCGTGCACTTCATATATGAGTTCATCGTGCATCTGCAGTATCAAACGAGGTTTAGGATCAAATGATTCCATTTTGGTGTCTATGGAACACATAGCGGCTTTAGCTATGTCCGCCGCTGATCCTTGAATTGTGGTGTTTACAGCTTGACGCTCGGCAGCACCTAGTTTAACAGAGGAAAGACATTCAGGCACTACATGTCAGTTATTCACTTTTATTTTTGTAGATCTGCAATATTTATACATAAGTCAATGTCAGACCAATTACGAGTTTATACTTACTTCGCTTAATTCCTGAATTGCTGTTTATATCAGGCAAGTATCGTCTACGTCTAGTGAGAGTCTCGATGTATCCTCGCTTCTTGCACTCCTCGATAATGGACTGAGTGCACACCTTCACGGCTGGATAAGTTTTATAGAAGGAGTCCATGAAAACTGCCGCCTCCATTTCAGTGACATCGAGCAGTTGCCCCAACGTTTTGTTACCCATTCCATAAATAATTCCGTAACAAAGCTGTTTGGCTTTTTGCCTGAGATCATCGTCTACCTGTTAATAATTCAACGTTTATTCTTCCAATAGCGATCGTAAAAAGTTTTAATCTAAATAAAATAGGAAGCCAAATCCATTCGAGTGCTCTTTTACGTTGAACTTCAAAGGTTTACAAACAATACAAAGGATTTGGCTAAATATAGCGGACTAGCGTCGCAGATTTATGTAACAGTTCTAGCAAGTAAAGTGCCTACGTAGAACCGTAATAATAAAAATGTAATTGGGACTCAGACAAATATCTATTTGATGTAATAAAGCTGCTGCCAAATTCAAATATAGAATCCAAGCAAATGAAAGCAACAGACTCAAATACCTAAAAATCAGGAATTATTGCAACAAGGTTATTAGGAATGCTAAACGCCGGTTTATTCACAGCTCGGTTGAAAACAGTGATCCAGCCAAAGTGTGGAAATTTCTCAAATCTCTTGGTATCGGAAAGTCTACTCAAAACTCTTTTCCAAATTTAGACCTTAACTTATTAAATAATCACTTCATATCCTCGCCCATTTTAGACGGGGCAACCAAAGCTGCTACATTAAACTATCTTTCTTTACTTCCGATACCAAATTCTGTTCCCTTTGTCTTAAGTCAATTCACCGAGTGTGATGTTAAGAGAGCCATCTTATCTACAACATCTAATGCCATTGGTGGTGACTGTGTTAGCCGGAAGATGATCATAACTATTCTTGACCAAATTGTTCCTGTCATTGTTTTTGTCTTTAATTCCTCAGTCTCTAGTAACGTTTTCCCGCAGGTTTGGAAGGCAGCTCACGTGATTCCTTTACCTAAGAAACCAAATCCTGTCACTTTCTCAGACTATCGTCCTATATCCATTCTTCCTTTCCTATCCAAAATCCTGGAAAAGTTGGTCCATCTTAAGCTTAGCATGTTCCTTACCAAAAACAAACTCCTTAGCCCTTTCCAATCTGGTTTTCGTCCGGGGCACAGCACCACCACGGCCCTTGTCAATGTTACGGATGACATCAGGTCAGGCATGGAGTCGGGAAAGTTAACGGTACTTGTACTCCTTGACTTTAGCAATGCTTTTAATACCGTTGACTTCGACATATTGCTTGGCGTGCTCGGCGCTCTTAACATATCGCCTGGGGTAGTTGAATGGTTCCGTAGCTACCTGTTTGGTCGCCGTCAGCGGGTGCAAATTGAGGAATCTTCCTCCTCATGGTGTACTACCGCTGCCGGTGTACCTCAGGGTGGCGTTTTATCTCCTTTACTCTTCGCATTATTTATTAATTCTATCTCTAAAACTCTTTCTTCTTCTTTCCACCTTTATGCTGATGATCTCCAAATTTATACTCAAGCTTCGCTTGTTGAGTTACCGAATGCTGTTGCAACAATCAACCGCGACATGGACCGGATAGGCGAGTGGAGCACTAATTTCGGACTGCAAATAAATCCGTCAAAGACGCAAGTGACGATCGTCGGTAGTTCAAGGTCTGTCTCTAAAATTGACTGGTCGACTTTACCCCAGGTTTCTTTGCTTACTACAAAAATTCCTTATTCTCGAGATGTAAAAAACTTGGGGATTATGTTGACAATACGCTGTCCTGGTCCAAACAACTGCAGGAGGTTAGCCGGAAAGTGTTTGCCTCGGCGGGCTCCCTGAGGCGTCTCCAGAATTTTTTGCCAACTTATACAAAAATTGCCCTTGCTCAATCTCTTCTTCTGCCGATCCTCGACTATGCTGATGCCAGCTATCTCGATCTCACCCAGGAACAATTAGATAAGCTTGAGCGTCTTCAAAATCTATCAATCAGGTTTATATTTGGACTGCGCAAATATGATCACGTTTCAGATTTTCGAAAAAAACTCAAATGGCTACCTATTCGACTTCGCCGGAATGCTCATATTCTCTCATTACTTTACAATATACTCTTCAATCCTGCTGCCCCTTGTTATCTAAAAGAACGTTTTCAGTTCCTTAGTGACACACATACAAGGTTATTGAGATCATCAGACAATCTTAATTTAAATATTAGTTTGCACTCCACTTCCTTTTTTGGTAATTCCTTCACTATTAAAGCGGCTCGGTTGTGGAATGCCTTGCCGATTAAGGTGAGGCGTGCTCAAACTCTACCTCAGTTTAAAAATCTAGTTAAAGAACATTACCTCTCTCTTTAGTCATTATTTTTAAAAATTCCTACTTAGCATGGAAACACATAAACACACACACACACACACACACACACACACACACACACACACACACACACACACTCACACACGCGCGCGTGCACACACAGACACATCTACACACACACTCACTTATGTATTGTAGTTATGTCTATTTTAATTTTATATATTATTTATTTGGTATGTGGGTATAGATAGTATTATGTTGTATGTATTGTTTAATTATTGTACACTAGACGACCCCCTTTTTCCAACTCCTGAATACTGGCTCCATCCAAAGGTTGTCTGGAAGAAATCGCATTCTGCGATAAGACCGCCCATTGTGCACATTCTTTTATGTTTGTTTTTTTATGTATGTTTTTATGGTGTACAATAAAGTGTAAAATAAATAAATAAAAAATAAAGGCACACGAATAAAATTTTGTCGTAAACGTTACTTTTCACATAAATCGAGCTTAACTGATGTTATCTCACTATTACATCGATCGACGTCTCCGAATTTGTTTAGTCGAAAAAAAAATATTAATATTATAATAATGGAAAGTATGAAAGAAACGGTCACCTCCTCTTCAGACACGTTGCTCCAGGACGCCGCAATAGCTTTAAAAACATCCATATCCGAGTTCATAATTTTCATCAACACCTGGTCTTGACTGAAGTGCGTCAGAATTCTCATTTCCAACTGACAATAGTCCGCCGACACAATGACGTAACCAGGGGCGGATTTGAATATGTTTCTACAGTTGAACTCCACAACGTCATCACTTACGGCTGAGTGCACCGTCAAGTACTCGCACGGTATTGAAAATGTTCGCGGCACATTCTGCAGGTTGGGCTCATGCATACTGATCCGGCCCGTGCAACTGAACATTGTATACGAGGGATTTATTCTGCAAATAAAAATATAAGGTTTGCGGCAAGCTCTCACTTTAATTAATCCTCCCTGCTTCACGCTTAGACCTCCGCCCGCCCGCGCATGTGTAAACTGCTTATAATAAAACATTTTTTTGTAATTTGCGCCAAGTTGGGGTAGGTATTCCCTTAATGCGAGAAAGTTTAATTTATTACACATTCATAATTTTTACCTCAAGTGGTCCTTCGTTAAAACAGTTGAACAGGACTGTTATTAAAGTTATTAGGTACCCACTTCATAACAAGAGTTTGCAACTTGTTTGCTACTCATAAATAGAAACTGACGGCGACACGTGTACCTCACTGTCTGATAAATACAAATAGATACACTGATTCCATTGCAATAAAGTAGATAAAGTGGATATGGAAATTATTTCGTGGTGGGCCGGAGGTTTAAGACCCGCCCGCTTCTCATGAATGAGGGTGCCGGTTCGAAACCTACCAACGGATAGTACCAATATGACTTTTTCCGAGTTATATGTACTTTCTAAGATTATTTAGACACCACTGACAAACGGTGAAGGAAAAAATCATGAGGAAACCTGGACTTATAATTTCTAATTATAAGTTTGAAATCGCCAACCCGCATTGAACAAGCGTGGTGATTAATGCTCAAACCTTCTCCGTGTGAAAAGAGGCTTTGCTCATCAGTGGGCATTTATAGGCTGTTGATGATGATGATGATGATGATGATGAGAAATTATTTCCATTGGTCAACAAGGCCGACTGACGTTCTTAGGTTCTTTCAGAGTGTAGATTTTTAGAAGTATTCACAAACATCGTGGAAATATACTGTGTTTGGTAGTAAGCTCGCTCTTCGTTACTATACTAATAATATAATAATATAACTGGTAAATTGAGCCTTGATTACAGGGGATAACTACTCTAATCCCTAAATACCGTGCGTTCTCATTATTTTAAAGTTAAGCAGGTACAGATAAATAGCCATTGTTTCAATAAAAGGGACAAGCTCAGGTGTACAGAAAGCCGAATTTTGCGAGACATTAGTTTATCTAAACAGAGCACCAAAAGTCTTTTTTGCTCTTTCTAAATAATGAAAACCTTGGATCCTATACACTCGTCCGTAGGTGAGTAAGATTGATCACGTAGAATCTGACAGGTTAAGGTGAAGGCACAACTGGTTTAAATGCTCCTCCCGGTACTGAGCCGCACCTGCCGCGCTACATGTTTAATTAATCTTCATAAGGTATTTCAGGAACATTAATAGCACAACATAGATTTGCATCGATCCCGCGGACCCTTTCCAATAATGAATCTAAATTTATATGCCTACCACTCGTGTAGGAAGTGAAACTTCGAAACGCTAATGGAAGTTAAGCGATTTGTGAAACGCGTAGGTACAAATTTCAGACACTAAGTAAAAACTTACCTGTCTCCTTCACTGTAGATGCAAGCCTTCTCCGTGAGAGGGTACAATGTTTTCGTCAAAATAGAATTAAGCTTCCTCCAATAAATAACAGTACTTGACAGGGGACTGTTGTGCGATGTTAACACGCTTTTCTTAGTGCTCACTTTACGGCCGTTGTATATACCCAAAACCTGATAAAGATTTATACATAGGTACTGTAAATAAGTGTAGTGATGATAAAATTACGTCAAACTGTGTATATCATTTAAATATAAATGATCACAGTAGCTACTCTTCCTAAATAACTCGAGTTTACGACTTAAGTATTGCATGTGTTGATAAACTTGCTGTAGGTACCTTAGCAACATCTTTCGAAGAGTTAAAGTTGAAATGATATCCGCAAAGTTTGTATGCCTTCTTTTCCAGACTTTCTTGGGAATTTCTTACATCAATCAAAAGTCGTGACGCGAGATCTTTGTCTACAGTGATTCCGTAATATTCACAGTTAGCCAGAATCTTGGAGACCTGATTTTCGATTTCTGTCAAAGAATTCAAAATTGATGAACTTTGAATTAGGATCAAAAGTTCAGAGTCGAGAAATAGTTCGCAATTCTTACGTAAGTAAGTGTGTAACATTTACGAACCTATTACGTTTTGTGCAGGTTGAAGAGACTCTTCTAAAGCTTTTTCCTGTTTTTCAGCAACCATCCACAATAAACAAGTTCTCAAGCACAAACTTTCAATGGAGTCTAAACTCTTATACTTTTTGGGTAGATTAGAGACTTTGAACAACACGTTTGTGACATCGATCCCACAATACTTTTTTACCTGAAATACAAATATCATGACGCATAAGAATATTAAATACGTGTATTAGACATTGTGGCTTATACTTACTAGATATTCAATATCTGCTGTTTTTTCGCTGCTGTCTATTAACCATTCTGTTAAAGATATATCGATAGACTTCGTTGATAAGTTTACGTCAAGCCATCGTTTTACATAAAGGTTCACTGTTTTCGAACAAAACATTTTTAATATCAAACTTTTCTTCTTAAACCAGCTACGTAATTTGTTCTTTACCATTTGCATATTATTTAACGTCGTTAAATCTAAGAATATACTTATTCCTTGATTTAGATACAAGGCTATCCCTTTAATAGAGCAATCTTCACTTTTATCTTCGACTTTTCGTACTGACTTAGGGAAACTAACTATGTTACTTCCTATTATTTCATTACTGGCAAAATTATGTTTTTTCAAATGCAAGTGAATTGACGCTGTTTGTATATTTTGTATTATGTGTAAGTTGTCAATGATATCGTTTCCTCTTAAAACATAACAATCCATTGAACATTGATTGAAGTCAATCTGAAAATCTTTTGACAACGTACTTTTTATTTTTGGGACAACACAAATTTGATATTTAGGGGAGACATTCATATCATCTTGTGACGAAATATCTACTTTTTTCTTTTTCTCTAATGGTTGTATTTCTTTGTTCGTAGACTGTCTACGTTTATGAGCCACAAGATTAGGGTGTACTTGATGGCAATTAAGTGCTATACGATTGCTATCGATTTCCTCATTTTCTTTCTCTGTCATTTTATCATCCTCGTAGACTAATTTTATATCTTCATTTTCATCGTCATCATTACGTTCGTTCTCTAATAAAGTGGTTTTGAATGCATTCAAAATAGTGTTGGAATTAATGCTTTCGTAATGTAAAGCGTTGTCCTGCGACATGGGAGCGCCTTTATCGAGGAAGTGACTGGATATTAAGTCTAAAGGTAGACTCTCCTCAAACAAACTCGTGTTGTCTCCTTCTGATGAGAACAAGCTAATGTCTTTCGCAGACACATGTTTAGATGAATTCAAAATATCTGACGTATTCATAATATTTCCTTGCTCGGGTTTATCTTCAATTTCACCAAAACTAATATTTGGTGAGAACATTTTATCAGACGTGCGCAACTTAGATATATTGTCCAAACCAGCTTCAGTGAAGTTCAGAGAGTCCCATACTATATCGTTTGATAAAGACGGACTGATATTATCATTCGTTTCATTTATTTCTTTTGAAATATTGGCTTTTGTTTTTGACAATTCACCTTTACTTTTGTAATTTAAAGTTTTGTTTCTTTTGCCACTACAAGTTAAAGCACAATTTGATAGTTCTGCTTTAGAATTAGTACTCATGTTTAGTGGAACATTTTCCTTATCAAGGATTTGTTCACAATGTATAGTATTACTTTTGATGGTGTTTTGTGTATTATTAGACTTCGCGCTAGATCCTATATTTAAAGGACTTAAAATTTCATCAATCTTATTGCTTGTTTGTACATTATTACCACTACTAGTAAAATTGGAAGAAGTTGATTTTGAATCCCATTTAATTTCTGTAACACCAATTTCCAGAGATAGATATCTTCTGGCTTCCGCAATAAGATTTTCAGCAGCCTCTTTGGTTGTGATACCACAATATCCTGTTATCCAAATACTCTTTATTTTATTTCGTTTACGTATATCGTCACAGTCGTCATCTTCTCTCCCTTTTTCACTTTGAAACGGTACAGACTTGTGAAGTATATTTTCTATGGTGTTTGCATCAGCTGATGCTATGTTAGCAATTGATTCAAAACCTGAATCAAAAAGTGTTCGAGCCCTCATACCATTCAGTGATGGCAATTTCATTAACTCTAACAGTTCAGAATGAATTCCAAAATGTAAACGATCTTGAAATTGTGATATTAACATTTCCATATTTTTCCACCCCAACTGATGACAAAAAGCTGTTACCATACCTGAAAATAAATTTGATTAAAGTACCTATTAAAAAATATCAAAAAACTTACCCCACCAATATTTACACACCTGCAAAAGTCGCAGCTCCTTGTTGCAGACTCTGTAGGAAGCCACGAGCACACTGGAACTTTGCTGCTACTTCTGCCAATGGAACTTCATTTACCAAGTCTTGCAAAGCCAGGGCTGTATAAAATCTTAAACCAAAACATAAAAAAAACATTAAGCTGATAATGAGTGGTCTACTTATTATCTATTATATTTAGATAATATAATTGTTATATTGAAGGGGTGTCATACCTTTTATGTATATTTATTTTGTTCTGTATGTTGTTGGCCTTGTTACCACCTCTTAAACATCTTATTATAAAACTCTCCTGTACACCAACTAATTCCCCAACTCTCTTCATAGCTTTTGTTAGAGATTCCCAGAGGGTTAGCATATGTATCCAGTCTATATTACCCCACTGACTACTGACACTGTAAGGAGTCACTAAATATATTAGATGCAAATCAGTCTCCAAAACCAAGCACTGGCGAGCTTTTTGTAGCTCACAAAACAATGACAACCCATCATTTGGAGCCATTGATGATGAGAGACAAGCTTTACCTAATGGTGTAGCAACAAAACGTTCTCATGCCATCAGTCTGTACCCTCACTAACTCATAATTTTGTAATTCATCTAAAGTATTTTCCAGCAGACAGTCTTGGGTACCTGTTGCCTCCTGCTGGTTATAGAGCAAAGTGCATTTAGAATACATGTCCAACTGTTCCTTGGTTGTCAATACTTGACTGGCAATCATTTCAAGTACTGCCCTCATATATTTATCTTCACTTTCAATACAACTTTTCACTGGATCTAAGTTCCCCATCATTAAATCAAAGCCAATTTTTCTTTCAGCCTCTGTACATATTAAAATACTCTCACCTTTCAAGTCTTTCCCCATTCTACCAGCTCTACCAATCATTTGTTTGTATGTTAGAATGTTAATTGGCTGTCGTTGAAACACAGGTGACCGGATGATCACTTTTCTTGCAGGCAAGTTTACTCCTGAGCTCAGTGTAGATGTGGCCACCAAAACTTATTGCTCCTGATTTAAATCCACCTTCCACAATGTCTCTCTCATCAAATGTTAGACCAGCATGATGGTAAGCAACACCAAAAGATATAGTTTTCTTCAAAACTTGATCCAACCCTACAGGACAATTCTTCAGTTGTTCTAGTACTTCCACAATACTCATAGATTTCAACTGACTTCTTAGTATCGAACCAGCCTCACCATTCTCACATCCCAGTTTGTAAAATGATGTTGCCACAGACTGTGCTAAACTTTCACACCAATTCTTTGTCATACAAAATATTAGAATAGAGCATCCATCTTTAATAGTTTCTAAACAAATTTTTAGAACATTATCTCCTTCAGTTGTTAAACTCAAGTCTACTGTGTTAACACATGTTCCCTTTTTATCATAATATTTGTCTCCCACCAGACAGTATTCATCTAATGGGATTGGTCTAAACTGTGTGATGAATAATTCAGCATTCAGCCAGTTTGCTAAACATTTTAAATTGGGTAATGTCGCTGACATACCCACTATTTGTACCTTCACGTCATCAGAATTAAATGATACATATTTAATTTTTGTCAAGAGTAATTCTAATATGTATCCTCGACTAGGATCACCCAATAAATGTAGTTCATCAACAATAATGGCACCTAGTTCTGCTATGGAACCATCATCCAACAACTTATTCACCAAACTATTTGCTTTCTCAATAGTGCATACAGCAACATGAACAGCCTGCAAGCCTCCAGGAGGAGACTGAGAGCCCATAAACCCCTCCACTCTAATTCCAGAGCTGGACAATATATCTTGGAGATAGAACATCTTTTCCCTAACTATAGATACAAATGGCAGTATAATAATTACCTTTTTCTGACGTTCTAATATAGTTTTTATAGTTAATATTTCTGCTACAAGTGTCTTGCCAGCAGAGGTAGGGGCTGAGTACACCAAGTTGCAACTATCAAACAGTACTTTCGAATTCGCCAAACAGTTGACCTGCCACTCGAACATTTCTGTAATACCTCGTTCTTCATATTTCCTTGCTATTTCTAAAGGCAGTCCCCAGTCTCTTAACTTTTTATTTCTGTTGCTCACAATTCGCGACGTCGGTGAATTATTTTGAGTAGACTCCAATGTTATTGTACTATTTTGTGAATAATTGTTAAGTTTCTTACATTGTCTGTCATTTCCTTTAGATTCTTGGTAATAATTACTTTCTGCAGCTTGTTCCTTAACAACTTGCAAAGAACTTTGCAGGATGAATGAGTTATCAAAGCAATTATCTAGGAAACCGATATTTTCCGCTATAAATTGAGAATCAATTTTATCTGTTTCCATATTCATTTCAATATTGTTTACACATTATTTTAAACTTCATAACAAAATTCACACAAACATAATTAAAATAAAACTCAAGAAAATCAAATCAAAAGCAACAGTTAAAATTGACAACTTGACATTGACAGACACCAAGTGACAATTGACATATTGACATGACAAACAAATGACATTAGTATTGTAGATAAACAAAACTATTATTCAAGATATCAAATAAATTAATTGACTGAAAACACTGTTTAATTTTTTCTTCATCGTGCTATGAAACTATGAAACTTAACATCTTTCCAATTCTATTCTCTGTATTCACAGCTGCATCAGTAGGGTAATCTTAGAGGTATTCAGTTCACTAAGTTAGAATAAAACATGTTCATGAAACAAAGTTATTTATTTAAATAGACTGATTTCTGATCACATATTGACGGTTTACAATGACATAATTACCATTTTATACAAATCAAATCACCAAGGGCTGAACATATTTACACAAAGATTTAAAAATCTGTTTAATTATGATTACTACAATCTTGTAACAATATCTGAGGCAAAATTTGTTAGATTTAAGGCACATTTCACCACATCCCCAGTTACTATGTGAAATGCTAGGGATCTCACTAACATGGTGGTGAAATAAACCAATGTTTTTGTTTTAAATTGCAACATTGAGATCAAGGCAAACATAAATTGCATTACCCATTTATTAAATCATTTGTCTCATAGATCTATAACTAATGGACGATAATTAATTTTTATAGACATTGGTTTTTTGACAGGTTTATAACAATTTTAAAGGTACTTAATAATTGACTTGTAGATGTTCTTTCCATAAAATTATTCAATACTGCACTAATAATAATTATGAAATATCATAATGAGATTTTTGTGGCTGTTGGCTCTTTGCCCTCGGTCAAAGCTCTTGATTCATGCACAAATGATGCATATGTTATGCCCTGAAAATAAAAAGATAATGTGAATAATATTGTCAAAAACAAGAGAGTAGAAGACTCAAAATTATATTATTTTTTAAATCTGTACAATACCTGTTGCATAGCAGCCCTAACAAATCCTTCATTGGCTGAAACAGTAAGGGCTTTGATCCTATGTCCAAAATTAAAAATAATTTTGGATCTTAATCGAACATGCCCTCTAACTTTTAAATTCTTTCTTGGATAATCATCTTCACCTGAAAACAGAATATGTTACTCTCAAACCTAAATAATACAGAATTTATTAGATTAATTCTTTTACAAATTATAATATAATTTGATTTTAGTTTTGTATGTTACATTTTCAGTATTGATTTATATTTTAATATACATTTACTCACCACCATATTCATCAGGATATACTTTGACAACATTTTTCAATTCTTGTGTTCTTTTGATCTCCATAGGTCCACCAAGAGTGGTTACAATTTTTTCAAAATCATCCCAAGCTGTTTTGCAGCACACTAATATCTTGTCTGAAAATATTTAGAACAGTTACAATAAGGAGGTCTTGGAGAATAGTATCTACCTGCCATGGACACCTTTAACAATAGAGGAGTTGCAAATATGTTAACAGCCTTGACTTTAAAAATTGGAGTGTCTTCTTAACATGAAGGTTTACCTTTAAATAATCTTTCTAAAATAGGTTTCACTGGTCTCTCAACTTCCCAAGCTGCCTGCTGAGTGAGTACTTCCTGTTTGAACACGTAATTACAGTGACCATTTGTCATATTGCTCACATATGCCATCATTGCCGTTACATCCAAGTTGAGAGTCTTAATTTCTGGATGCTCATCCATACATTCTGGCATTGAGTTCAATGAGGGTCCTTCACTAGAAACAACAATCAGATTTTTATTGCAAATATTCATTTAACTATAAGGTCTTTTGATAATTCCTTAAATCATAAAAATATGGTAAGGTAATTTAATTACTTATTGATTCTTTTAGTTGATGTAATAAAATAATTGTTTTTACTTTAATTATTACCTGTGTTCTTGACACTCGTCATCGCTAGATTCTTCACCCCATGAATCATTATTATCTTCAGATAGATTTGAATTGGGCAATATTTCTCCTTTTACTGTCACACCAACAGATTTTAATTTATTTGCCAAATTTTCTTCTATACCACTCATAAATTCAAAAATAACCTGGAATATCGTTAATAAAATGAGTAATTTCTAATCATAATAATAGTATAAAATTCATGAAATTGTACTAAATAAGTTATACCTTAGGAGGTTTGTACATGCACGGGTAAAGCTTAGCACATTCCAGATAATCTTCAGCTTGGTCCAATATTGAGCGAGCTCCATATGAAGCTTTGCCTGCACTTAAGGCAGAAAGAGATTTAGGGTTCCTAGCAATAACTGGAAAAAACCTTTATTAATAATATCGACAATATTTGATAATGCTCCCATTTTATGTACAGTTCTATTTCCCACCTTTTGTCCATACTCTTCCTTCCTCACTAATTATATCAATTACTAACTTTGACGAGTCATTAATGTGAAAAATTTTACACACTGCAATAACTCCAGGCCTTAGAGTCAACTCAACCATAGCGCCAAGATGCCGGAGATTCGAACATGATAATTGTTCAATTTTCACATTCTTAGATTTTTTTAACTATAACAATACATGAAGAATATTATTAGTAAATAAATAAGTTTCAACATGCGTCATATTTAGAACATTACCTTCCGTAAGAATTCTATTTCTTGCCTAATTTTCCTTTGCAATTTCGTAACTCCATCTATTTCATTTAATGGGTCCAATTTAACCACAAGATGTTCCCCTAAGGTTATTTTATCATTTAGTAATAACATGAGCTCTTCTGATGTACCCATTTCAATTAATAAATTAAATACAAATAATATTTTCCATCAACAAAAACATTCACAAAGGTATAAAAATCAGAGCAAGGAAGGGAGCAAGCACAAATGAAAACACCTGACAGACAGTGACACCAACTAATGACTGTGACACTGACAAACTAACAGCTGTTTCGGGATGAAGGATCTGCACCATAAACTTAGATACTACAGTTAAAAATGGAGCCGACCTTTAAAATACATACATACATACATAACTTCACGCCTGTCTCCCATGGGGGTAGGCAGAGACTAGGGAACGCCAATTACTACGATTCTTACATACCTCTTTCGCTTCATTAACAGTTATCAACCTTTAAAATAAAGTTAACGTAATCGATATATTTGTACATAGATATTTTTCAGCACGGTGTTCATTTTCATTTTTCTTTTATTCATCGTCATCACCTGGAAAATCCAATTGGAAAACATTCACTGCCTGTACGGCACTGAACAAAGATCTCCCCTTTGATCTTTCATTTATCATCGAACGACCTTCCAGGGTTTCAAAGTGGAGGTCACGCCATCTCAAAATAGTTAATACTGATTATTTACTCGTTTTTATTCGAGTGCTTATCCGAAAATTCGCCCATCTCTATTGATGACGTGATGTCGATTGAAGGATAAAAAAGTGTGGTGTTACCCGTTTCTGATAGTTTAAATAAATGAATAACCAACATTATCAAAATCGAAAGATGGTAATTTTAAAATACCCATAGGTATATAATTATGTAAGTTATTTGTTACAGAATGCAATTTTAGTAATCTAAAAAGCGGAACGATTATCCATTCACATTTACCCGCCATTGTACTGATTCGTTACCACTGTCACGTGACCATAACCTAAAGCAGCCAATCAAAAGCCAATGCCTAGGCGACAACCACAATTTTGAGAAATGGCTGACGATAAAGAAGTTGAGAAAACTATTGCTGAAGACTTGGTTGTTACCAAGTATAAACTAGCTGGACAAATTGTTAATCGTAAGTTTTGGTGTAACTCTATATGAGTGCTTTGTTTTAATTTTTGTGCCAGTGTCAGAAATCATATTCGAATCTATACTACGTAGGTTGGACCGATGGACGCGTGTCATCGCCATGCGGACAATGTGGTGCCGCGGTCATTGCCAAGTAATTCTCATAAACGCGTGCGTTTTTAACTCTACCTAATTATTATTTACAGGTGTCCTGGAACAGGTCATTGCGAAATGTGTGCCTGATGCATCCGCCAGAGAAATTTGTGAATTTGGCGACAAGCTAATTCTAGACGAGACTTCTAAGGTTTTCAAAAAAGAGAAGGATTCTAAGAAGGGTATAGCGTTCTCAACATGCGTGTCGGTGAACAATTGTATATGTCACTTCTCGCCGATACCTAGCGAAAACGATTACATACTCAAAGAGGGCGATCTGGCAAAGATGTAAGTAATTTCAAGTTAGTAATCAAGTGAACTTTGTTCGAACCTCGTTCAATGCCCTCTCTTTCTTTGCGACTATCAGTGTACAACTTATGTACTGACTCTGATCTATTAATACATCGCATGTCATACTGGATTTCGGATATTTATAAGCCATTAGGTGCAACCTATTTTTTATAACCTCTATACCAAAAGATTTAACTGAAATCCGGTCTTACAATTTTGTATTTCAACAATGCAATAATTTCTTTCAAATTTTGTCTGCCGTTGGATGTATTATTTACTAGCGTGTATTATCTAACTGGATTGAATTGGTTTTGTAGGTTAGTTATTATACAGCTCTAATACCTTTATTTCTTGTTTGCAGAGACCTAGGTGCACACATTGATGGATTTATTGCAGTGGTTGCTCACACTGTAATTGTTGGTGGTGTAGAAGTATCAGGAAGAGCAGCAGATGTTGTTCTTGCTGCCCATTATGCTAGCGAAGCCGCCTTGAGATTGTTGCGGCCTGATAATGAGGTACACTTTACTTTCAGATGTTCCAAATAGATGAGTTTTTATTAACCTATCTTTAGCTGTGCTTGCAGCTTTGTTTGCGTGGAATATTCATTCACAGCTCCTCTCCCATAGGGAAAAGCGTGATTATATGTAGCCTATATGTTTACCTGACCTGGTAGTAATATTCATGCAATATTTGAAGTAATTCCATGGAATACTTTTTGAATTTCACCTGGACACACATACAGACAAACATTCTAAAATCTACAATTATGGTTTCGGTATTGACTGTAAATCACAACCCAAACATTATTTAAAAAAATATTCAATGTATAGTTTTCTTTTTGTATCTTTTTATATTTTATTATATGCATAGATTTCATTACTTCTTTTATATTTTGTCTTTTCTTGGGTTGGCCAATATTGCTATATGTAAGTGATTTGCTATTTCTTAAGTAATTTTATACCACTCTAGATAAGTATTATTATTGAATGCTTTATTTTCTTTTTAGAACTACTTAATAACAGATGCCGTGCAGAAGATAACTGCAGAGTATGGCTGCAAACCTGTAGAAGGCATGCTCTCACACCAGCTGAAGCAGTTCCGTATTGATGGGGAGAAGAGCATCATACAGAACCCTTCTGAAGCACAGCGCAAAGAACATGAGAAGGCAACTTTGGAAACTTATGAAGTTTATGCAATGGATGTTTTAGTGTCCACTGGTGAAGGCATTGTTAGTATTATAGTATTTCATGATGAATCCAATATATTTTGATACTTAGTGTAGGCCCTGAATTCTTTCCAGACTATTTATCTGCTAAATATTCTGGCAGTACTCAGGGCAAAGTAAACTAGTAATTTTCTGACTGAAGTGATTTTATATCATTTTGGTTTTTAATTTACTAACATTTAACCATCCACATTTTTTTGACTTCAAAAATTCATGTAGGTCGGTTATTGTAGTATTAACGATTATGCCTATTTGTTATCCAGGGCCGAGAGATGGACACAAGGTGTACAATATACAAGAAAACTGATGAGGTGTATCAATTGAAACTGAAAGCTTCAAGAATGTTCTATAGTGAGGTGAGTACATAGTTCTTTGTATTGTAGAAAGAAGTTGTAATACAAAGTTCCAGATTATCATAATAATTATTGCTTATGCAATGTTGCCATGATACTCTGGATAGAGTAATAGGAATGTGTTTGAACCAGAACATTTTCTAGTGTTTTGGTATAGATCATTTCGACATTAACAATTTATTATCATACATTAACATATCTTTTGAAATTATGAATAATATATTAATAACTGTTTGTATTTCTATGTGACAGGTCCGCAATAAACATGGCTCAATGCCATTCAACCTCCGAAGCTTTGACAAGGAGACCAGTGCGAGATTAGGTGTTGTTGAATGTGTTAACCACAAACTTATTGAGCCTTTCCAGGTATAGTGCTGTTACTTTATAACTACATGATATTGACTATTGTTTTAATTTATTAATAATCTTATTAGATTACTGTTGATTTCACAGAACAAAGCCTATATTTATAGTCAAATGTTAAAAAGTTTTATTTTGTTTGATGATGAAAGTAATTTATTTTGTTTATAGGTTCTGTATGAACGCCCCGGTGAGCTTGTGGCGCAGTTTAAGTTTACGGCTCTGTTGCTACCGAGTGGTACACATCGTATTACTGGCTTGCCATTTGATAAAAGTACATGCAAGAGTGAACGTAGTATCAAGGACCCTGAACTCAATGTAAGTATATTTACACATATCTATTTGAGATTAAAATAGAATATTTTCTTCACAATAATAATAATAATATCAGTTCATTGCTACTCAAACCAATTACTTACTTCCCTGTTATCTTTCAAAGCATGCTTTCACAAGGTATGATTTGAACAAGCACAGGGCACATTGAATGTAACGTTTTTGAGCCGATTTACGTTTCAATCGTACTTCAGTTTGAATCATTACGACATTTTTATAATACTTTTATACAATTAATACCTTAAGTGTTCTAAAAAATCGATCATAAATAAAATTATAAATATTCACAGGCACTCCTCAACTCATCTGCGAAATCCAACAAGAAGAAGAAAAAGAAAACTGGCGCTGAAGAGCCTATGGAAGTTGAAACTGTTGCCTAGCAACGGGATAACTGGCCGAGGACATTAACGAAATGAAATCTACAGCTTCCTCCAACATACCCTTTTAAGGATACCTTTATTACAAGCTGATACAAAACAAATAGATATTGAATTTTACATTTTAAATCTGATACATTTTGGCTTGTTAACTAAATCGAAAATTACAGTAGTCCACATTGTTATCTTTAAAACTGGGTATAAGCTACCCGGTATATGTGGAGATTCTGCAATAGTATGTAATTCTAAATAAAAACAAGTGTGCTATTGTACTTTAATATGAAATGACTAACATAATGTTTTGCTTTTAATCCTTAATTCCTCATTGAATCCTACATATTTGAAATAATACTTGTACATAAAATGACTTCACACTCTTATGAAGTGTAATTTGAACAGAAAGTAATATATCAAGACCATTCCTTTAAATGTTTGTTTTAGTCCTTATAAAGTGCACAAAATTTCTTTATAAAATTTGATATAACATTAATTGACTTTGTATTGATTTGTGTGTAGCATTGGCGCAACTGTTCCATATTATTGTTAAAGGTTTTCATAACTTTTTAATGAAATTATAGTTTTAATAGTGTTTCTCCAAGTCAAGTTTTACATATAATTCTTTAAATTCATATGTATACAACAGATACCATTATATAAGTGTTAACACCAAGCTTTCTTTCGTTTTTAATAGTCTTGTATAAATTTAAATAGATAATTAGTGAAATGATGGTTTTATATTAAATTTGAGATGGACATTCATGTTTTGTGAGGTCTGTGTTGTGTCAACTGCAATATTTGTTGAAGCTTGGAAATGTTTACAATGTTTATGGAGCAGATCCTATTATTAGGTAAAGTTGTAAAGTATGTGACACTGCAAGAAAGGAATAAATCAAACTGTGCCACAGTTGTGGGCTGTTTTTGTAAATTTTGTTGTTTTTTTTTTAATCGCTCCACACTAGGGTAACGTTCTCCCATTTACAAATTACTACACCCAGTCTGGGCCATAACTATTTGTAGAGCACGCAGACTTGTTTCCTGCAGGAATCATGTTATAATTATGATGCATCATCAGTTCACCATCATCTGCCACATGGCTCTATCATCAGATCAACTTACTTTTTTTTTTCTATCGCGATGGAAATCCTCATGGACTTCCCGCGTCGTGGGGACGACGGGGGGGGGGGGCGTGCCGGACTCTTACCGGCTAAAACCACCGCGGTGCTCCTTCACTGTCTGTGACCGTGACTCGGGTTTCCCTTACGGAATCACCACACCCGGCAGGCTTCGACCTACCGCTGTTTGCGGCAGGTCCCGCCACCTTAGCGGCCCTAGGAGGCTGCTTCCCTTCTTCGAGTAGCGCGCGTGGAACACTACGCTACCGCCTACTCCAGCCTATATAGCGGATGTCTGACTCCCCCGGTCAGTCGCCCGTAGGCCTCTCCTCTCATGGAGGTCACAGATCGGCTGCCGCTTCACGGCGCTGACGACCGGCGCGTCTACGGCGAGAGGGGAGAGAACTAGACTCCTCTCTCTCCCTTTCAGCCGCTTCCTTTTCCAACATGACTTGTTCAGAGAAGGAAGCGGCTCCGTCCCATGATCAGATAAACTTACTGCAATTTGATATGAAATTCTTACAGATGATGTCATTTATTTTGTCTGACATCATTTTTTATTTATTAATCAGTTAAATTAATGCATTTATGCATGCCTGTCTGTCATGCCAGTCAGCTTCACTGGGCACAATGAAATAGATAGAGTTTGTAAGGGAGGGAAGAAATTACAAATAATCTCTTGCGAAGGATTTAAAATATAATGCTACATACCCTCCATATTTACATGGAGACAGAGGAAGTGAGAAGCAGGGTAAAACATGAAATTTTTGGCAGCTTTTCAATCAAAATCTATTGTAAAAAATAATATAGTAGTATATAGTACTATCAAAATTGTTTGAAATATTTCATATGAATATATCAAGAACTACTAGTATGAACATTCATAATTATGTAGCCTCACCATGCATTATTCTTGTGCATGCATGCATTACATATTACACTTATTCTTGTGTTCTGGCGAACATATCTATGTGAGATTGTTTTTTCTATTGTAGTTTAAGAAATAAAAATTATTTGTTAATCTCAACTAAGGAAAATGAACAAATCCAATTTTTTTAACTTTTATTTCAAATAAACAATTCCATTTCAAATAAATAAATACAATCAACTTTACAATTTCATTTGTTTTCTTGTATAGGAGGACTTACACTTTGCTCACCTGCATCTAGAGCAGAGTTTATATACTCATATGCCTTGTTGCAAGCATTACTGGTATGCGTAGGAAGATCAACCAAGAAACTGAATGTAGCCTTTACTCCATTATTCCAATAGTGTTTGAAAAGGTATGAAGCTCTATCATTTGTGGGTAAAGGTGGTAGCTGTGAAGAAAACATAAGGAAACAATAAGACAAGTTCTCAATTTTAAAGATTTATAACAATAACTTTAGTAATAAACTGAAAAAGGACCTCGTATGGTATTTGTTTCTTAATTTCGCCAACATAAGGAGAAACTCCTTTTTCGAGTTCATCGTACAAAGCAGAAGTGGTGGCACTGTCTTTCCAAACACCTTTATCAATAGTGTAATAGACTGCTGAACCTAGGACCGCTGATTTTACCCCGAATCTAGAAACAATAATGTTATTTGAATTAGATATTACTCGTTCTAACTAGATAGGCTGTAGATACATACAACGGCAAGAAAGATTATAATAAATATCATAAACTTACTTTAACATTTTGTCGGTTAATTTATCATTAAAATATAAGTATTATTTTGTATATTTATTTACTACGAAATTATGTAATTTTCGTAGTAACTTAACCTTAATTTTCATTCACTGACTGACTTTGGCAAATAAATTGACAATTTCACCATCACCATTCGTTCAGTTTCATTCATTACTTTCATTTCAGTCACTGTCAGGCGTTTTCAAATAAGTTGTGAGTTGCCAATACAAATAAATTAGTGTAGATTAATAAATTAGTAAAACTACGAAACAGTACCATCAGTTTTAGGGATTATTTGCTTTTCCATTATAAAATCTTACTAAGCATGGACATTAAGCAACAATGACGGTATACATCAAGGAAATTACGGCATTGGCGGTCAACATCGATGAATAATAGGGGATACTGTACCGTACTCAGGAGCATGACTTATCTTGTGTAAAGAACAACCAAAACACACGAACTATGGCTGCTGGTAGATACAATGTACCCAGAGTCACCAACTATTTTGGTGATAGAACACTAAAAAAGAGAATACCGTATCTATTAAACAGTCTGCCGGCAGACATAAGGAGTGAAACAAATTCGAACAGGTTTAAACGAAAATTAAAGTCATATTATTTAGAAATGTCCTAATTATAAGTACCTAAGTATAAGTTTTAACGCCTGTACAACATTTAAATATAAGTACATGTAATTGTAATGTCTAGCGACTCGACCCCGCAGTCAAACCATTCCAACGGTTTTGTGGGGCTTAGATTATAAGATACTTACCTGTGTTTTTAAATAAAATTAATAATAAATAATAATAAGCAGCTATTATATTTCTATGGCGGTTACAGACATAGAGCTAAATAAACTGACAGTTGTTCATAAATTGAAATGTCATATCAAATGTCAATGACACCCATCATCTACACATATCATGAAAATGAAATGCAAATGAAATGAATCAATTTGTACTTCCTTTGAATTGGATTGTTTACATATTTTCTTACACTAATTGAACCTTGTGAATTAAATAATAAGCATAAGTTTTCTGTCTTGTCTAATGAATGTGAATTGAGTTATTGTTTTTTTATTTTCTAAATTGGTTTACTATAAAATAAAAATGATAGATACTTTTGTTCAAATAGAAGAATGTATCAATAATTGTTTAATAAGTAAACTTTCTACACCATATAATGAGAAAGATTTCCACTCTGAGTATCAAGTAAGGAATAACAAATTGGAGCAAAATTTTCCTAAACTTTTAGACTTAATTGAAAATGTAGACTTCAGGCAACATCCAGAAATATGTTCAAGTACATTATATTCTCTTTTTATATTATATATGGAATTAAGAACAGAAGGTCCATGGAATACAGAAAATATTAAAGCCCAGGATTATCCAACAAAATTAAACTGTGCATTTGAAAACAAGTATAATTTAAAATTTGAAGATATTCTGCTAAAAGATGACTTTTACAAATCACAAGAAGTCTTTGATAAATGCATTAAGGAATTGCACCAGAAGATGACATTGGATGACTTCAAGAAGTATCCTGGTCTTATTGAGGTCTACTATTTGATAATTAGCAATGTTGAGGTGAGATGTAAATCTACGGAGGTTGATATAAAATTGAACATGATGACATTTACCTGACTCCAGTATACTTATATGTATCTTGTTTCCAGAAATACAATGTTATGTTGAACCCGGTGACAGTAATGCCTGTGGCTTTGCTCCTGGTAGACGATTACATTACTTCTAATAAACTGAAGGGATTGGAATGTTGTTTATTGATTCTGGAGTGTTTGGTAAGTTGTTTGAAAACTATATTATTACCCTCATTTTTGTTAGAAGTAGACTTGATTGTCTACTTCCAACAAAAATGACTTCTAACACGTCGTGGTGGCCCGGAGGTTTAAGACGCCCACTTCTCATGCATGAGGGTGCGGGTTCGAAACCTACCAACGGCAAGTACCAATGTGACTTTTTCCGAGTTATATGTACTTTCTAAGATTATTTAGACACCACTGATAAACGGTGAAGGAAAAACATCGTGAGGAAACCTGGACTTATAATTTCTAATTATAAGTTTGAAATCGCCAACCCGCATTGAGCAAGCGTGGTGATTAATGCTCTAACCTTCTCCGTGTGAGAAGAGGCTTTGCTCAGCAGTGGGCATTTATAGGCTGTTGATGATAAGACTTGATTGTTATGCGTGTCTTTGTTTTCAGAAACCAAATTGTTTCTCAACGGGAAATTACTATGTAGTTATATACATGAGTTTTAAGAAGAACATGCATGAGAAAGATATTGATGTGACAAAGGCTCTGTTTAAATGTTACCCATGCTTCTTGCCCAAACTCCCATTAGAAGTGAAGGTAGGTGATATATGAGCAAAACATAAATGTACAAGATTTAAGGTAGGTACACATTCTAATTTCAAACATGTAAGTATGCTTCAATTGAGACTCATCACTTAGAAGCATGTGTATTGGAATGTTACTCAAAATTACCATGCTCATTTCAAGCATGTTTATGAAACAACAGGCATTCGATTTTTGAGCATACTTAATCACCTTTTAACATGCATGCTCTATTAAAGTACCTGTAGCTTAAAGACCAATTTATAACATAATTTTTTTTTTTATATTATTTTAGAAAGCAAAGTTGGATGATGTATATTCAGGAATCCTTGATCAATTGAACATTGAAACCAACTTACATAGAAAAGTTATTTGCTTCCACTTCACAACCAAAATGATTGAAATGCACCAAATACATTGTGCCAAGAAGAGGATTTATAAGGATATCATCCATGACAGCTTAGACATGTGTACTACTAATGTAGCTGTTTATGATATACTATTTATACCTGCGTTTGAGGTATGTATTTTAAAAGTAATAATAATAAATCCATATTTGATTTTTTCGTCCTACTGAGTAAACTTTACATACATATCACTTAAACACCCAAAACAAAATTTTTTTTAATTATATTTATCTTACAGTGCCTGCTAGCTTGGATAAGAAATTGCTGGTGCACCTGGAACTTAGTATCAGACCAGAAAATATTGGCTGTGTTGCTGAAAGTTCTCTATGTGACCAGAGATGAAAAAACAAAGCTACAAATCCAGACTTTGATGATAACACTAATTAGTTTGTGCACTTTAGAAGAACAGCACATAATATACAACAACTTGGACTCAACTCCTGTGTCATTACACCGAGACAGAGATATCATGTTGAGGATCAAAATACTAAAAGAAAGTATGAGAATTAATTAAAACAGTATTTTATTCCAAAAATAAAATTTCAATAAAGTAGTATGTCTTAGAAAAATCTTAGGTTGTACTTGTGATGGGCAGAGGATAAATACTCAGAGGATAAAAAGGAATAAACTTGAGTGTCTTAACTGATTAATCCCCAAGCAGTCACTGGTGACCGCTTACCACTAACTCCATTAACGCATTCACTGCCCAGTGGATTTTCTCCAGTGCCCGAATTATAAGACATTCTACAGTGCCCCGCACGCACTATTGCGTTCAATGTTTGCCCTTTTCGTGTGCCGGAAACTCATATACGCGTTCTTACGGCTCTCACCGTGTGCCCGAAACTCGTATATGCGTCCGTTCGACTCTCGGCGGGTGCCCGCGACGCGTCTGTGCGTTTGTTATATACTTACAGAAATACGATAGAATATTATGTATCTGTAGATAAAAGTTAGGGTGATGACACACTGCAATGGAATTTATGATTCCAAAAGATAATTTATGTAGAGAAATTGAAAAATTTCTCCAATCTTTCAGACTTCAAAAAATTTAGTTTCTTAGTTTTGTTTGTACGCGATTGTCTCGCGATTGATTGAACCGATTTTAATGACGTTTTTAGAAAAGCTTTTGTTATACTTAGGGAAAAGGTATATTAATAAGTTTAGGTGTCTTGGAAAAACAATTAGGTATCTAGGTAGATTTTGGTTTTAGCTCTCGTGGTATTTAAAATCTTCAAAGGCACCGCCGTGCATTGTATTGCCGTTATCAGCAAACTAATGTGATTCTATTGTGCGTATGTAGATAAGAGTCATATGAAATATTAGGTTTCTTTGAAAAACAATTAGGTATCTAGGTAGATTTTGGCTTTAGCTCTCTTGGTATTTAAAATCTTCAAAGGCACCGCCGTGCATTGTATTGCCGTTATCAGCAAACTAATGTGATTCTATTGTGCGTATGTAGGTATGAGTCATATGAAAGTTTAGGTTTCTTGGAAAAAGATGAGATAATCGAGATAACATTGAAAAAAAAATACCACCCACGGTGATCGTAGTCTTACGTGGATAAAAAAGATAAATTATATTTTTTCTAAATTGTTCTATATTTATATTTCGAAACGGCTAACAAAATTTGTTGATTATTGCATTGGTAGTAGTAGAATTTTTTTTATAATTCGTATGTAGTGTGTAATGACCTTTATCAAAGAAATCAGATAAGGAAGTACATATGTGTAAATATGGGTTTCGAAACAATAGATCCTCGGACGCGTCGACGGGCAGCAGGTAAAAAAAGGGTCAAATGAATAGAACGCATATTTGAGTCCCGGGCACATAGCGTCGTGTCACAAAACGCACAGACGCGTCATGGGCACTGAATGCGTAGACTTTATTTCCAATGTTTAGAGACTACTTTTGTATGAACAAATTTTGGGGATTAATATCAAATAATATAAGAGTTTTTAAAAAATCGTTATTGATAAATTGATATTACTTACTGTGTATTTATCTGGTTCCCAACACACATAGTGTATCACATATAATAGATTACACCATTTTTAATATTCAATTTTAAAAAATAATGTCACTTACCTAATCTACTTACATAATATTATATGAAAGTACTCTGTATCTTAAATGTCAGTTGATAAAATAAATGTTTAGAAAGTACTATACTATTAAGTTTTTTAATCTCATTTTAAATGAAAATGTGTATAACATTATAAGATACTTATTAACAAATATTATCCTTACAAACACTTCACTACTAGTGAAACAACATAATTATTATCCTTAAGAAGATTTATCACATTTTGATTTTTTATTAATTGCACCATTTAAACTAGAAGTATTGGTTAATGAGTTGAATAAATTTAATTTGCGCAAATTTCATCAATCATATTGCATACTTCATCAATAGTCGGCCTTTGGTTCTTGAAATGTTGCAAGCACCGTTGAGCTACTATGAATATATCCTGAGCTTTTGTCCAATTAGAAATTCTCTTGTCTACAAGTCTAGTAATATCATTGTCTTCACAGTTTTCTTCAACATAGGATTTTATATTGTTACTTTCACCATTCTCAATTACAATTGGTTTCAAACCAGTTAGTAGTTCAAGTAGCACTATGCCAAAACTAAAGATGTCATTTTTCTGTGTTACCGTACCAGAGAAGCCCTCAGGTGCCATGTACGCCGAGGTTCCCATCATAGACTTGGTAGTGATAAAGGTTGTTTCTAATTGTTTAGCCAAGCCAAAGTCGCAAAGCTGAAAAATATACAAAAAAATTTAGTGTTATTTTTGTTTGCATGACAAGTTGAATAGTGAAAAGAATTGAATGCTTACCTTAGGCACACAGTCTTTAGTTAGCAATATATTAGCACTTTTGACATCACCATGAAGAAAATAACTCTTCCTAGTGGATAGACCTGATTGAGTTACACTGTCATCAAATTGTGGAGGTCTCTCACTATGATGGATGTATTTCAGACCTTCTGCTGTACCCTTTATTATATTCATTCTTTCATTGACTTCTAGTACTCTTTCTTGAATATTGTATGAGAGTGAGCCGCCATCAATGTATTCACACACAATGCATGGTGTAATTCCATCTATAGAGTATCCAAAGATGGGAACAATGTTTTCATGTCTTAAAAGAGACAGAGCCTTTACCTCAGTATTAAATACTTTCATAGCAACTTCACAGCTTATCTGGAAATGCATTCTCACTCTCTTTATAGCTAAAAGACCATGTTTTCTGTGTCTACCAACATACACCTCTCCAAATCCACCGCTACCTATTTTCCCAACAGGTCCCACAGGATCGTCAATAAAGTTATCAGAAAACTCATTAGTTATAGCTTCTAATTCACTGTAATCAAATTGAACTAGATTTTTGTCTGCCAAAATAGCATTATCTATAACACTGTATATGTTGGGCACAGATGACAAGTTGCCACCAGAAGTGTATTGGGAATAACTATTTTGTGGGGTGGAGTTAATTTGAGACGAGTCAGGTTCAGTTGAGACTGTAGTAGCAGTCACTGAAGATATTGTTTTGGAGTCACCTTCAGCTTTGGGTATCAAAGCACTGAAGTCTGGAAGTTCTGCTGAAGCCATTACTTTAGAGCTTGAAAACTTAATGAGATCTGACTGTTCTACTAATGCAGTACTTCTGTCACCAAATGTTTGCAGTGCACTAAGATTGGGTATATCTTTACTTAGTATGGTTTCAGAAAACTTAATCAAATCACTTGGTTCTTTCAGCTGTCTTGTTGTGTGATTACAAATTGCTTGGTCATGATCAGAGTTGTGTGGATTTCCACTGTCTACTGTAGCTGTGGTATTTGCTGTTTGATCACCACTTTGTTCATTTAGAAGTGCTGATATATTTGTTGTAATAGGGGCTCCTGGGCCATCACTTGGCCTGGGTAGAGGTGGCTCTGAAAAATTATATTAACATTGTAAGACTTATTGATATAGAACATTAATATGAAAAAATAGGAATACTTACCGCCTAGCATGAGTGATATTTCATCGACAGCTCTAAATATTTCGGCCTTGTATAAGATCATCATGAGAGTTTCTAAAGTTGGTCTAACCCTGCCGGAGGTACCCCATTCATCGAATAATACCTCAGCAAACTTCCTGTTTGTGTCTTCGGCATGTTTTTCCATTAATCTGTTGAATGTATAGAAGGTTAATATAATAAATCAAAGTGATTGATACAACAATAACAGATTTGCTACTTGTTTACCTCATATGTTCATAGTTATATTTACGCTCAAAATTATCAGCAGTCAAGTCTTTCGGTATGAGGGGCACAACTTTTTGCCAGTCTTTATTAATTTCCAAAATAGTAGCCAAGTTATACAAGGAGGCTGCAGGTAATTTACGCAATTCTATATGCCGTTGCATTTTGGAAGTGTTCACCATGATTAGTCTTATTAATTATACTTCTTGTGTGAAATTCACTACGACCTGTTATAAAAATGTTATTTTGCACTTGGATTTTTCCGATAGATTATAACTTTATGAAGAAATATCGCTCGAAACTTCGGATTCGGAAGTTGTTTATCGACTGATAGTGACAGTGACAGTAACTTACTGTCAACGAAACGCAACAAATATTGTAGGGATATATTGTAATAATTATATGTATATAATATTGTAATATTTATTTATTTTATTGATATCGATAAGATGAAAGAAACACATTTCTTTAATAAATCGTCCAGTTGTGAATTTTTTTATGGAATAGGAGGCAAACGAACAGAGAACGGATCACCTGATGGTAAGCAATCAGCGCCACCCATGGACACCCGCAACACCAGAGGGAAGAGGTGCGTTGCCGGCCTTTAAAAAAGGAATGCGCTCTTTTCTTATAGATATAATGCTTTATACAGAAGTTTATTTATGTTATGTTTCTTCAATATTTTGGATGATGACAGGGAGTAATAATTTAAAATATAATTAGTCCATAAGTTAAGTAATGAAAAAATATTAGACACGTATTTTTTATTTTGTCGTATAATAAAACAATACTTAGATAAAACGAATCAAAGTTTAGGAGTGGGGGCTAAAACGTCATTTCTACGTATAAAATGTACATAGAAGTGACGTCACGCGATTTTTCAAATCAATATATCGTCGAAAGTATTCTTTTCTGTAAGAAACTTAAAAATACGTGTCTAATGTTTTTAAATAATCTACCAGACGGACATTAAAATAAAAATTAAGCTTGTACCCTATTGTGTGTATCAATGAATGTGTTTTTTTTTTGGATTAAATTTTTATTACAAATACGACGGTTAGCCTAGTTACTAAATAGTAATAATGTAACTTAAATGAACTGGCTTGACTAGAAAAAGTACCATGCTATCACTGACCAACGTAAAGCACAATTTAAATGAATAAAGTTTTGCTACATTTCATCCAGTTACAGTAGAATAAAAAATGTTAATTTAAAGGAAAAGGTATGTCATAGGAAACTGATTAGGGTTGCGTCATTGTGTAAAACAACAAAGGATTGTAAATAATACTAACAAGTACAAGTATTTCTCGCATCATTTATATTTTATGACAATATTTCTATTTTATTACATTTAATACAAATATACAGACGGATTATATCACAAATCTCATAAAATATTTTTTTCATTTTAAAAATCGAAGCTTTCTTTAGTGAAAATAGGCGGTAAATGTGTGACAATATCTTGTATTTGTGTGAGTTTGTGTTGAGCCGCTATACGTCGCCATAAGACTGGACACTCGGTGTTTTCGCATTCTAAAGACTGATTATGACCGCTACACGAAGCGCAAATCTAAGAACAGAAAAAAATTACAAGAAGCACAAATTGATATTAAATTAAAATAGCAACAATAGGGTTATTCAGCTTTGTTGCTCCTTATAAGGTACCTATAAGATGACTCTAGAAAATAGTAGCAAAACGTACAGCTTGGCAGGAATGTAGGTGGTGCGTGGCCCGCGCGAGCCGCAGTCCGAGCGTGGCGGCGGCGCGAGGCGCGGCGCGGGGCGCGGCGCACGCCTCGCACACGGCCGCGCGCGCACTACGCCCCGCGCATACCGCGCACCGCGCCCGCCACATGTAGCGCGCTATACCACCCGCGCGACTTGGCTCGTTCTGCTGCACTTCCCGAGTGTATCCGATTTCACTCCACCTGTAACCACAGCATTTTACACTTCAAGTTGGACAACAAATTCAGATTTTCTTGACATTAAAGTGTCGAAGTCAACCAAAACAAATCAATGTACTTAACCCTAATTCAACCCTAATTTCCAAGTTAAAGACAAAACAGATCGTAAATGTCTTCACACATTAGCTCACCATTTGAAGACGTCTACACCAAGTAGAGAGAGGCAGCGATGTAGTGGTGGCAGTAGGACTCTGGCCGCGTAATAGGCTTTATGAGGCTGTAGCGTAGGGTCCCGAGTGAGCTCGGCCGGCGTGCGCGCCAGGCGCACCAGCGCGGCGCCCGGCGCACCCGCCGTCACCTGCCACGCTACGCGCCACCCCGTGCGGGGTGCCGAGCGACGGTCGTGTGACACTAAACGTCTGCAAGTTTAGAAATAGTGTAAGTAAATCTGAAATCAAGAACATAGCATAACATATTTTTGGATTTACTGTATACGACAAACAGACAAAATACCGCCGTCGACAAAAAAAAATATATTGAATTTTATCGATACATTTTTTTACTTTTCTCGTCACTACGATTTTGTCAGTGTACGAATATTATAATTATCACAACTATACTATTCCATAGATAAAAATTGACATTATTACATAAAAAATACAACTTACTTGGCAATCTCATTAGGTGGCGCAGAAGCACCAGGTCTATATCCAGCAGGGCCGTGGTATTCTCGCGTAAAGAACAGTTCTTGTGGTGGCAGGGACCCGTCTGCAAGTCGTGATAACGTCGCCATTACCGATCGCTTCACTCGTGACATATCACCAGTTTCGAACAACTCACACAGGGCTCGCTGGAGAAGCTATAAGTTGAAGAAAAAAACGATATATGGATTCGGATCAGTTGCTGATTTTTCAACATTGTAGATGTCGAGAATAAGTGACATAGACGACGACTCTTTGGAGGAATTTTAACTGTTTAGTTAAAAACCATAAACCCGGAGATTTTGAATTGAGATCTATTACTAAAATAACTGTTCAATCCACAAGCGATCACCGGTGATCGCTCTCTCCACTAACTCCATTATAGACCTAATTTCCGATGTTTAGGGACTACTTTTCCATGACCAAATTTTGGGTACGATATATCAACGTAGTACTTAACTTCTTGACTGTCGATATGTGAGACTCAATAAAAAACACATTCTCGCGTAGATCTGCGATCCGACACTTCATAGGTAAGTAAGTAAGTTTTTAAATGCATGAAAACATAGGCTTACTTTGACTCCAGCTGGACATCCATCCCTCCTGACGGTCTCAATTCCTTTAGCTTCGTACACTGGTTTCTCCTGGTCAGGAGTTTCGTACATGTAGCCAACGTACCGCTTCTTAGTTTGCAGAATACATGGTTGGTATACCTGTTGCGTTAAGTAGAACTATCATAAGTTACTGTTAGATAACCATTTACATTTTTAGTAGGTACTGTTTTGTGGCTATCTAACACAAACAGCATTATACAATTGAAACCAGGAGTTCTGGAGATTAGAGCATTCAAACAAACTCTTTAGCGTAATAATATAAGTATACTTTGATGATATATGTGATAAGAAACGTCTAGAGTAATTCTAACAGGTTACCTTCTCAAGTTTGAGTGCAACCGGTGAAGGGTTGTCTGCTGTAACGGCGTCAGCAATCTGTTGGCCAATCTCAAATGCTTCAGCGCGTGTCCCACCCGGCACTAACACGAACATTGAGTCTGTGTCGCCGTAAATCACCTGCAGTAGCATAGAAATATATGGCAACTGAGCCGACGGATCAAGCAAGCAATCTCCGTGAACACCCACAACCGGAGACGAACTTACAAGTGCGTTGCCGGCCGTTTAGGGATTGGGAATCTGAGTCAATGAGAATTTGCATTGGAGATGGGGGAGAAATGGGCTATCGGTCCATAATCGGCACGTACCATATCCGGAAGAGTAGGCATGACACATGTATTCTTCTCTGCTGTAGCAGTAACAGTGGTTGCTATTGTTCAACGTACCTTGGCGTTCCACTGTGTGCTATCTCGTACCATCTTGATGGCTCGCTCCAACGTCTCGCGTCCTTTAGAGACCACACTGTCTCCGACCTCTACGCACGGCATACGACCACTGAAGTTTGCTGCTGTATACCCGTACGTTACATTTGCTATTAATTTTAAGCCTGGAATAAAGATAAATATTTATAATAAAGCAAATAGGTAAGTTTGGCATTTCAAATATAATATAGGACTGGTATTTAACAACTAGAATAAAATAAGATCTACGAAGCACACCTAGTTGTCTGGAATGCATAGCTTTTTTTACAGCTTCATCAGTCTGCGCTTTCATATTCTTCTTGACTGCTTGTCGAGCCGCTAAGATTCTTCTCAGCAACGCAGGGAGGACACCGCGGCGTACCGAGGACTTTACGAAACCAACGCCAACAGGCGACCAGTGAACTAAACCTTTTTTGACCAATGCTTCTAATTTAGCTTTAGGTATTTTCAAACGCCATGCGCCAAATTCGTAATCTGATTCTCTGAAATGAAGGAAAAGGAAAATAACTTTCTAGTAGACAATAAAAAACTAAAATATGTTATTTTTAAGGGCAAAAATGTAAACGTCCTTACCCGTTAATATTTTGAACTCGTCCAATACACGTCGAAAAACAGTAGTTGTAGGCGATCATCATTGACGGATACAGACTTTGAAAGTCCAGTACTATGACGGGGTCCGTGTAGAAGCGAGATTCTATAGTAAATAAAATTATATTACAGAAACTGCTTTGAAAATACATCTTCTCCTCTTAACTTCTTCCTACCTGGTTCAAATATAAGTGGAAGACATTCGGGGGCCCTCATGGCAGCGCGTTGCTTCACAGTAGGTGATAGAGCCACCAAGTTCAAAGGCCTTGCAGCTCGCAACATGAGGGACTCGACACGGAATTGAGAGCCCCGGGACAGCACCTCCCACCACTGGAGCCCGAATAGACGGGCTAGTTCTGATGTACGATCTGCCCAAACGATTAATTCCCAATATGTTAGCAAACTGACATTAAGTATGATGGTGAAATATCAATGAGCTAGTACTCACTTATAATATCAAGTTTCTCCAACATCCTCACAGTTCCTGACAACCTGGTCAAGTAATGTTCTACGGGAATCCATCTCAACAGCCGAGTCTCGTCGCGCCACCACCTCCCGAGCTGAGCATAGCTGTATGTGGGCACTCGCTCCTTCAACACCTCATACATACAGTTCTCAAAGCTGTAGCTTGATAGTGCTATCTCATGTCGGAACAAACGCCACACATTCAACATTATCCGCCCAATAATTCTCCCTTCGAAATCGTTTTCTTCGCCTCTCCAGCGTTTTTGACGGTACTTCTCTGTTATTCTTGAAACTTCTTTCACGATTTCTAGTCCTAAAACTTGTGCCCTCTCTAAGATGTATCCCCAAGAACCCATTTCTATTTCATACCCGCACATTATGTCGGGATCGTGTGTCATTACTAGTTCTAGAACTTTTTCTAAAAGCACACTCTCATTGTCGACGTAAGTGACATCTACGTTAAAAATGCATCTATCTAAATATCTCACTGGTGTGGTTTTTTCGACAACTATGATTTTTGTTACAGTTTTCTGTAGCCGATGTTCAGGCGGACAATCATTAGTTACTGTTACGAATAAAATCTCTATAGGGTCTATAGCGGGATCGGGGTTGAAGTCTTCACGAACTGATGTGTGAACTTCGGCTACCATGACGGTTAGAAAATTTGCCTAAACAATAAAATTAAATCAAAGTTTTATATCTTATTTTACTTAATCCCCTCTATCTGTGCTATCATTTTAATACTTACGTCAACCGTAGGGGCTTCAATAGAGCTGCTATCAGCCCTAACATCATTACTCCCAAAGCAAAGAAAAGATCCGTCAGGTTGCATCGTTACTTGAAGGCTGTTGTTCAAGTTAGGTTTTCCTGTAAATGAATACACAGTATGATTTTAATAGGCTGTTGATCAAAATATTGATAAGGTAAAATCACTTGCAAAGAAATGGTTACCCACCTTTTCATCAGTTTCCAAACTTAAAGTGTTATCAAGTTCATTCAGACCAAGAGCTTGTGAATTTTCCAATTCATCAATATTTTTATTAGTAACATCTTTATCAATAACACTTCTGTTTTCTTCTTTCACTTCATATCTTTATTTAACAACCATTGTTTTACTTCATTGCCAGTAGGTGGTCTCTTGACAGGCTCTAAAATGCATTTCCTATTCCCTGCCAGTAGAATTTTTAAAGCATCAGGCTTCGACGATTCTTGGGACATCTCATGCGTTTGTAGGAACAGTAGATGTCGCCATTCTTCTATGCTCGTCATATCCAACACTTTCTCAAAAGGCTTTTGATCCCTCGATAGTTTACTATTCACTTTTAACAACATTTGCCCTATTTCTACTTTGTCACCTACATCTTTGTGGTCTGAGTAATATGGTTCTGGGTTTTTTACTTTTGGTATTTTATAATGATGTAAACTTGAGCAGATATAGCTTTTTGTTGGCGGCTTTATTTTAGGTGTTAGTATTATTGACTTTTCAGTTTTAAGTACACTAAGCTCTATTTTGATGTTCAGTTTTTCTTCTTGTAATTCATTACTTTTAATTTGTACATTCCAATCATGATTTTCAGAATAATCATCTTTGTTGTCTACCATTGATATCAATTGAGATTTATTTACTTCAGTATCATCACTTTCTACAGATAAATTAAACATTTTAGACACATCATAGAAACTTCTTATTCCTAGTTTATTAGGTTCAGGTGAAGAATCTATTTCGTTGTCGCTGTTGAAAGTTACATTAAAGGACTTATTAACGTTAATATTTGAAGGTCCCGCTTTTGGCTCATAATTGTTTTCTCTATCATAAACTTCTGCTGGAGCTGGCTGCAAAGGTTTTTGATTTAATGTTATTTTGTTTACTAAATCTACGATTGATTCATTTTCTACTTTGCATTGGGCTACATCACCTTCACTAATATTTATAGAATTGTTCAAAATACTTTCTTGTTCAGTTTTTACAACTCTTCTCAGATGTGCATCAGAGATATCTTCTATAGTTTCTCTTGAAACATTAATTTCATCCATCTGACTCATATCTACATTAGATTCTGATCTACTATCAGATTCACTTTCATCTTTTCTCCTGGCTTTAGGCCTTGACAAGCCTAATTTAAATGGTCTCATTTTTCTTTTCCTTACTTTCTTTGTATCTAAAAATGTATAGTTGAATGTTTATTAATTTGGGTTAAGAATCAGACTCAAATATTATTAGTTTACTTACGCTCATCGTCACACGTTCCATCTAGTTGTGGAATATTAGCGCCTTCCCAAAACGAATCATTCCATGAAGGAGAGCTTTCATCTTCATCGTTTTTACTGAAACAAAAATCATTTAAAATATTAACATACGCAACTGTTACATGAAAAAGGAATTATCGAGTAACTTACCATTCTTCTTCATTCAAAATTAGAGTTTCTTCATCAAATATCCGGGAATATTCAGCATCATCTGTATCAACATCAGCATCCTGTTCAACATTAGCTGGTGTCCCCATCACACTATCTTCTTCTACAGGCTTCTCATCCATATCTTGTAATAAGTCTACTAGTTCCAAATCTTCATTATTTACTACAAGGAAAAAGAATTATTGAGTTCTTATACTAAACAAAGTTATCCCACACTTTAGTTTTTGACTTGATTACTTACAAAAAACTTGACTATAGTGCAGAGACAAGCTACTGTTCAGAGCCAGACTTTCATCCACCAGTGTATTGTCCAAATCTTCTTCAGTGTCATTGAAATCTCTCAATGTTTGATTAAACCCAGCAGCCATTGATTCATTAGGTAGATGGACACTCACATCTACTGCATTAAACAACTGTGTGCCTTCCATACTTTCAGCTGGATATTGTGCTAACTCTTTTTTAACTTCGTTTTCGATTAGCACAGGTTTGTCTATCAAATTAGACATTTTCAATAAAAAAATTTGTTCGAATTTATAATGTGATTCGGTCTCTTCTGCTTTTATTCTGCCTTGAGACAGTGACTTTGAGGCTAGAGAGATGTTTAACTGTTTTCTTCTTTCTGACTCTTGGTTCCACACTTCTTCTAAGCCTGGATTCTCAATGCCATCTCCTTTGCCAATTCTTTGCCTGTTAATAATGTGTGAGGCTGCACAATCAGCTTCAAAGTGGCAAGAACTTTCAGGTTTAAGGCCAACATCATTAGAGCTTTGGACTTCATCAGTATTCTGAGATACGCCTGCCTTACGGAATTTAACACATTGTAGGTCTATATTGCTCATTCCAAAGAGGTTGAAGTCTATGAAGAACTGCAGTGTGAAATTCAAATGAGATTCATGAGGTTGGAATGACTGACCCAGAATGGCTCCATTACTGCAGAGTTCCACAGCTTGTTTGATTAAGCCCGGGCTATATAAGAATACTTTTAGGTATAGATGTTCTCTATCATGGTATCCATAGAAGGGCCTGTGAATAAAATATTTTTGTAATATTTGGAAAGAAAATATAATAAAATAATTATGTTTGTTGTTATCACACTCACAGGCCTTTAACTAGAGATATCTTATAGACATGCTGATTGGTAGAAGTTGCTTGTTTCAGTGCAATATTTAATGCTTTGTCCAGACTAGCAGCAATCTGTAATTGTTATAAAGTTTTTGTAGAAATACATAAATTAATTCTATGTTTGTTTCACCATGTTATCAGTGGGCCATTTCAGGGGCAGATTTTTTTATATATTTATTTTAAGATTTTAGACAAATTAGTGTGACAGATCTGTTCCCGATGTAGTGTAACTTACTTCATATAAGGTAATAAACTCAGAGGTATCAGGTATTTAGTTTTAAGAGCTGTAATATTGGTTTTTATCACAGTGTTTTAGCATCACCATTGTCATCTGAGGCAAGAGAATAGTAATATTTAATTATTTTATGTTTGAGCTTAAGGGCTAGTTAAACCTATAAATGGTTTAGCTGCTTTATTTGTACTGAATTTTGTATCCTATAATAGGGCTGACATGTTCCTCTTAGGAAAAAAGCTCTTCTTATTAAATAAAGCCTAAAAAAAGGTAATAAAGAAATGGAACTGAAGAGTTTTCACCTGATATAAAAATTGTGGCTGTGGATTTGGTGTTGGACATGGTATGTAGAAGTATGGAAACACTCCATGAATGTGAAGACATGCCTTATGCCCATCCGGTGTTGGGCCAAATATCCTTAAAACTGGCACCTGGAATTTTTTTTAAATAATAATATTATTTATCATACAGCTTGAATTGAAATTTGGTTCTTAAAATTTTAAGTAAAGTAACCTGTTTAATATCAGCTCCTCGGAAATCTGAATAAATGACATCTATTCCAGGAATTGGCTTACTCAAATAATGATCACATACCACTATTCTAACAGAAAATTCGGGGTTTATACGACTGCTATCTGGAATTAAAAAATATTCTCATTAATTTATTATGAATATCTTTATTTCAATTTGAATATATGAAAATAGGAAATATTTTACTTACTATCTAAAGCGCTCATTTTTAAACGGTAACATACATAGTTAATTTTATGGCAAAATAACAAAGTTTTCTCATCATGTTGAAACTTGTTTAAAAAGTCGTGTATTTTGTTTACAAGTTTTGACAGACCACCACAAGTTGTAATATTTGACAATGACATTTTATTAATGTCACCTCAGTGATGTGCACTTAATAGATTACTAAACCCGGGATAAAACTTATTTTCTTAACTTATAATGCTTCAGGTTTCAGGTAGAATATAGATAGACATTAGGACAACATTAGAGACAGAGACAACCCTTCCTTCCGTCCGAGACGGTCAGTTGGTCGGTTTAATCTACATGATTTCTTATTGTGTAAAACATTTTCCTGGGAGAATGAATCTAATACTTAATTCATTCAGTAGGTTTTACTTATCTGTGCTACTTGTTAGTACAATCATTCAGTTGCTGTCAGTCAAGTCAGTTTTCTTCCGTCATTCGCTCATTATAAATCAGTCGTGTTTTTATTACATTCACAATTTCGTTGCGTTGCGTGCTACTTTAAAATATTTTCAATAACAATCATCTTCGTCTAATCTCGTCAGCAGTGTCGGTGGTGTGGTGAATATAAAATTTAAAGTGTTGTGAAAAAGACGGTGTTTTGTTTATAATTCTTGATAACATGTAATGTTTTTTGAAAATGAAGTGCTATTTCAATGGTAGGCTCAGCAAAGAAACACCAATATTTGTCAAAAGATAAGAAGTTTGCAAAAACGGTACAATGGATGATGATGAGGCAGACTTGCGCGAGCAGATATTCCACAATAATGTCAGGGAGCAAATTGTAAGTATCGAAACAAAGGCTATTATGCTATCTTGTCTAAGGTATTTGATATTCGCCGTAGCTTTGTCCCAATTGGTGAATATATATTTAAGTTTCATTATTCATCCCGTTTCGTTCAAATGTTTGAATTGTAAAAGATACAGGTATGTACTTTTATTTTATTTTTCAATAGTTTCTACTCAAAATAAACTTTATTCGGGTCACATAGTTTCCTGGGTCGTATATTATAAGACAACCCTCTGTTTTATGGAATAAAAATAACCTGTATGTTTATAATGTCCGTGGCAAGTCTTAGTGTTATCATACACCACTGGATCAAGGTCGGCCCTACTAAAATGATGACACTGTTTGACATAAAAAGAACTGTAAAAAATTATCTCTAAAAATTCTGTAGTATAATAAGTTGCCAAGTATTCCTCTAACAATATTTTCCAAATATCATTGATGTAATGTAGAAAAATATTAACAAAACAGTACTTACTATTTGCTACTAAAGTTGAGTATAGCTAAAACTTTATGATAGTTAATAAAACTAGTTTTTCTTTGTTATAGCTATATACAACAACAATAAATTAAATTTCTAAAATGTATGTTATACCCATGTAGCTTAGAGCAAATAAGAAAATGCTTCAAACCCCACAAATGGTTTCTCATAACATTCTTAGAATATATACATTACATACATCAAAAAATTCCGAATATTACACTATTGGTCCTAGGTTTGTAATATGTCTGCAAGTCAGTAAAATATTTTAACATAGATACTGCTAATTTCCTTCAAATTGTTCTAATTACCGGTAAGAGTGATAATATACAAATTGCATAAACTGACAGGAACTTATGTACTATGGTTTTATAATTGTTATGTTTGTAACTTATATTATGAATGGAATGATAAAAATTGTACAATAGCATAATTCCAGTAAAGACGTCATTGTAATAAAAAAATACTATAATAGTTATTTCCATTAATAATTGGTAATTAGAAATTATTAGTTCTAATACGCCAGTAATTTTTATTTTTCCCTTTAATGTTTAGTGTATTTAACTATCATGTTATTTGACTGACATTAATGTCTATTCAGAGCAAATACCAACATAAATTATAAAGTATTTGGCACAGACAATACCAGCTGTATGAAATAACAACTCATTTTAAGTTATTAGTTTGTTTATTTTTAATTCTACTGAATAGCTAAAAAGCTTCAGATATTTTATCTATACTCCTGAGTGTTTCACTCTCACTCTCATTGAATTTTACGAAATAAAACAATTAAAGAAGTTTAAACTAAACTAAATTAAACATTCATCAGTTGGCCTGGTCCGGTCACATAAGTTAAAATATTTGACACATATGATGGATGGATTATATATATTCTTCTTTTCAATAAGACTATATATATTCTACTGGGGTTTATGATTTGTATAAATAACAAAAAAATGTATTTCTTTGTTCCAGATATTCCTTCTACTATTCATATTACTGTACCTTGTGTCATTTATGCTAATTGAAAAGTTCAGACGTCGAGACAGCGAGGATTATTTCACTGGAGATGAAGATGAAGTGAAAGTTTACAGAATCAGTCTTTGGCTGTGCACCTTTGCACTAGCCGTGTCACTGGGCTCCGCTCTCTTACTGCCTGTGTCTATAGTCAGCAATGAAGTACTCATACTATACCCTAACAGTTATTATGTCAAATGGCTCAACAGCTCTCTCATTCAAGGTAAGTGTTAATGCAAATACAACCTAATATAAAAGGCCTATTCTCTCTAAGAGCGTAATTGGCTGTCCCGACCATTTTTTTTAAAAAGTAAGTGAATTATGAAAATAGGATTCAGTCCTAATTAAACTTTAACCTCGAAGCTTTACAGGCCCTTTGTTTTCATAACCATGACTATTTTAATTTTTTTTCTAGACGCTATAGTAGCCGTAAAAAGACAGTCCTCTGGGTGTCCCCAGTACTGTTTTTCTAATAAGAATTAAGATTTACGAAGAATTTATTGAAACTATATACGTTTGGCAGTCAATACCATTAAGAAAAATAAGCAAATGTACTCTTTTCGTAAAACAAGTTTCAAATACTAATTTAATCTATTTAGTAAATTCTTTCAAACTTTGTCCCTAGAATTTTCAAACAGTCCTCTGCTAAAAATTTAAGTCCATGAAAAAATAAAACTATAATATTTACTATCATTTTTATGAGTGAAACGGAACGCAATTGCCATGAAGTTGGCAACAATGCTGCATGCGCGGTTAAGACGCCATTTTGTTTAGTCACAGATCGACATTTGTGAGGTGACACGCGCATGGATCGCTACCCGAGACAGTCCTGTGGTAAGTTGTAATTTACATGTTAATTACTTTAATAATATATAATATAAAGTCAATTGTTTTATTATGTTTGTCCTAATCGATTGGTAAATTCATAATAAACTAATAAATCTATTATTTGTTAATATTGTGAAATCTAACCTAAAAAGACAGTCCTCTGGCAACAGTCCTCTGCCTAAAATTGGAGCAGAGGACTGTTTTATATGGCAGTGGACTGTCTTTTTTGCGTGTTGGGTATTGTTTTTAAGTATTGTTAGGGTAATTTTATATGTGAAGCCTTGACTCTAATGATTAACTAAAATTTTTGTACACAGGATAATCAAACGCGTGTCATATGCCACCTAAAAAGAAAAAACTATCCCGTGAGGAACAACTACAGAAAAAGAGAGAAGCAGAGCGATTACGATACCAAAGAAAAAAAAATGATCCTCAGAAGAGAGAAGAAATGAGAGAAAAGGAGAGGAAATACTACCATAAGAAGAAAGAAAAGGGCACACGTAAATTAGTCAAGGATATGACACCTCGTGAGCACAGAGCTGCTTTGAAGACGTGGAAAGAACATTGCACCACATACCGATCCAAAAGACAAAGACTAAAAAGCATCACAAACAGTTTCGTACGAGACAATTCGCCGTTATCAGACCCAGGAGTAGATACGCCGCCTTCAAGACCCGCCAGTCCAGTTCCTGTTCAAATATGTCTAGCTCGAAGCCCAGCAGTTTCCAGTCCTAGTCTTCAGCAAAGAAAAAAAGAAGGCAAAATGCGACGAAAGAAGTTTAACAAAATGAAAAATGAAAAGATCGCACGCTTAGAGAGAAGAATTGAGAAGTACAAGAAAAGATTAGCGCGATATGAAAGAAAAAACAAGAAGCACGTTGAAGATACGCCTAGAACAAAAGTGTTAAAAATGTTAAATGAGCCTGATCAAAGAAAAGAGGTTGTCAAGAAAGCGTTGTTTGGTGACGTCATTAGTAAGCAGTTAAAAGAGAATTATTGTAATTTAAAACGTAAAAAAGAGAGACAGATCTTTAAAAAAGTTGTTAGTGGTAGGGTTCTTCAAAAGTATAGACACTGGATACCTAAGGAAATGAAGGCGTTATCGAGACCGGGAAAAAAATCTAATCTCATTGGCTTAGAAGTACCTGCGGCAAAACGTCGTAAAATACCTGATTCTTATAAAACTGCTGTTAAGAATTTCTTCGAAGATGATAGTAATAGTCGAATGGCAGCTGGTAAAAAGGAATTTATAACTAAAAAATCTGTGAGGAAACAAAAGAGGTATCTTCTTGACACTTTGTTAAATCTATACAAAAAGTTTATAACCGAGAATGTTAGAATAAGCTACCAAACATTTTGCCGACTTCGTCCATTCGGTGTTGTAAAACCAGACGCTCGAAACCGCGATACATGTCTTTGTATAATTCATAACAACATTGACATGAAGCTCAGCGCACTTTATAATGCTCGCATATTGCCCTACAACAATCACCAGAAGTTGCTAGAAGATATATGCTGTGACCGGTATAACAAGGATTGTTTGGCCAGGTCATGTCATGCTTGTATGAATAAAAGTCCGAATTATAAAGAATTTGACAACAGGATTGTTATAAAATATAGAATGTGGGTTTCCGAAAGGCAACAAATCGAAGATTTCAAGACTAAAAAACTCCGCGTGGTGACTAAACATTTGCAAAAAACTTTTGAAACATATCCAAAGAGCCTCATAACAAATTTGCAGCAAGATTTAAGGAAATTTCTAGATCACCAGCGAAACATTATTCATCAGTACAAAGCCATTACCGATATGAAGTCACAGTTGCAAGATGATGAAGTTCTCATCCACATGGATTTTAGCGAGAATTATTGTACTAAGTACGGAGCAGAGATACAGGCCTTTCATTTCGGTGGATCTCGAGCACAACTGAGTCTACATACCGTAGTAGTTTACCTACGGAATTCCATTAATTCGTTTTGTACAGTCTCGGAGAATATAACGCATTCACCTGCGGCCATTTGGGTACATCTGCAACCAATTTTCAATGCTCTTCCACGTGACATCAAACGAGTGCACTTTTTAAGCGATGGCCCTGTGACGCAGTATCGCAACAAAACCATGTTTTTTATAATGGCTACCAAACTGTCTGAAGAATTTCCAGAAATTGAAAGCTTCACATGGAACTACACTGAAAGTGGCCACGGAAAAGGTGCACCCGATGGTGTAGGAGCAACATGCAAAAGAACAGCAGATTTTGTCGTTAATTCTGGAGGTGACATCAACAATATCGATGAGTTTCTCAAAGTGATCCGAGAGCGATGTCCTGGAATCACATGTACCGCAATCGACGGTAAAGACATTCAGGCAATGGTTGATAACATTGAGAAGGAATCGGTCAATCAGAAGGGTTTTAAAGGAACTTTGAAAGTGCATCAGGTCGCAGGTGTTTACTCCAGCTCGATTCTCGGCTTACCAGGTAAATGTAAAACACTTACAATGAAAAGTCTCAGCTGCTTTTGCAACAGCAGCGGCTCATGTGAACATTACAAGATTGGCAGCATCACATTTTCTGAAAATCCTAGATGGACAGTAGAAGAAGTTTTCACAGAGTCTGAACCGGAAGAGCTTGAATCTGCTGGGCCTAAGTTAACACCTACACCAAACAAGTCCCTTCTAAGATTTGATGATGCTATAGCAGGAGCAAGTGGCACTCGGAGTTCATGTTATTACACTGGAGATTACGTTCTTGTGAAATTTTCAACTAAAAATGTAGAATACCGTTATGCTGCTGTAATAAATGACATTGACGAGGATGAAGGCGAATTACGCGTAACTTTTCTGAAAATTTGCAATCAAAAATCGCAGATCTTTAGAATTGATGACCAGGACATATCGGATGTTTCATTTGACCAAGTAATCCAAAAGTTGGACAATCCTGATTTGATTATAAAGGGAAAGAGAATATTTTATAAATTTTCTACTCATGTTGACGTTTTCGAACGCTAATTGTTTATAAATATTTAGTGTTCCTTTCTATTTAATTTTTATATGTCTTCTTAGAATTACAATGATCCTTAGGATTTGATTGGAGATCTCAGTTGAATTATTCTTATATTTGAGAGATAAGACTGTTTTATATTAATACTAAGTTTTTAATGAGAAGATATTTGTCAAAAAATATTATTAGAATATGTTGATCTCAGTAAGTACAAGTTCAAATTGTTTCTAGCTCTTAAGGTTAATTTTTGTTAAGAAAATTTAAAGAAAATTAATATTTCTGTTACTTTTTATAAAGAAGAAAGATTTTTTTTTATAAGAAAATATAGTACTAGAATAAATAAATGATTGATTTAAGTAAAATGTCTCTTTTAATTACTTTCAACAGTCCTCTGACTCTTAAAACAGTACGCTGTTACGTTGAAAACAGTCCTCTGGTGTTTTAAACAGTCCTCTGTCACGATTTTTTAGAAAATTGCTAATAACTCGAAAAATATGAATAAATTCAGTGATCCTTCTTATTTAACCAAAATAATAGACAAATTTCTTCGAAATAAATGAGGGTTTTATAGCAAATGTTAAAAAAATATGCCAGGACAGCATTTCTATGAGACCTGTACGCCCTTACAGAGAAATGCCCAAAATCAAAGTTTCTATGTAAAACAAGGAAATTATCAAAAGCTCCAAGGTATATTATTCAACGCTTGGTTGATATTTTCACCATTTACGTAAACACAAGTTGTTTGATTATTACTGAAAACTAAACAAATATTTGTCCTATGTCTAGTACAATAGAAATTGTGTGATCTGATGTAATAAAAAAGTGTATGGAATCATAACAATTCCATAATGAACTCAAGGCTTGATAGTTATTTCTTATTATACATTCATATTAGATATTAAACCCGTCTTGTATGTCTCATACAATAGATTATTGTTATAGGACATAGATCTGTCCGAAAACCTTCAGAATGAAATCGAAACTACAATCTTTAACTCGTCGAGTACCGGTTTTATAGACACAATTAAAGAACAATAGGTCGCGGTCACCGGTGACCGCTTGGTGTTTGACAGTTTAAACTATAGAAATAGAATTAAATGTAATATGTAGAGACACCTCTGTCTGTGTCGCAATGGAGCGTATATACCGTGGCAGCAGGAGAGCATGATTGATATCTTGAACTGGAAAACGTCATACAAACTAAAAAACCAATATTGTTAAGCCAAGAGAAAACGCAGAAATGAATCGTTTCACTTATTGTTTGCATAAAGGCTTTTCAGACACGCTTTTAGAGATTTCCTTATGAATGTCACTGACGAGCTGACCTACTTTTCAACTTAGCAGTGTGCAAGTATGCACTCAGTTTACGTCAATCCTATGTAATACAAAGCAAGTTTATGAGTTATAACTTATAACCAGACATTTTCCTAATTTGTCAAGATGAGACTATGACTAAAATATTGAAATAGAAAAACCCAATTACAAATTATACCTAATACATTTCCCTATCTGAGAATAACCTGGGAAGTCGTATTTAGCATTCGCGGTTACGAACGGAGCGCCCGTTCAAGATACATATAAATGTACTGAACTTATTTTTATGCGGTTTTTACAAGTAAATAGTGATTTTCGAGATGAATAAGTTTCATCTCATAATATTAAATAATGCACCGTTAGCAAAACTGCTAACAGAAAGCAGCTATTTAGTTATTGATAGTATAAATTGTTTCAGGGTTATGGAACCACGTATTCCTATTTTCCAATCTGTCAATGTTCGTGTTCCTGCCTTTCGCGTATCTGTTCTCGGAGTCGTCCGGGTTCCCTGGGTGTAGGGGACTGAGGGGCAGAGTGTACGAGACCTTCATAGTCCTCGCGTTACTTGGTGTTGCTATGCTGGGCCTGGCCTACGTTATCTCAGCCTGGTTGGAAGGCGACCGATCCAGTATTGATGCTCTGCTTAGTAAGTATATAGTACATTAATTATGTATAGCTTTATCGATTCAAATAACGGTAATGTACGTAGGTGCGTAAGCCAGCCAAAAATATACATATTATTATTTCATGTTTACAACTTTCCAATTCAATCAACTAACACAATCGTCTTTCTTTAGTTTTTTTAACACACTGTAATTGTCTTGCCTGTGATAATAATGAAATTCAAAGTGCGAATTCTCAGCTTCATTTTTGGGTTCCGCATTCATTTCATTTTTGTTGTGCTCAGAGGAGCAGTAGTGGTTACTCCTAGACAGGATATACTAGGTACATAAGTACGAGGCAATAATATTTTATGACTTCCAACGATATTTCAAGTAACTACATGGTAAAGTAACTTCATACGGTTTACAAATAGTGCAATCAGGGTAAATAATATACGTGTCCGCTGTGTTCAATTGAGCGTGAAGAAAGCGAGCGCATTGTGTGTAATTATTCGGCCATAGTCAATGTCAATGTACAGTATATTATGTATGTCGATGTCGGCTGTCGATCCCTCTGGAAACTTCTCTTTCAACTAGCTTTGTGTTTTTCAACATATTATAATAGGTACAATTTCAGAAAAATAGTAATTATGAAGATAGGACCACCTTCAATAGAACCTTTCCAGTTAAAAAGATTTTCGAAATCGATTTTAAGCGTTTTCGAGCACCTAATTCGTGAAAATAATGTACGTGGTAAAAATTAAATATACTGACGAATTGAGAAAAAAAATCAGTTTAGTTTAGAATAAATAAAAGTAATTTCCAAATGATAATTTTACAATCAGTTATCCGTAACTCGAACTCGTAAAATGAAACCGCCAAAGTGTTCTCTCATAAATAATGCCTGCTTCGAAGATTTTGCGGCGGTTTCACATCCTCTTTAACTGGGCTGCTGGAATAGATTAAACGGCTCATTCGTTGCATCTATGTACAAATTGCAGATAAATGTGCGATGTCCTGATTGCTATGCCCGTCACACGTGAGCTGCTCCGGAGCCCTGGCCATCAAAGTCAAGCCTATGATGCGTGTCAAATGTATTGTGTTGTATTGTATGTTAAATTAGTATTATTAACATTTTGCCATTGTTTGCTCACAGATTTGTGGACATACCTACCTTTCCTGTATTCCTGTGTGTCGTTCGTTGGAGTTCTTATGTTACTAGGTGAGTCATTAACATAATTTCTGATACATTATCGATTATTTCGTAATTGACAATGTCTTTAAATTGCTTATCAGTTAACAGTGCTCCAATGGAGCGGTCGTTAGCTTGACTGCTTTCTTTATTATAAAAACTTGATACACTGGTTCTATGCAACTTTTCTATCAAACTGCAACTGCACATGATCAAGCGACTGTTTGACTGCGTATATAATATTACTCTTACATTCCTCGTGTGCATGTGCACGGTGCATGTTCTGCATGCGAATTATCAACAATTCTATGAATATTTGTTTGTTTGCACAAAGGTCTATCGAAGCTTTAAGTTACATGACGTCACGAAGTGGCACTCCGCAGACATTGACCTCTAATTATTACATTCTGTTTATTTCGTTACGAGTCGTTAGTGAAGGTAGAGTGCATCGAACTCAGATGCTTTTTCAATAGGATCAGAAATGTCTGTGGTGAGGTTTTCATAATAGGCATATTTCTTGATGAAGTATCTTAGAAAGAACTACTCATATTATATAATATTGTGACCATTGACTTCTATTCAATGTTCCTAATCGATCGTGTGTAAAGTAGAGCAGTATATTAATAGTTTATCGATATGACTGCACTGATAACGGGCATTTAAACCAGCCGTAATCTTTTAGAACCAATAAAACTTTATTGACTAAGAATACACGTGAGTACATTAACAATATAAACATGGCTATGACGTGTTTTATCGTGTCGTCAGCCACATTGTATGTTTAGCAAAAAATAGTAAATAAACACATGAAACCTAAAAGTAAACAAATAACCTTTTTGGGGACATACAAATATTTAAAATCTATTTTATTCGGATTCAGCTGCATCGTCGTAAGCTTCTTCCTTGTCCAATAACCCGTGCACCAATTCCGCGTGCTGTGGAAACATGGTGTCCAATTGTTTCCTGCACTCTTCCAGCTTGTCCCACTCCTCTAACTCCTTGTGTGCTTTGGCTTGATAGAGGCGCGCTCTGAAGCTATTCTCATTGAGGCGCAGTGCTAAGTCGCAATCACCGAACACCTGTAATAGCAAGCATTTCATACGCAGTATATTATAATGTGTCCGTAGAAAGCCGATGTGCTGGCAACCTGTCAAGAGTGGAATTTTATCTATTTATGCCAAGTGCAGTTTCAATATATACTTTGGCACTTATATAATTCTGCCTATCCCACACTTCTTGTTAAGAAACTTTTGCAAAAGTACACATAGACAGTTGCTTACGAAAGAAAATGACGTTAACCTGCAAACAATATCAGCCACAGACATTTATTTGTTCAATTAGTCTGATGTAAGTTTCTGGTTATTGCGTATTGAAAATTAAGAAAGTTCATCAATGATAACGAGCATATTATAGTTTTTAAGTAAATATAAAATACGTACACATTACAATCCATTGCTGTTTGCTTCACTCAAACAAATGCGTGTATAATATTCGTACAATAGTAATAATGACTCTTATTTATTAAACGATTTGGATGAATGTATCACTTTAACTGTGAAGGAACATAATTTACTGTATTGAACTTGAATGTAAATACAGTAAGTGATTAGCATTAGCGCGCGAATGTGAGCCATGCAAATACGAAATTTCAATATATTATACATAGATAACATAATGAATAATTAAAATGAAAGAATCGACAAAACCTAATACTTTTCCTGTAAAGAAGTCTAGTTGGTTCCCAAATAAATCATTATTGAAGTTATCTATGCGATAATCGTATTAATATTATATCTTTTAAAGAGCCGGTCCTTGTGTTAACCATGTAGATAATATTTTGTTCATTTCTAGATAAGTCTCGTTTACATTTTAACATAAATATAATATCAATTTTATCTTCGCGCCCCTCGTTTATTTAAATACAATAATCAGTCTGTTGCTTTGCGGATCTAGGACAATGGCCGCTTTGGACACATCTCAATGCAAAAGTTAATGGCGAAAACGGTGTACGACCATTTACGTTTAACGATGCCATTAGACGCCAATATAGCAACCAGATGTTATTGAATCTATAATTAAAATGTAGGTAATGGATGCGTGTATCGTTTGTCTGCACTAGCCGCACTAGGAATAAACGTGGCCGCTATGAACTTTGACCTCATCCAAAATAGTATTTACAGAGTTACCTATAAAATAAAAGTCCACGTTCTGTAGGTACGTGTCTATACTGACCGTGTCGAATTTTTCTAGTTTAATTTTAGTGAGTGCTCGATCACAGTACAACATGGGGTCATCGCGCACTTGTTCTATGGCTTTGTTGTAGCATGAAAGAGCTCTGTCATATTCGTCACGGCGGAATGCCTTGATGGCTTGGGTCTTCAACGTATCAGCTCGTTCGCGACGCACCTTCCGATCTTGGTAGCGTTTTTCTGCATCCTTGCTCACTTCGGCCATCCATGATTCTTTATCCATCTCACCCTGGTGATATTTAAAAATAAATTTTAGTCTACATAGATAGGTACCTGCGTAATACATCAACTAATTACATATAGAAAATCCATTATCATATGTATACATTAGTCTAGGGGCAATTAAAGTAAAAGCTGTGAACAACGTAGATAGAATGACGGATTGATTAATTGTGAACACGTTTATCAGCCTTTCACGAAAAAGATACAGAGTGCATTTAGATGGGCATGCAGATAGATCCATGACCTTAGTGAAGACGAAATAATAAATATCTCGGTACCTAACATACATGGCGCCTATGAATAGAAAATTTGTGGCACAAAGTAAATATTAAATTATAAAGAAATGTCATATTATTTCTAAGATAGGTATGTAATAAATGTCTATAATAAATTAATTAATGTTGCTTCTACTTCCTAAGTAATTATACTTTACATTAATAAGTACCTAGGCATAAGTAAACAGCTACTATCATTGTTGTTTAATGTTCTTCAGCTGCTTAGTGCTGTAACTTATTACAAACATATGTTTATAACTAGACGTAAAAGAAGGATTTAGGAATTAGAATGAGGAATTGAAGGTAGCCTAAAATTATCATTTTTTTTATCTACAAATTAGTTTCAATGTGAATCATTTTAATTGGATTACAGTAGATTAATTTGAAGGACAATGACCTTGTCGTTCGATAACTTATGTAAATTCGCAAATATTTGTCATTGAACTTCTGATATTATGTATTTACGGAGTCGTAATAATTGATAGAGTATATTTATTGACAGCAGCGCTGTCACGATGTGGTCTACTGACCGAATTGTCACAAACGGTATTTTAAACACATGCCTTATACAATCCCAGGAGAGTCAGTACACCATACAAGTCAGTCTTTATATATTTTAATAAAAACTACAAATGTTCCTATTGTTCATATAGACCGTGGTAAACTCAAGATCACTAGAAACCATTTTTCCTCGTATGTGCTTAGGAACATAAACAATAAATTACTAAGACATTAGATGCAGTAATCTAGTCTTGTCATGTAAGTTATTTAGAGATCAATAATGCATGTTGGAGAGACAGCGAAGCTCATCGTAATATATGTAAACATTACATGAATATTTCTATCAGCACTGCAAATAGAAAAGAACAACAGTATCACCACGAGGTGGATGTTTATTTATAGAGAAACGCGAGCCAAATTGCTTTCACTGATAATGTAATGCCGTACGTGCACTTCGCATTTAGAGGTCTATCAGGAAAGTGCATTATATGACGTCGAATACAGATGCAAGTGTAAACTCTTCGCCTATTAAGATACCACGTAGACGTAGGTCCTCAAATATTACATCATCAATTCTATTCAGAGTTTTGACGACCTAATTACAGACCCACGTGAACGGTTTTGGCATGTTGTTGTTGCTCTATTGTCGTTTGCAATAATACATGTAAATATTTACATAACATTTTGTTGCGTAGTTTTTGTAATGTGCATATCTACTTCACTTTTAGGTATAGTAATGGTTCACCATTTGCTGTAACAAACACATAACCAGGTGTGTTTCTGATAACCTACTTTATTTAGGTATTGAGTAATGAAATTAAAAGATATCCAATTACACCTAATTCCATGATAGGAATTAGGTAGGAGTCGCCAGCCAAGTAATGGAATTATTGGTATTGGTATTGTGAAACAGAATTGTGCTTTGCCGTCAAAACAGGATCGTTGAAATAACTTCTAGATATTTCAACTTCTAAACCAGTTTTGTGTAGTTCCCTCGGCATCCCTACCACTAGAAACGTTGGGGAATAAGCTTTATTGTGATATAATGAAGGGTGTAAACAGGATACGTTTGTGTGGGTTTAAAAACATCAATACAAATAGTTATATTTGTCGCAGGGTACCAAAATAGTGTCAACTGCCCACCTCATCTTTTTTCCCGAGGTTATGGAACGCCTTCTGATTGATCACAGTGCGGTTTTGTTTCACTTTCAGTTTGACGTCGTCGTCGAGTATAACTTTCCCATCTAAGTACTGGTCAGCAAGAACCTTAGCTGCCTCTGCCTTGACTTTGTCCCCACTAGCCATGTCTTTCACAAGATTAGATACTTCGCCAACTTTCTTCATGAAGTTGTTGAACTCTTCATCCAATTCTATCGATTTTCGGTCTCTTATAGCAGGATTTTTAAGAATACTCATTGTCGTATGAATATATATTTAATAACAAATTGACAAAAAACGTTTACGATCAGCTTGTTTACAAACTGTCTCTATTGACGTAACAGCTATCATAGCAACCGTTGTCATGTTAAACATAGACGAAAATAAATGACAAGTGACTCGTGGAATAAAAAACTAATTCTTGAGTTTGTCTATATTTATCCAGCGTGATGTTGATGATCAATATTTATTATTCTGTTTAATGTATGTCGCTGTACAGATAATCTTACGTTGGTAAGTTACGGTCTCGGTCTCGGCCGCGTTTTTATGTTCTAGTCGATTCTATATTTAAGTCAAGGTAAAATAGAAATGTTTCCGACTGGTAAATATAACGATATGTGTACACACTGTGTAGTACCCTCAACATATTATTATGCTTCCTGGTTTTTTTTTATTGCCTTAATGATTGTAGTGTGCCGCGTGCTGCATTCAAAAAAGTATTTGCGTAGGTACCTATGACAAATAAGAATTACAAACAAAAACTGACTAGTTACGTACCAAACTAATTAATATTCAACTGTTTGACGCGATATCGGTTGGTGATTTTGGCAACTTTCGCATAAATCAGAATTATATAGGCCATTCATCCAATTATGTATGTACTTCAATATTCCTTTAATGGTGGGTGGGTCCACTCTTTATTTATATTCAAACTGCAAAGCTTTAAAATATGAGGTCTTAAAATTATCATGCGACCTAATTGTTGTATTTAAAGAATGTGACGGTGCTCATTAGTTGCAGGTGACGACTAAAGTTTAAATGTCGGAGACATTTAAACTGCATAGCGCGCTATGGCCCAAAAATATAATTAGACTCAATTAAACAGTAGGTTGACTATATGACTATATTCAGGTTAATTAGTTCTTGAATTGGGATGATGACACGGTATAAAAATTTAAAATATAATTAGTCTGTAAGTTGGGTAATGAAAAAATATTAGACACGTATTTTTTTATTTTGTCGTACTTATAATAAAACAATACTTAGTTAAAACGAATCAATGTTTAGGAGTGGAGACGAAAACGTCATCTCTCCGTATAAAATGTACATAGAAGTGACGTCACGCGACATTTCAAACCAATATATCGTCGAAAGTATTCGTTTCTGTAAGAAAATAAAAAATACGTGTCTAATGATTTAAAATAATCTACCACACATTAAAATAAAAATTAGGCATCTACCCTATTGCGACTGCGTAGTGCGTTTATATAGTATACCTACGTGTAGGATTCTGACTAGGTCGCAAGCACAATGAATGATGACCTGCCAATGACTATGAAGACGATAAAATTAGAACTACAACTATAGTCAGACTATTCATTCAAATTAATCGACCGGCATGTTGTGTTTAAAATGGGAGATGATATAAGACATTGCTCTTAAATTAATCAATAGAGATATTCGATAGACATTCCACTCATAACAATATTGTTTGCAGTATTCACTCCGCTCGGCTTCGTGAGATTGTTCGGCGTGGTGGGCGGGGTGCTCGTCAAGCCTCAGTTCCTCAGGGACCTCAACGAGGAGTACTACGTGTACTCTTTCGAAGAGGACACTATCAGGCGGCGTATCAACAATGCTGTCTCTACAGGTAAACATATTCTCAAGTTTATATACACAAGTTCTGTATTAGTTGAATGACCTCGAACTCTATGTTATTTCTAGATGTTGTCAGATCAACTTTATATGTTTTGTAAATAAAGTAGGTAAGTAAGTAAGTATTATTATACTCAGATATAATGAAGTCTGATAAGAAGGACTGGAAAGAGAAGACGTATTGTGCTAACCACCAAGTACTAGCTTGGCATAAGGGTTTTAAGAAGTAGTTATTTAAGTACATACAAGTTATGATCAATTCTGAGCGTTGTGTCGTAGTAAATAAAGATGCATGAAAATTCTGAAAAATCTTTTATGTCGTAAAACAATTTCGACGTATGTAAATTGTGAACTGCGCAGGAATATGTTTCGGTATGTACCGTAACATAACACGAATGTAAATAAAGTTAACAGTACATCGCAATGATTTATGCTATCTGATAGGTAGAAGGTTAACTAAACAATGCAGTAGCCAAAACCAAACTCACAAACACTATCACAGTATCTGTACATGTACAAGGATACATACATTAACCTATGCGTGTAATGATGCTGTATTCTTCCTACATCGATGTGACGGGCTTAACCTCACGAACTGACGAGGTGACCTTCCTAAAACATTCGTTTTAAAATCGCGTGCGGAAATGCTAACAGTAGGTACATTAGCATCGTCTATTTTTACCTAATTATTTATGAAGCTACATATTTTTGTTTGAAGAGCTTCTATTACGAATTAGCTGTTCGTTTTCTCGAATACTTTTCGCAATTGATTCGTTTGAAGGTCGTTGTCGTTGCGTATCAATAAGATACGACATTTAGGAACGGAAAATCAGTACAGGGTTTGTACAAATTATAAATAGTTGTGACATTTTATGGGTTTGTATTGTTTTGTTGTTATCTGTTACAAGATAAGTAGGTACTGTTTGTTTAAACAGTAAGTACGAGTATCTATTTGGTAGCACCGTGTACGCGTAGTCATTGTTTCTTAAGTTTCTAGTTCTACTTAGTTGCAAACCAAACGGTGCACAATGTCATTAGAACATTCTGTTCCATGTGGTTTACTCCATCAAGTTAATGGTATTTGTAAATAGGTCTGTATCATATTCATTAAAAGGGGTGTTGTATTTACCCACTAGGTACTATGTCACGTACGCAGAGCTTTCAATTAAGTAATGGGTGATAACGTCAATAATTACTATGCTTCACGCTTATCTAAATATTCTTGTTAACTTCTTAACTTCTAAGTTACTTGGATTACATCGGGTTTGTTCGTTTTTGGAGTAGAAGCAGAGATCATAACATAATCTAATGTCATCGCAGCACCTGCGCTAAGCAAACCTTTGGCTGTGCAAATGTACCTAGCTATTTCTTGGTTGTTTATAGTTATAATATCATCAACAAACAACTTAATCATTGTGTATTTATACGCAGTCCCCATAGAACTACGTATGATCTTATATAAATCTCAATATATCGCATAAAAGAATTTCGCACGAACAGATAATTACCTCGCTTTGAATGGAGCACGGCCACAATTAGATTGTGTTAGCAGTTAGCTCATACGATACAGCTAATTGATATTCTATTAACATGGATAATGCTTCCTAAACAATTGTTTGTTTTATCTTACGAGGCATATCAACTGTTTCAACTGTTTGAGGCTATTTCAATGAGCTTTGTACGGTGTATTCGATGTGGTCGTGAAGTCATCACCTGTTTAATCTTGGAAATAATTATTATAAAGGTTATCCCGGTTAAGTCGGCTCGTTAGAGTGAATGTTTGCGTTCCGTAATATTCAATACTAGCTAACTAGCTACCTATGTTCAAATTGTTTAGTAGGTGTTTACGGCATAAGCTCTACACACCATTTCAAAACATTGAGCATGATTGCATTTACTTTAAAGTTTAATCAATATTTTACTGTACTGTGACATTTTGCAGTAAATCTTACCTGATCGTCACGTGCGGTTAACACGCACAGTACGTTATGTAATGAGTCCATCAATTTGTTTGATATTCGCCATGTGACACCGGTCACTAAATGATAGACGTTTCGGGTGCGCCTAATTGAGGCTGGGTAATGTTTCATCAATTGTACATACCATCGTCCGACATCATCTTACGATTTTTACGACAGTACAACTAAATGAGCCAAGATTTGACGGTAACAACCACGTAAATCGGTGCAGTAATATTTTCGTAGATATCAACATTTATTTTAGAATCGTATTTTTGGATAATGAGATTTTAAATTGTGCGGGACTCGTAAAGAATAGATTTTCGTGTAGGACTGTTTCGTGTCGTAGGTGTAGAGACTAATAAAATAGATAAATGTCCATTATATTTATAACCTATTTCTTTTAAATTTTCGACTGTTTTTTTGAAGTAATAATGAACCTACATTATTAGCAAGGGTTGCTCTTTTACCTCTAAACGTTTTTTACTTATAAGATTTATCATGTTAGCGTGGTGGTTAGTTTCTTATCAATTTTAGTTAATTTAATATGTTAACTATTCCTCGCTATCTACGAATATCTTCAACCTGGTTACTATAAAAGCAACTTTCCTCTTGTAACGGGTCTAAACTCTAATAACAGTTATTCAAATACACAAAAAACGTAATCATATGTTCAATGCCAAATAAAGAAACTACGTAACGATAGTACCTAATAAGATTAATACAAAACACGGTGACCCATCCAACAATAAGTATTATTTACAAACATTACACGATTGCTACTTGTCTTGACTACTATGACTTAACTCCTACCAATATTTATACTGTATACACGCCTGTCTCCCATGGGCGTTTTTTTAAGGGGGGAAAATCATCGAATTACTTCTACCGCCTGGGTGAGGCGGGAAGGAGTGTCAGACTCTTACTGACTAAAAACCACCCCGTTCCTTCTTCTGCACTTCGAGCCGGAGCCCCGGTAACCCGTTAGATTCTCCGCGACTAGGCAGAGACTATGGAACTTAATATTTATACTTAATGGTATTTAATATGTAACTTATTGAGTATTCGGTTAATTTACATAACTTGTCATTATTTTTTAGACATTAGTATACCTTATTCTACGTATGTAGATAAATAAGACGTGCTAAGTACCTATTTAGGAGTTTTAAAAATAAACTTTGAATCATTCTCGTTAATACCAATTGATTTTTGTTTTATTAAATAAAATTTCTGTATGCAACTGGATTTGAGGTCGTATAGTTTCTAGAATTATACTTCGCATTTAATAAATATGTAGTATTGTGGTTTTTTTATATACCCTGTCCTTAAAAATAAAACAGTGTTGTACCTTGATCACAGTTTGAAAGATTAAATTAAAATATTAAAACAAAATAATGACATAATTGATTTCACGTCAATGATTCTGAAACAAAAAAATAATTTTACATAGCTTGTTTTTAACTATAAGTTAGCGTTACCCAGCCAATTAAAGTCAGGTAAGAATTGCTATACTCGTCATCGTGTAAATATATTTTTTGTGAGCTTACTAAGAACATATATTAGTTAGTTTACTTTGGACACTGGGTATAACTTTATGGTCTCTTTATTACATAATATGGATATCAAGGTACAACTGTGTTATTGTGCAGCTGAACCATTATTATGTATTTATTGTTAATCGACCAACACCACCTCTTGGGTGATACGATACACTCCTGTATTCTTAATGTGACAAACGAAACCATAGTTTATTATAACCTGTAAGTTATCACCATAATATTTTTTGTTAAAGACTCTAAGTAGGTCCTTAATTCTGCAAAGAGGTTATCGAGAACTATGTCAGCCGTGAATCGGTTAATGAACGCGGCGTGAACGAGCTCGAGCGCAAACACAAACCGACAGACTTGTCTATAAAATTGTTTACCTTAAAAAAACAAACACAAAGTTTTCTTTTTTTTCTAAAGATTAATAGTTGTTTATCGTGTTATCTTTTACACAAATGAGAGGAAAGATACAAAACAGACACGTTTGTTTATGTTTGCTAGAAGTCCTAGCTTATTTTATGAGGGTTTTCAGTGTAAATTTTTGCTAGAATAGGATTAAACATAACATAACATAACATCACGCCTTTTTATCCCCGAAGGGGTAGGCAGAGGTGCACATTGTGCCACTGTACAATGTAACACCCACTTTTCACTATTTATGTTATGAGTCCCATGTAATAGGTGGTGAGCCTATTGCCATATACCGGGCACAATTTTCCAGACTCCGTGCTACTGAGATTTTTAAAACCCAGTAATACTTTGCCCGACCCGGGAATCGAACCCGAGACCCCTTGCCCGGCAGTCGCACTTGCGACCACTCGGCCAATGAGGCAGTAGAATAGGATTAGTTAGGTATAATTTAGACATTATAGAGACAGCCTCAAAAATTTAGACGTATCTCTATTTCTATTTTTTTAAATAACTTTAAGTAGTTAGATTCGATGCCCCATTTAGTATTATTATCTTTTTCTTTAAGGAGGAAAAGTAACTGCATTATTATGTCTGCCGCTCCGTATTTCAGGCAGGATAAGGTGTGATGTAGTATTTGTTCTTAAATATACTTGTTTATTTATCTCCAGGAGTGGGCTACATATCCCCCGAGCCCATGTACCCTGACCGCGGTGACATATCGGCGCCATTGGATGCTGATGTGTCAATATCGAAGGACAGCCAGCGAGCTGCCGAGAAACGAGGCAAGGAGACACCCTTGCTTCGTCTGAGGAATGGCGCCCTTCAAGCCGGACTCAACGAAAGGCTGCACAGAGTCGTGGCTATGAGGAAGGTAAGAACTCTGAAGACTTGTAAGCTATTTCAATCTTCTCCTTCATCATCATCATATCAGCCACAGGACATCCACTGCTGAACATAGGCCTACCCTCCCTCCTCCTTATGATAGAAGTAAAAGAAGTGTATTAAGAAGAGTAATGGAAGAAATAGGTGTATCTTTGGGGACATTAACCCTTGTAGATGGGTGCGAATTGTGTGAGAATTTTAGACAACATAACATAACATCACGCCTTTTATTCTCGAACGGTACGCAGAGGTGCACATTACGGCACTTAATACCACTGTATAATGTAACACCCACTTTTCACTATTTATGTTATGAGTCCCAAGTAATAGGGGGCGAGCCTATCATCATATACCGGGCACAATTCCAGACTCCGTGCTACCACTGACATTTTTTTAAAAACCCTTTAGTACATTGCCCGACCTGGGAATCAAACTCGAGACCTCTTGCCCGGCAGTCCCATTTGCGACCACACGGCCAACGAGGCAGTAAGGATAGATAAAGGTTTAATTTAATAATAAGGACAAAAATCTGCTTTAGGTAGATTTAGTATTGGTAAATTACGATAGATCAGTAGCAGCGGAAAAAATCCGGATTTTTGAAGTTCAATAATACCTAATAGTTGCGAATCTGAGCAGTGTGCGTGTGCCATTAGTCCGATTAAGTAAAATATTTTTCCTCTGGAAATATACTAAATTAGCGATTCTGTTCTGCTGATAATAAAAAATTTATGGTTAATTTATAATTATAAATTGATGCGAGGTATGACTACCGGCCATTGTTCGTCGTACTATCCTCAGCATACCAGTGGTTCATTGATCGATCGATTTGACAAAGGTTGTCCTACCTCGCAGGTCATCGTCTTCTGTCTTTTGAAAATGCGTAATAACTTATCAGTTAGTAACAATAACAAGTCTTTGCATATGCACACAGGTCACTTGTTTTTGCTGCATTGTATTAAAAACTATATTTACATTATTTTAAAGACATTGGTACTAAAAGAGTGAGTGATTTATTAGTCATTTCTTATTGAAAATGTGTCACATTGTTGTGTTAAATTTTCCGTTGTGTAGGTTTTTCGTTGAAGTCATATTTTATCAGGCATCCGCATAAAATATCTTTATGATGTTGGCCAAGTAGGCGACTTAGTATCTATGTAAATTTACACAAATTAGTATCCATAACCGAATGGTATGTCTATTGCCTATCTTCCACATTTTGAAATAATGTAGGTTCGGTCATGTTAATTGTTGTTGTAAAATGGTAATTATTATATTCACAAAATTGTGGTTAGTTAATGTAACCTTTTTGTTTGTTTAGGAGGTAGAGGGTCAACGCAAGACATCGTCCCTCCAACGCAACGTGGTGTACCCACTGGCGATGTTGTTACTGTTAGCACTCACCACCATCACAGTGCTCATGGTGCTGCAGAACACGCTCGAACTGCTCATCGGAATCAAAGCATTGCCACTTAGCACACGGGTCAGTATTATTATTACATTATTGTACACTTTCTAGCTTGTTTTGAGTTGCAATAGCATATAATTAAGTTTCTTTTTCCTCTGGTTTAAATCTGTAAATCTATGACAGATGGTTTTGTACTTCGATTTTTAGCAAACAAACGTAATTTAAAATAAAACCTAGGTAATTATAGAAATCGGTGCGGTGTGAAATTTAATTATTATTATTGTGTTTTAAATCCTAACTTAATTCGATTACAGAAATTACAACTTATTGCATGTTATTGCGATTCATAATTAGAATCAATTAGATACGTGTGCTTATCGGTAATTGCATAAGAATTACGAGTGAATCTTAATTAATGTAATAATAATAATGACGTTGCAGCAATTCACGCTGGGCATAGCGTCGCTGTCAAAGCTGGGGTGTGCGGGCGCGGTGCTGGAGGCGTTCCTGATCGTGTACCTGTACGCGGCCTCGCTGACGGGGCTGGGCACGCCGCTGCGCGCGCTGCGCCTGCTGCCGCGCGCGCGCCGCACGCCGCTCGCGCGCATCATCGCGCACTGCACGCTACTCCTTGCATACTCCACTGCGCATCCACTACTCGTCAAGATGCTCGGTATGATGCCATGTTTACGACATATTTTATTTACTTTTAAAAATGCTATTGTTCTAAGTTATGCGTCTCTTTATTATTATCCCGTAAACTAACCATTCTCGAGAGGAATAATAGAAACATATTTCTACTACAGGATTCCATAGTACAGCCTAATACAGACGTTAAGCCTTGTTGCAAATACTTTCTATTACTCAACATTTCTTATTCAAAATCTCAATATGTAACACTACTAAACAAGAATTCACGCTCAATACTTACGATACGACACGTATTTTTCTGATAACAATGTTTCATTTTGTTTCCACCAGGCATAACGAACTTTGATTTGCTGGGTGAATTTGGGCGCATCGAATGGCTGGGGAACTTCAAGCTGGTTCTGTTATACAATGCCATATTTGCGGGCACGGTGACGCTGTGCCTCGTCAGCAAGTTCACGGCTAGCGTGAGGCGTGAGCTGTACAACAGGTTGGTGGAAAATGTCAACACGGTCGCGCACTGCGTCTCTTTCCTCAACAACTGAACCAGCGTCTCCCTCCCTAAGCTCATACGTTTGCCACCAGCCCACGCTGCGCTCCCCACAGCCCCAACCAATATGGCTGTCTTAATAAATAAGTTTGCGATAAGAAATTGGTACCTAACATTCTTCACAGATCTGGTTCATTAGCCCTTAATGTTATCGTAACTAGCGCAGAAAATAGTATTGTTGGTTTATATTTATATTGAAATGCACAAATAAAAATTTAGAGCATGTGGATTGTATTGTAAAATAATGTCTTCTCTTTTAAATGTTTCGAATGCTCGAACACACAAGAATTTGTAATGTAATAAACAAAATGACAATCAATAGGTATTATTAATAATTAAATTAGTAGGTATTTGTTTAAATAATTAATTAATTGCATACATGTATTAATAATAAGTGTTCACTAGAGAAAATGACAAATTAATAAAAATAGTAAAAACAACAATATTAATCATTACCAATATGGTAGATTTTATTAATAAGATATTGCATTTATTTTCTACCAATAACTTCTATTTGTTTCGGTTCCTATTTTAGTATTTTATAATATGAAAATTGTGTCATAATTACTATCTGTAAATTGTAATATTGTAAAGTTTTTGAGGAAAGACTCGCTAGAATAAATTTGAATTTTTTTATTGCCAATGAGACTGAATTTGTTAAAGTTATGATTAGGAACAGGAGATTATTTATTTTATTTCGTTACGTCTATATAATTATAAATGTGACTGGATGAATTACAATAATTAATTTTAATATAATTTAAATTTAACATTTGTGTAAGATTATTGCCATGAAGTTGTAATGTATTATTATGGGACTCTGTTATATTTAGAGCCACATTTTTATCTTGTCTCAATTTCTTTTGATTTGCGCTGTGCATTCATATTTCGCAGTGATTTTAAATTTATAAAAGACATTGAAGACTGTTTTATCCTTAGAATAACTATAGATTTATGTAAGCTTTTGTTGCTCAATTTTACATCACACAATTAACCCTATAATGGTGATGAAATATCATTTTTAATTTCTTGTGGTTGACATGTCGAGGCTAACAGATACAATACATTGTTCTAGTCTATCAGATCTCTGTTGCAGGGGATCTCTTGCGAGCTTCAGCATTATTAACTGTTAATATTCTCCAACAACTAACCATTACAATTATTTCATCAGATTTTATTTACATACTACTAATGCGCAAACTTCAGTTTCCTTAGGAGAGTTTATAACACATAATAATGTAGCAACATGTATCTAGTGTGTTAAAAATAAATGTTAATGTATATAGTTGACGAAATAATGCCAGTGGTGCTATACAATCTATCATTAATTATACTAGAACACACCACAAGAATGAAATATGTAATGTTATTCAGTAATGTACTTAGAACAAGCATTATTAGGGCGCTTATATAAGTCTTGTGTGTGAATCTCGATTGTTTGTGAGTAGAATAATTATATTTAGTGTGCGGATTTTATACATTTTGTATTAACTTGTACCAAATGTTGAGATTGCATTTGAAACAATACATAATAAAAATTGATGTGGTCCTTTTTATTTTTGCCCATAAGTTGTGGTAATGCCTCCCCCAGTAGTGGTAGCAGCACCTAGATATTGTATTAACCTATTTCATTGCTTTCTCCTGGTTGCTGGAACATGTCATGCTTTTGTACAACATAGCTTCTGCTTTAATTTATTATTACAAGTATTTATTCAGTCTCATTAGGTTTGTTTAAAAAATATATTCTAAAAATACCTTACTCTGATTTAGATTCAGGTGGATTGCAGATGTTTTCACTTTCCAAGAGGAAACAAGGCCCAAAGTAGTTACAAAAACTGCATTAAATGCAACACAAGCATCTGTAGAAAGAAGCCCAGCTCCTGATAAGGTTGAAAATGTTGACACTGAAGATTCCAAGACAAAGTGACCAAATAGATGGTGCTGATAATATGTGGAATTAGAAAACAATGTCTTGTTAAATCACTGTTTGAAATAAACCAAAGTCTAGGGCAAAGATTAAGTTATGGATTTGACTGTATATTGCTCTCAAATACCTATTGAGTGCAAATTTTATTGCTTGCCTTGCTTCACACAACCAGTGTGGAACAGCTTAAAAAATGTGAAAGATTCATTGGGCTGATTTTTTAAACGCAGGTACCTAAATTAAATTGAATTAATAATTTTGTAGTTTTAACAAATGAACTGTACAGTTGGCACAATGGCTGGCAACCGGCTGCCGCGCAGCGTATCAGGGTGTGCGATTCGAGCACGGAACAACTCTTTGTATGGTCCATAAGTTCTTGTTCCGGGTCTGGGTGTCAGTGGATGTGAAATTGTATGTTGTTTAAGGCGACCGCGACAAGTGAAATTCCTAGTGTGGGGCTTTTAAGTGTTTAAAACGCGTGTTATACATTATATTTTATGCTACGGCTAAATATTAAGTGTTGATTGAAAAATTGGCCCTAATTGTTTAAAAAAATGCATTTTATGTGATGATGAATGTGATAAGGCTTGCACAAATATAACAACGAAGCAATCAAATTAATTTTATACATTATAATAAGGCAAAATTGTGTTAACAAAGTAATGAAACTTTATTCATAAAAAATCTATTTGCTATCAAACACAAGAGTAATCTTTATATTTTTATAAGAGTAAAACTCGTAAGGTCAATTTACGCCGACGCGGAATGGAATGAAAGCTTCAATTTCACCTCGTAACGCAAAAAGGTGTATATATCCACGCGAAATGAATGTCTAAGATGCTTGGCAGCTTATTGCTGGGACCTATCAACTATCTAACTAACTCTCTACTCCCTCCACTGGATTCCAGACAGCGTCATCAGTCAGGGGAATTCTCGAGCATGCGCGAGGCAAGCGCGACGATTCCCTGAAGGACACACAATTTTTTTTGGTTCTTTTCTAGTTTGTTCTACAATGTTCTACAATTGACATCCTTTTTCATTATGGCTGCAATATGTTGGAAATAATTGCTTCCATTCTATTTCGCAAAGTTTTTGAAACACAAAAATGACCCTAAGTCGTAGACTTGATGCCTGCAACTCATATGGAAAATAATTATCTATAAAACCTTTATTTTTATGTATATGTATATAATTTAATATGAGATGTGTCTCCACTGCAATATCTGTGATGAATTAATATAGTTATTCTGTATTTATTGGTATGATTGTAAATATTGTGATTGTAAAAATAATAAATTATGTACACAGTTTAATCTTCAGACATTTTACTGTCATCATTTATTGAATCAACAAGTATATAATGTTTACCATGTTTCCTGGCCTCCGCTTTCAGGATTAGTCGCCTTGCATTGTTCCGCACTACTTCAAGACTCTCGTTGCTGTTTAGCCCCAGTAGAAATCCCAAATTGATAACATCATGCACATCTCTTACTTGCATGTAATTCTCAGCTCCACTGGTCACCACTATGTTTCTTGATTTTCCAACTGCATGGTATATGTGTGCAGTGCTGATAATGTTCTTTCTGCATGTTGAATCTCTTATAGCTGGTGAGTACATTATTTCGAAGAATATACCCCTGTCAACTGCTTGTGTGTACAGTTTTCGGCTTATTTTGAAAGGAATTCTACATTCCGGTTCAAAAGTTATTATATCTATATCCATAGAGGCACAAGCATACTGGAATGCTTGTAAAGTCTTAGGTAACACAGCAATTATATCATACTGTTTAAGATTTTCAGATTGATTAATTTTGTGTGATATACTAGAGTCGGAAAATTCAATAGTTACCCTCTGTAAAATATTTAGTTTTGAACTAGTATCTTTAATAACTGCTGGTGGTGGCGGTACGTAGTCTTTCTTATCCCTGGTTTCTCCTTTCTTTTTCTTCTTTTTAGGCTCGTCCGATGGTTCCTCAACATGTGAATTGATAGCAATGGTATTAAAACCAAGTTTTTCTATAAGATGTAATTTATCAGGTTCAAAATTTTTGCTAACAGACAAATCACAGAAGCCCCAGTTGCGATTAGCCATTATTTAAATGGAGCCCTAGATATATATAACTGAACTTTGATGGTATCGGCACGGCGAGAGAAAATAAATAACGTGCTATTTGTTGTGGAAATAGATAACTTGTCAACAACGTCAGGTCAGTTTGACGTGATGTGTTGCCAGTTGAGTAATTGATATTTAGCATCTCAGATCAAATCACAATAATATCTCGATATCTATTAATATATAAGTAAAAAAAAAATTACATTAAGCATAATATACCACAATATTGTAATAATCATATGCAGCATGATTTAATTCGTTTGATTAAGTGTCAAAGTGCCAACCTTACTGAGTTTTTACATGGGGTCACATTGAAAAAGGCTACTGACATTGGTAGAGTGACTTTGACGTATTAGACAGAACGTTTAGAAAGGTTCGAAATGTATTCATTCGATTTGATAATCGATTTAGGTAATAAAATTGTAATCGAATACAATTTACTTACATTTTTTTATTTGCGTGTTGGGTCTGATCTGGGTAGAACGTACATTTCTACTAAACAATACAACTATTTACGTACGTTAATAAACCTTTGGTTAATAGAAATATACATGAATATTAATAGTACTGGTTGAAAACACTGCTCTGTTTTTTTTTCTATTGACATTGATTGTCAATATCAAACTTGTTGCCAGTCTATTTTGGATGGTCGTCGTAATTTTTTACTTGCGAGTGTATGTAACATAGCATATAAAGAAAAGGTTGATCTAAATAGCATATAAAGAAAAGGTTGATCTAAACTAAGTCAGAAAAAGTTTAGAGAACGTAAAAAATATTTAACAAATGGGATTCCGCATTATAATTGCTGGGGAGACTCAATGTTCTGCTTATGCAGAGACGTGCCTTCTAGCGGATTATCTTTCACAAAATCTTCCAAATTTTTGTTTCCACTGTATTGAAAAGTCTGTTATGGAATGGAAAGTTAGTAAACTGACATATCTAGTTATCTACACAAAATTATACTTATTTAGAAATTAAGGCTTTAAGGCGTTAAACGAGCAGATGGATATCTGGTGATAACCAATCTGCGTCATAGACATACGTAACAGCAGAGGGGTTATAAGCGAGTTGCTTGTTCTGTAGGGATTAGCGATTTGATGATTTGGGGATAATGGAGATTGATGGACAAGGAGGGAGAGAGAATTGAGCCTCCGGTTACTACACTCACACGGTGAAACATAACACGCGAGCGTTGTTTCACGCCAGTTTTCTGTGAATCCGTGTATTACTCCAGCTGGCCTTTTCATGGCAAACCATGACTCTCCAAACTTGACAATATTAATTTGTGATTATTCTTTTCATTTTAGGCTTGGTTATGTAAAGTAAACGTGAAAAATAAATGGCATCATAAAGAGTCACCTATTGTTTGGAAAGAACTATTGATGAAGGGAAGTAAACCACAATACATTGGAGGCGCATCAGATTTTTTAGATTATTGTTATTCATATTATAATTTTGACGCACTATTTTCATCTGAGAAGTACGATGATTTACTTAACAATATCCTGCAATTTAAGAAAAAACTTCATATAGAAAATATTTTGCACAAATTGGATGCAGTCAAAAGGCCTACATTAGAAGCTCCTCCTCAAAAGAAGTTTGTAATAACTATTTCTGGAGCCGGCCACTTATTAGCTATGCATTTAATATCGGGCTTGGTTGATCATGCAATAATGGAGAGTGATAAAACGATTCACAAAATCTATTTGTATGATGAACGTTGTACTCCATCGTTTATGAATTATATTGAAAAAGAATGTTCCTACGTCCAAACTGATAACCCAGGAAGAGACATCAAATGTGTTAGTAAAATTGGAGTTGCACTCACTAATACGGACGTACTTATCGTTTTGGACCACGAACCGTTCGAGTAAGTATATCTCCTAGGTATTTTAGGTCATTTGAAATTGTATAACGTGGATGCTACATCGTTCATGGCCGTATTTGCCATTCCAGGGTTTTGCCCTTTCTGGGTGATGGTGATGATACTTAAGTTGTCATTATTTATCTTTTACAATGTTCCTTGATCGTATTTTTTTTTCAGTGAGAGTAAACCAATGGGAATTTGGCTACGTGAAAACAGAAAAAAAATGAAAGAATTGGCTCTTATGATCAATGCTTCAGGATCACGTAAAATGTATATTATTTTCCCGAATTTGGGACCTGCTTGCTATAATGCTACAATTCTGAGGAATTCTGTTAATATTAACAAAAATAACATAGTTGTTGCGACTTCTGACGTTGGAACGGAAATTTTGCCAGTAGTAGCAAAAGTCGCCCAAGTGCCTATGAGAAACATTTTTTGTCCTCCTGTGTGGGGATTCATCGGAATAAACAAATTAGTTGATATACAAACAACAATTCATATGTACAACAGCTTCAAACCATACAAAAGATACTCAAGAGTAAAACAATCATCTCTGAATATAGGGTCTCTCACTCCCGAAAAGCGTCCTCTAGACTACTTGATGCGCTTTGATGAAACTCTATGGATGGAAGTAGCTGAGATGAAAGTAAGTTTCTTCATGCATATTTATGTAAGCTTGTGACGAAACATTAGATAATTGACTAGACATATTTCACTAAAATAATCTAAATTACATTACATTGTTTAAAAAGATATGTTTAAAAGTAAAACCACAAAAAACAAGATACCGGTTGAATTGAGAACCTTTTCCTTTTTGGGAAGTTCAATGATAATAACAAACTAATTACTAGGCTTATCTAACAAGACAGTAGGTTCCTCTATTATTATTAACAAAATCCCTTATTGCAAATCATAATGTTTATCCGCTCTAGGCCCTGGGTCACACAACTTTCTCTCCTATAACGTTATGTCAACCGACCTGAATTTTATTTTTCTTTCATACATTTCACTGAATTTTATTTT